GAAATTTACCATGAGCCTGCACTCTTGCCATTATTAAGGTTGTTCTCTTTTTGAGGTAGAAAACTACATTCTCTCCATAATTCTTTTATAATGCCCTCCAAAGGCTTTGGGTTGGTGGAGGGAGGTTGTGGCGGGGGGGCTGCGGGGCGAGGGAGAATGGCGTGTGGGGCCCGCTGTTGTTGCAGAAAGGTGCGAGGGAGGGATGTGCTGGGAGGGGGTTGGGGAGAGGGGAGTGGGAAGGGAGAGGGGGTCCAGGAGGGGGTTGGAGGGGGGAGGGAGGGAGGGAGAGGGGAGGGGGGGGGATTGAGTGGCGTCGAGGGAAGGGAGAGTGGAGTGGAGAGGGGAGGAGAGAGGAGGTGGCAGGTAAATATATAAAGACTATTCATTCCTAAGTATTTCTTAGATTAATTTCTTTTCCTCTGCTGCCCAATAGAAAACTTAATAGACTATGTTCGTTGTATATTTAGAAAAACTCCAACTCTCTGTAATCTAGTGCCTTGTGTTCGATATTTAGATCATTATAATTTACTTCTCTCTCAATCTAACCAAGCGAATGGTAAAAGTAATTCAATCAAATGCAGGCGTGAACTAAAAACAGTTATACACCATTCATATTCTAACTATCTGTCATATAAACACAACTGAGAATCTAAAAGCCATTCACTTCAAACTCCCATGAAAGTTCATAACATAGAGAAAAGTTGATCACCAATCTTTGCTAAGCCCGCGTTAGAGAATTCCATCTTGCCGTAAAAAACCATACCCTATTGCCAGAGAACATAGTTATAAGTGAACACACTGCACTAAGGAGATACAGAAAAATCCATTAGGAAACCGAGGAAAGGGACATCACGGAAGCATTTCTGAAAATAGCCTGACTGATAAAGGTTCAATATTTAACTTATGCTTGACGTGGATGGGCCCTTTCAATTGCAATCAGCAAACCAACAAAACGAAAGAACATAGGAACAGAAACAATCCAATGAATGTAGTTGATTCACTCATTAGATATTAATTAATTCAAAACCTCGATAACAAGATCCATCAGTTAAGGAAAAAAAAAAAAGCATAATATTCCAACTCCCAAACATACTTCATTCCTTTTACAGATGAGAAATTTTCTTTAAATCTATTAAGATTAGAATGCTTTGGATGCGAAAGTAGTAAGCGGGAAGAGGAATATTCTTTACATAAATCATAATGCATCATGCGCAAGCAGAAGCTCTTGACCTTCGTGTCTCTGAAAAAAAAAAAAAAAAAAAATCATATTCAACAATACAAACCCTATTCATGTCATAAAGATGGCAGAATAATACAGATTAAAATGATCAGAGAATTGCTTGAATGCAAATAGAGCGGAAGAGGAATATTTAACATAAATCAGTTAAATGCATCAATGCAGCAACAGAAGCTCTTGCCTTTGTCTCGGTAGCAAAGATATGTAGATAATAGTGCCTTAAAATTTTATTTATCTTCTTGTTGACAAGGAAAGGTAAAACTAGTGACATTTCCAGATTCAAATTTTATCATAAAACAAAATTCTAAAAAAATTACGCCCATTTCATTCTCAAAGTAAATTAAAAAACACAATTATGAATGCTGTCCTGGTAATGCTATAGAAAAAATATATATATACAGAAATGGTTTATCACACTACATAATTACAGAATAGAAATAATCAAAGGACTAAGCTTAATCCCAAGTTAAGCCATATCATAAAGAAAACCAAATGATGATCTAAATAAATTTTTTAAGACCTTAATTCCACACTTATCCCAAAAGCTTTCGAATAAGACGGAACCAAAAAAACAAGGATACCGAAAGATGCATGCCAAATTGTTACTGTAATTACACTTATCAACCTAAAAAATAAAAACTCGAATAGAAAATCAAATATTATCATCATCAAAGACATTACATCAAGCACTAAGACTCAATATCTAGATCTAATAACAAATGCATTCAATAAATTATACCTACCAATCAAAGTTCCAAACTTCGAATAGAAAACAACAAGATTATAACCTTAAACAATGATATTAGACCTTGCCAACCTAACACAAAAATTCCCAAGAAACTACAAAACTACCAACACTTTCCCATTACTAAATTTCCAAAAAAAGAAAATTTCCCCAGAGAAACCAAAGAAGAATTGAAACATGACCAAAAAAGACATCATAAAAGCCGACTGATATTAAAAAAAATTATACATCACCTCAAGAAAAAATCTCCAACCTGAGGAAGAGAAGCTCAGGAAACACAAATGAGATAGAGAGAGAAAACAAGATATAAAGAGTGATTGATTTTCTGTTACATAGAGAATAGAACCCAAGAATATACCGAACCAGACCAAAGGCATCTCGGTAGAGAAAGGAATCGAGCTACAGAGAAAGAAGGGCAGTATTGGAATTTCAATAAGTATTGTTGACGAAAATGCCCTTGCGTGTTTCAAAGATTGACGTGTCCAAGAGTTGGGTCTGAAAGTTCAGAGTTCTGTTTGGCTACGTCAGGCAAAAGTGGGCGTACGAGTGTCTCTGTGGCTTCTACGTGGCAATTCTATTGGCGGACAGGAAGCTAAGGGAACTTAACGGAGTTTAAAATTTGACGTTATGGCTGCCGTTTCGGGAAGTTCTCTTTCTCTTTTGGTCTTTGAGATTTGTCAAATGTCAGCCTCCAAATGCTGGGTTGGGCGTTTGTAATCGAAATGACTAATTTGCCTATGTCAGCCTACTTTTTTTATTTAGTTGCAATTATATTAAATTTAACAAGCCAAATAAAGTTCTAGCCTTAAAAAGGCAAATATCATTTCCGTCCAGATTTGAATTTCATCATCTTAATTTGTAATCTCATCAAAAAATACTAAATTTTTTATACACATAATAGAGAAACATTGCAACCAAATAGAAGATCAACTTGCTAATTTAAGAGCATTAAATTTTTTTATAAATTAATATGTATCTGACAAGACAATTAGGAGTGGAAGGTCTCGAGTTCAAGTCCTATTAACTAAAATTGTTTTCAACAATTTGGTGAGTGTAGGGAATGACTAACCTTATTGTATAACACGCAGTATTATTACGAATCATCAGACCTCTCAATGAATGAAAAAATTATGTACTTGACAATCTTAACGAAAGAATTGTCTATATCAATCAATTTCGGGCAACAACTTTTTTTACAAAAATATTTTTAACAACTTGTTTTGTATTGTTTGATTAAAATTTAAAAATTAATTAAACAATATTAAAATTTTTAAAAACTTCATTAGAAAATTAACTTTTTTCCATAAATTTCTAATGCAAAAAATAAATATTATAATTTTCAAAAAAGAGAAATCTACAAAAAAAGTAAAATTAAAAGAGACACTCCAACATTAAAATTTAAAAATTTAAGAGACGTTTGACTTTTGGATAAAATAGATACAAACAATTACTCTGACTCGTTTATCATATAAATATAAATTAAAATAGGATACAAACACATTTACATCTGACTGCGTTATCATAGTAAAAATAAATGATATCATATATAAGGTGGTATATTTAATTAAACCTTTCTATATATATATTTTAATTACAACCTTTCATTTTTTTTATAAGAATAGATAGAGTAAGAAGTCTCTATTATATACGATGACTTGTTTATAACAACATCCTGACTTTTGGTATATACATTTAAGAACTCTTCTATCTAGGTTTTGAAATGTCTATTATCAATTGAGTCTATTCCTAAAATACTATTCCTAAAATTAGAAAAGCTTAAAAAAAAAAATGTAGAGACCTTTTCTCCCTTGCTTTGGCATCGTAAAGACAAAAAATTAAGGAGTAAACAAATGAAAAAACAAACAGCTCTTCTTAAGTACTTCATCTCTGTTTTAATTTACAGCTGCTACAAGCTTACAACTACACCTATCGTATAATATGGGCAGCATAGTTTTGAAAGCAATCGCCTAGCTAGCTAGTGCTGGGCAAGGGACAATTTGCCTAGTTTGAAGTTTGAACCGGTTGGCATCACATGCACTGCACACAGAATCTAGTTGCTGGACGTAACAGCCAAGAATCATGTTTTTGGATTCTTTTGTAAATTTAGAGTACAAAATCAACTCTGAGATCTACAACCACGACACCAATACCCTTTTTTTTTTTTTTTTAATTGCCTTTTTTTTTGTGGGTGTGTTTAATGTTGAGAATATTTTAGCCAACAGTTAGACCACAGATTATGCTTCATTTTATTTAATTTAAGAAAATAGAAAGACAGTAAGCATTTAACTGCCAAGGCAGACAAGAATGGTGGGAGCCATACAATGCCCCCTTTTTTTTTTTTTTTTAATTTGAAAATATTTAAGCCAACATAGACCACAAATTTATGCTCATTTTATTTTAATTAAAAAATACGACAGGTAAGCATTTAACTGCCAAGGCAGAAGAATTAAGCATCAATGCCATGGAAAATAATAATAATAATAAAAATGTAACCTATTTGGCTCTTTCTATTTATTGAGTTGAAGTTACAATTACTCTTGAACAAAACAAGACTAATAAGGAAAGGGCATGTGCTGCATTAAAAGTACAACTAAGACTTGGCTGAGCACATGGACTGATGGAACCTATGCTTGATTCAAATTCTCACTTATACATATTTCAAGAAAACAACCTGATAAACAGGTACTTAAAAAAAGTTATGAATAAGCAGAGCAGGTGATGAACCTAACGATGTTACTAGCAGAAAGGAAAATTCAATTCCATCGCTGATAATAAGGTTTTAAAGCAATTTCCTATTCCCAAGAAGTTAGGTCAATCCAATGATTATAGTCTATCCAAAACGCCAAGGACACATAATTCTATATTACAGATCATCATGAATTAACAAAATCCATTCAATGAGCAAATATTTACAGGCAGTTAAATTCTCGGTGGCTATTAATATATCCAATTAATGCATAGACCTATGTTTGAATCCCTGTAAGATATTCAAAATAAATAAATATTCACAGGCTCTTGTGCAAAAAATCATCAGCAAACTGCCAATAGACCTCTTAATTCATTAATTCAAATAACGTTCTACCACTGCAAGAGATGAAATGAATTGTTATACTCTAAAGACTCAAAAACTTAGAAACTATAAATCAAAGTCATAACTGACACACGACATCGTTTCCTTCCCAGGCAATGTGAATTTAATTTTTCATTCAGCGTTAAAAGAATAAGCATTGCTGCGGACGGTGAAAATTACAAGGAAGCCATAGACATCATCCTAGAAATCAAAGAATATTGAAAAGCAGAGCAATGCTAGTTTTGCGATAATTGCACACACATCAAACCAAAAGGTCAATCAATACGCATAAAGGGAACACGGCACAAATTTCTCTCATCCTCCACCAGCAAGCAGACCTGCAGCTGCAGTAGCTACATACTATTCCCCGAACTTGATGATTGGAGCACATGAAGGGGTTCAATGCATTTGTTGAAAAAGATCTGATTTAGCAGCTTACAGTGACACCAACTTCTTGCTTATACAGCAATGGGAGAGTCCTGCATCCAAGAAGACAAAAGCATGTTCAAGCCATTATGAAAGTACTCTAGGATGATTGGTGTTGATATTGGTACTAAATTAAATTCAAGACATAGAAAACTTTTTTTTTTAAGAAAAAGGAACAAAAGAACAATCATGCCATAAGAAAATGAAAGGATCGAGCACTCACGAAGTTGCAACATGACTGACATTAGTCTCATAATAACGTTGCCATGATAAAATAAAAATAATGATAACAGTAGTAACTAGTAATAGTAATAAACTATTCCCCAACCAGAGAGGAGCCAGAATTAAATTCCCAAGGACTATTTACTTTGCATCACAGGCTCACAGCCTACACCAATTAATGCACAAACCAAGGCATATAAAAAACATATGATTAATATCATTGGATAATTTTTGGTCACCTAACATACAGATAACTCCATCTTTGGTGCCGCTAGGAATTTGCCTCAGATAGTTTGATCATAGATAATAAATAAAGAAAAATAGCGATCACCAAAAGTCAATCATGATAACCCACCTTGGAAGTCAGGTTTGAAACAGCCAAATTGAACTTCTCTCTGGTTTTTGTTCCAGCAGCCTGACCAGCCCTTGCCACCTTACTAAAGGCACCATTTAGCCAAGCTGTTCCAGCTGTCACATATCTGTTCAGGGTTACAGTAGATTTTATAAATTCATATCTTCTAATTCTAAAACAATTATCATTAGAAACTGAGCTCAAAATCAAATAACAATTCACCAACCAGACTACAAAAAAAAACAGCCACTGCAAATCAATTACACGAAAGATCCACTGCCTCTGTTCTAAAAGAAGTCACTAAAAAACATACTAGAGAAAAAGCAGGACCAATTTCAAAACTGAAACCAACTTTTGAGTACTTGAGAAGTTATTCTGTACTACACAATCTTATTAAAGGGGCTTATTTGAAGATATTTAGATTGGAGAAGAATAAAACCGAGTGGTTTTAGACCAAAAGAAGCTCCTCACTCCATCAGGATGGGGCACAGGTAATACAGATAATGAAATAAATCAACAGCTGTTGCTAGTTAATGAACACCATATGTTCTCTGAATAGCTAGTCCTTACGTGCAAATTAACTAAGCAATCAACAAAATAATTTAGACTACTCCGAAGTAACCAGAATCAAGAAAGAGATTCACCTGCTTGATTTGACAGCTGATCCTGTGTCATTTATCTTCCTTTCTGCTGCAAATATAGCTGCCATTGTCTTATCTGAAACATGAAGCCTTTGATCCACAGACTTAACTTTTTCATTGACTGCTGAAATGCCAACTGTCAATTTCTCTGTAAGCCCAACTCGTCGATCAAAGGAAATTACCTTGGCAGATGCACTAGCAGTCAAGCGATGTTTTTCATCAAAAGCCTTGGCCTTATTCATTGCATCTTGACCAAAAGCTGAACCCTTTGCCAGCATATTTGAAACCACTTCTTGTGCTTTACTGACATACACTCTTCCATTGCCAGTTGGACTAGTTTTAGACTCCTAACAAAGAAAATTTGATTGTCAGACCATACAGTTGGAGGAGAAAACTTTTAGAAAGAGCATATGACTAGATATTGATTGAGAGCACATATGAAGTATCAGTGCACAGGTGTCAACATATTTAATCATGCCCATTCATCAACTTATTGTAAAGCACAGAGTGAAGACAAGGGCATACATAAAAGGAAGTCATAATCCACCTCTAAAGACCATATAAAACGTTTCTGGAGCAAAGAATAATTGAATGAAAGGTTGAGATCAATCTTGATCAACCATTTTGTAAAACATGAATTTCTAAAATTCACTCCTTTTTTTCCAAACTAAGTCTAAGACAACCAGCATCCACTACTCCTCAGAATTTTCACTTTTTACACAATCACTTATAATTTGGATCTACCAATGAGTAGCTATACATTTGACCAACAAATCTATCTTTATACTATAAGATTGCTACCAGTAATTTTACCAACCTCAACATCAGATGGAAAACCTTCAGCTGGAATAGCAGACACAGCATTGTCTACCCTTCTTACTTCCTGCATAAATTTGCAGTGTGAAAATGGATATTTGACAATCATATAAATCAAAACTGCATAAAACTTGCTCATCCACTTACTTGTAGCTCACGATTTGGAACATAATTTTCTGCAGGAGTTATACTCACTATCTGGTCCACTATAGTTGCTCCCTGCACCAAATGTGGATATTTTAATTTCTAGAGCTTTCCCTTGAATGATGGTTTGCTCATATCAAATAAAAGAAGATTGGCAACCAAAATAGAGGACCAAAACAACTATGCCTTCCACACTATATTTATGCAAGGCATAAATTTTGTAGTCTTAACCATTCAAAAAGCATTGACACTACAGAACAACACATTCCTGCTGCAACTGTTAACCTAGACAATTTAGAGCTTAAAAATAATATATTTCCACAAATAGCATCACCAATATAACATTCTCAATGAACAAAAATATGACAATAATCATAAGCAAATATCTAACATGAAATCTAATGCTACGTACTTTTTTTTAGCATATTTATTATAAAATTAGAAGCATTGCAACAGCATTTGGCTGAATATTTTCTTTTAATGAATTACTTTTATATTAGGGTCATGTTCCAGTAGATGAAAAAAAATTTTAAAACTTCTTCGGCCAGAATAAGCCTTGGGAGTAGGTTATTTCTGTTGTAATACAAGGCATACTGCACCTATACCAAGTAATTTGGCCATAAAATGAACAAAATTCAGACATTGGTTTTCAGAATGTACATGCAGTCCCTCTGGCCAGAAGGTCCAGAACACAGATATGCAGACTATGGATATCTAGAGAAAGACAGGAAATATTCAAAGCATATTTCTGGGAATCATGGCATGAAGTTGATAATCACTTCTTACTTTCCGAAACAAAAATCAACAAGTTCAGCAGCCAGCTTGCAATTTAAGCGCTTCAAACATACCTAATTCTCATTACTATTGAATAGTAAATGTCAGACTACAGTTGTGACAACTCAGAAGGGTCATTTATAGGGTAAACTTAAAGAATACCACTCAATTGCTTAAAAGTTAAACATTAATTTAAAATTGCTTACAGTTCAATCACTGTCAGAGATTAAAGTAAATCATAAAAGTATTAGACTTCATAATGTCTCGTAAACACGCAAAGTCTAACAAGGGAAGAAAAATAAGGACATACCGATAACAACAATGCAATTTCAAGTGCTTTAGCTTCTTTGAATGTAACAAATGCAGTCTTTGATTGCCCATTTTCACTGCATCCAAAGATAAAACAACACCAAGAACCTCGATTAAGCAAACACATACACAAGAAACATGACTTCTTTTATTAAAAAGAAAAATCCATAAAGCCTCGTGTAAGAAAGCACATAACACAACAGTACGTCGATTGCCAGAATTTTAAAGAGAGAGAACAAAGTAGCATAAAAGATCACTAACGAGGTTAAACGCTCTATACCGTCCGGTTTCTAGAAAATGCCATGAGAGATAAAGAGGAAATAACTGCTCAAGTAACTGAACTAGAAAAGAAAAGGCAAGAACTAGTTTCCCACTCAGTTTCCTTTCCATACATTTTCTCAGCGACCAAATAAGAGTTAAACAAAAACTAAATATACGTTTCGCAAGCATATATATATGGAGAACGCACCGTTGGATCTCAATGTGTTCAATTTCACCAGAGAAAGAGAAGAACTCATGAATCTCTCTTTCACTTGCTAGATCTGATAAATTCTTCACTTGAACCGTTCTTGCCTTTAAGAGAAAACAAATCAATATCAGAAACTTCAAACTATAATTAAAGTAAAAATAGTGAAAAATCAGAGGCGTTACTTCTTTGTTCAGAGATAGAAAGAAAATATGACCTGACCTGCATTGTAACTTCCTTGTGCAGAGAAGGTTTTCCGTTTTCTACTGCTGCAAGGTCATGCGCGAGAGGGAGGGGGAGAAGGAGAGAGAAGACAAGAGTATTAAAAGAGCCAGCAACCTGACAAGTTGGATACAGAAGAAAGAACAATGAGAGCAGAGAATGTAGTTGTACTAAATGCCCCTGGGTCTTTCCATAATTACATTTTCTTTCCAGTTTCCTATTTTGCCCTTTTTGGTTAAAAGTATCAGCCGATATACTAGTGTAGCAGTAACGAGAGTCAATCTGAACTGAACATTTACTATGTAAAAATCAGTTAAATACTCCGCATCCCATAAAAATAAGCTTCGTTTTTTTACCTATTTGTTTTAACTGATTTTATTAGTTGGCAACTGGTAGTTTGGAATTGACAGCTGTTAGGATAAACGTGGTTTTGAGATGGTATATTATTTTCTATTTTAATATTTTATATATATAAAAACTTTTTATAATAATATTTAATAATTGTTAATTATTTTTAAATAATGATAAATAAAATGTTCGCATAAGAATATTAGTTTTAAAAAATAAGAGTAATTATTTTCATAAGATTAATAAAATTTAAATAATATACACGTCAAGACATAGCTAGTAATGAGTGCATATATAACAATAGATTAGGTTTGAATTAAACAAGATAAACACAGTCAAGCATGCATGTCTAGTTGGACTTTTTACTTACGTAAAAGACTGAAAATTTAAAGTTTAAAACTTTTTTCCCCATGAAATTAGTGAGTAAAATGGAAGGCTACGGGTATTATGTAACTTATGTTCTTTCAATCCTTTAGACTTCTTAATGAATACAAAAATACATATAATACAAATAAAAAATATAACATAAATATAAATCAACTAATAGAAAAAATAGATTGTTAGACCTCTTAATGAATAAAAAAAATATACTAAATAAATCAATTAATAGGAAAAGTTACAAAATATAAGCATACGCTTCATATGACTTTCATACAAATTAAAAAATATATATTAATGTAGCTCTAACCATAATTTTTTTTGCTAAAATGTTTTAATATGCACTTGCATTAGTCCATATTATTTCATTAAAATTAAATAACTCATATTTTCTCTCTCTCATTGACGCAGTCCTTTTTTTTTTCTTTTAGCCAGCATGTTTCACCTTAGAATTCTTCAAACTTTTCATGTCATTCCACTAAAAAAAATACGCTTCTAGTGATTAATTTCTTTATTTCAATGTATGGTTTCTTTTATGCCTATGTTCCATATTCTACTATTCTAACTAATGGTTTGTTTTATTTAGATGTCCCGCATTTTATACCCTAATTAATGATTCGTTTCATTCTCATATTCCCCATTCCGCTATTATAGCTGGTCCTCATCATCTTAGAAGTCTGTTATTAATCTTGCCCTACCCATACCCTTTGAACCACTTTATCGAGTTAGGATGACACAGCTTACCAACTCCTACTTGGTCGATCCTCAAACCACACATTTATTAGATGGGGTTTGTGATAAATTCCCATCCTAACTCCAATCACTACATTTCTTTTTCTAATTTAAATACTAAAAAGGATCAGGTTAATTAATTTATAATTTTCAATTTACAAAAAATGATCATCTTTTCTAAACCAATGCGAATTTATCGAGTAATCTTTTGGACCAACCAAAAAAATTGAAATAGTTTTTTCTCCTCAATTATAGATTTTTAAGTGACTGTTGACGGTTGGTATACAAGACACTCTTGCAGTCCTTGTAGTTGCAGACTCCTTCACTTGCAGGGTTGATGGATTATTATCGTTGGCCGTATGGTTGTTTCTTTTTAGTTGTTTCTATTTTTTTTTTTTTTTTTAATTCACTGAGAGGCCTAACCAGTGGTAGAGCTAGAATTGAAGACAAAAGAGGATGATTTTTTTTTTTTTTTATCAAAAGTAAGGAGGGAAAATTAAAAATTTTCAGAAACATAGAAGGTAAATGTTTTAAAATTTTTTGCTGAGGGCGCATGGCTCCCTTCCCTCCGTTTATAGGACTAATGAATTGAAATAACATGACGGACTACTAACATAGATAACTCTTGTCAAATTGGTGAAACGAAGTCCTCCTCTCCACCTACCACTCCTCATGTTAGCGAGAAAACAACTAGACCATATATGATTAGTGTTCTAACTATTAACAAATTAATGGTTAGGAGAGTAAATATTACTAACAGCTAACATTATTAACTTTTCTTATTATTTAAGCTATTAGAAGGTTAAGACTGTGTTCGGTAATAACTTTTAAATAATCAGTCGAAATGCTAAACTTTAGTTTTTTTTAGCGTTCGGTAACATAGTGTTTGATTTAAACTAACTTTTAGATATTAACGTAGCGTTTTATAAAAAATTAACTCATATTAACTTAAATAATGTTTAGCTTAACTTTTTATGAAAAATTATTCAAACAGTTAACAGTTAAACATGTTATAACATCTAATAATTATCAAAACAATTAAATTTGCGGTAGAGATTCTAACTCTCACTAACAATTCAAAGATATATTTTTATATTTAATTATTAAATACTTATTGGACAATAATAGCTTATTGTAAATTACAAATGTAAGATCATAGTTAAAATACTAAATAATACTACATTAAATACATATGACAAAGCAAAGAAATTGCTGCCCAACTTGTTTTATACTTTCATTTTTACGAAATAAATTCAAGTAATTCCTTTCAAAAGGTAATAATTTGGAATAACTGAATAGGTAAATACGGAACAAGTGGGTGTGGAGGGTAAAATAGTAAATGAACAAAAAAAAAAAGGGTGCAACCGGAATAGGAAGTCATTGTGATTCTTTTCTTGGTCAACATGTAATGAGAGAAAATTCAACTTTGAAAGCCACTTGGGAGCTTTGTTGGAACTTTGTCTCTCTTTTGTCCCCTGCTCGTGGCTGTATTATCATCTTGCACTTATTAACTGGAGCCAAATTTTACTTTTCTAAGAGTAAATCATCTAACTTTCCTTATACAATCCTTATACAAGTACAAGGATTTTACTAATTTATCATGTTATTTAAATAATATTTATTTTTATATTATGGATATTTATTATCTTTTATACTTTGAAAGCAATTTATTTTTTAAGAAGTTGATTTCTATATTAAAGACATTCAACTTATATTTTCTGAAAAATAATTTTCTTATAAATTATATTTCCTAAAAAATAGACTATTTGAACTAAACAAGGCTAAATGTTAATATTTATTTAACAAACATAATGCTAATTACGTCATACTAAAACTGTAAAATTCTAAAATCGAACCAAAACCACAGCGTAACTAATAAGAACGAAAGAAGAAAGAAAAAGACAAACGTTACACTAGATGTTTTCTGTCTCAGTATGCAAAATTTGTGATTGCATTCAGATATTTCTTTTTTTTTTTTTTTTTTTTTTTCAAAGATATAGTTGTTATATTAATTATTTAGAATACGGTTATTGGAGCAATAATAGCTTATGTGTAAATTACATAGATGTAAGATCATAGGTTAGAAATATACAGATATGTGAGAGTACTGAGCCATTAGAGAATACAGTATGACAGGGAGGGCAATAGAAGATTGCTGGCCCAACTGTTTTTATACTTCGTTTTTACCGAAATGAAATTCAAGGTAATTCCTTTCAGAAAAGGGTAATAATTTGAATAACTGGATAGGAAATACCGGAACAAGTGGGGGGCTGTGGAGGGTAGAACAAGGGCTAATGGATGAAACAAAATAAAAAGGGGTGGGGATGCAACGGGTGGGAAGGTAGGAATGTCATTGTGATTCTTGTTCGTTGGTCAACATGTAGATGAGAGAAAGAATGTCAGACTGTTGAAAGCCCTTGGGAGCTTTGTTTGGAAACCTTGTCCTCTCTGTGTGGGTGTCCGCCGTGCTTGCGTGGGCTGTAATGGCATTCATCTCCTGCACTTATTAACTGGACGCAAATTTACTTTTCTAAGAGTAGTAATCATCTAACTTCCTCTATGGTACAATCCTGTTAAGCGAAGTACCAAGGATATTTACTGAAGTTTAAGTCAGGTTATTTAAATAATATGTATTTTTATATTATGGATATCTTAGTTATCTTTTATACTTGTGAAAGCAGAAAGTTGATTTTTAGAAGAAGTTGATTTCTATATTCAAAGACATGTGCACTTATATTTTGCTGGAAAAATAATTTTGCTTATTAAGATTATATGTTCCTAAAAAAAAGAGCGTATTTACTAAACGAACGGCGAAAAGTTTAAGGATTTAGTTCTAACAAAGAGTAATGCTAATTACGTGCATACTAAAACTGTAAAGATTCTAAAGAATCGAACCAAGAATCCAGGCAGAGCGTAGACTAAGTGGTGGAACGAAAGAAGAAAGAAAAAGAGCCAAACGTTACCTAGGATGTTTTCTGTGCTCAGTATGGCAAAATTGTGGATGCCATTACAGATATTTCTTTTTTTTTTTTTTTTTTTAAGAAGCTTTATTATAAAAGTATGGTAACTCATCAGCGCCAACTGTCCACGACAAAAAGACAAAATTGATGATTGAGGGATTAAAGAGGTAGAAAGATGGATTCGCATTCTATCTTTAAATTTTTTTTTTTTTTTTTTTTTTTTTTTAAAGAAGCTTTATTATAAAATATTAACTCATCAGGCCAACTGTCTACGACAAAAAACAAATTGATGATTGAAGGTTAAATAGGTTAAAAAATTCGCATTCATTTTAAAGAAAATTCCAGTTAATTTTTATACCGATTAAATTAATTAATTACACAAATAAATCAAAATTTAAGTATTTAAATCTATACATTGCAATAAGATCGTTCTTTTACCGGTGTTGCTTATGCTCGCACTATGTTCACTTATTTTTCTTCTGTCCCAAAAAGAAAATGCAAGAGGTAAAAATAGGAAGTAAAATAAATATGTGCACAAAACCCAAAAAAAAAAAAGCAAAATATATCCACAATGACACTCTTGGTGGAAACATTCTTTTTACTCTTTCTTTTTGGCTTTAGATGATACAGTAATTCTTGACTTTGTTTCGCTGCAAAATGATGATGCAAATGTTCAATTGGTTTTCAAAACAAAATATTTTAAATGTTCTTGGAAAAAAAAAAATATTCCAAAGTGAAAACCAATTTCTAAAATTGCCTTTAATTAAAAAAATCTCATTCTGTAAAATTTCTTCATATGTACTCCATAATAGCACCATCAAAATCATAGCTTGACCTAATTCACATTAAATGGAAGTTGGACAAAATATTGTACAATGGACCAACCACACATTCTGTCATCTTGTTTGGGTCTGACAAAACTCCTCAGTTCATTAAAACAGCCCAAACAAAAGTAAAAGTAAGCATAACATTAAATGCACAAGAAAGAACCAGCAATTGGCTTCCATCTTTTAAATGGTTTTTAGAGAAAGAATAGCATTATAGGCCAATGAGAAAAGGGCATGGCCATTGAAAAGTTTTCCAAAAAGAGGACACATTTCTTAGTCATAGTCTAGTTGGAAATCCATGAAATGAGCTACAAAACAAAACTCACATGGCACATGTAAAATGGTCCTAGCTTGTTAGTTTACACCTCAACCCAAAGAATTGCATGGGAGAAGTTGTCTTGTTCTCATTTTATGTGTTGGTTTAGCCTTGTTAGTCCAAAATTAAAAGTACACCCACACCCCACAAAAGTAAAATCCCTGCCTTTGGCTCCAAGTCATGGCTGGCTTATAAAAACACCATATGGGTTCTTTTTTTTATGGGTTCATTATAAATCCAGAATCTTGATTCTTCTGCTATGGCTACCAAGATTCTGAACACATCTAGTCAAGGTTTTGAGATGGATTGCAAAGAGATTCATGATTCTTGGGGAAGGTTAAACCAATTGGTTAGATCATTGGCTAGTCGGTCCAAGCTCGAAAGGCAACAAATTAGGGAGACTTTCAAGGGATTGTATGGAGAGGATATAACAAGTTTTCTTCAAAGAAAAGAGGCTAAAATTGTTGGATCTAAAGTTTGTACTGCTTTGTCTATGTGGATGGTAGACCCACATGAACGTGATGCTGTTGTGGCAAGGGAAGCTCTCCAACAAGGGGACACTAATTTCAAGGCTCTTGTTGAAATTTTTGTGGGTAGAAAATCAAGTCACATTATGCTCATCAAACAAGCCTATCAAACAAGATTTAGGAGGCAATTGAACCAAGACATTAGCAATCTTGAGCCACCCCACCCCTACCAAAAGGTAAAATCTTGAATTCAATAATTTGTTTTAGCATTTTTTGTGCTTGGTATTTACTATTTTACAAAGGAAAAAACAATGGTGGGTTGGTGTTTTCAGATTCTTTTTGCATTAGCTGCATCACATGAGGCTCACCAAGCAGATGTTAGCCAACATATTGCAAAATGCGATGCTAAGAGGCTACATGAAGCAGGGCAAGGAGGTTCAGCAGCCAGTGAAGAAGCTGTTGTGCTTGAGATTCTAAGTAAAAGGAGCATTCCACAGATGAAACTGACATTTTCTAGCTATAAACACATCTATGGATATGAGTACACGAAGGTATAATGTGTGACAGAGATATCTCTGGTTTCTTTTATCTCTAATTATCTATAATTGCACTAATTTAGATCATTCTACTTCTTCTGGGTATAACTCAAATTAGTGATTTCTTTGTTTAATCTCTATTTTGTAGTCACTCAAGAAGGGGAACTCTAGAGAATTTGCTGCTGCACTTAAAACTGTCATAAAATGCATGTGTAATCCACTTAAATATTATGCAAAGGTAATAACCCATCTTTAATTACTGGTACTCTATGGGTTTACTAAGCTATGTGCATCAAGTCATTAAAGATTTAAACAAGTTTGTTCAAGAACGGTTGCAGGCATTGTACACAAGCATTAAAGGGACAACAACAGATAAAAGTGCCTTGGCAAGGGTGATAATGAGCAGAGCAGAGGTAGACATGGGTGAGATTCAAGGGCTTTTGAAGAAGAAATATGGAATCGAACTAAAAGATGGAATATGTGGAAGCATTCCATCTGGGGATTACAGAGACTTCCTTGTTGCTTTAGCTATAAAGTCGACTGACACTACTGCTTGCAATTGCCATTAGTTGAAATGATGATTCTGCAGTGGCAGAGTTTTTTTTTTATTTGTTTAGGAAAGTGAAGAGGAGTTATATCTATCTATCTATCTATCTATATATAAAGGAGATATGGATCGAACTAAAAGATGAAGATACGTGGAAGCTTCCATCTGTTGTTACAGGAGACTGTCCGTGATGTATGTAGCGTGTAATAAAAGCTCGAGGACAGCGTACGCTTGCAATTGCCATGTAGTTGAAAGTGAGATGATTCCTGCATGGCAGAGTTTGTTGTTTTATTATGTTTAGAAAGGGTTGAAAGGATTATATCTGATCTAGTCGATCTATGCTATAGGGAGGTGTATAGTAGTATAGTAGTATAGATATAGGTATATGATGAGGATATTCTCGAGTTTTGGCTGGTTGCACTGATGATTACATGGTTGCAGTATATCTAAAAAACCCAGCACGTCGAGAGAATATGGGGACGGGTGAGACATGTATCATCTACTAGCGAGTATATATAGAATTCTCAGTTTTGGCTTTCACTGATGTACATTTTATATCTAAAAAACCAGCACCAGAAATATGAGTACTTGAACATGTGATCTCTATACAGTATAACCTCTCATAATCATGAACTGGTTGTCCATGACACACTAAAAATATTTTAAAATTTGGAATTTTATCAACTTCTAGGTTAATTTTAAATCCTATTGCAGATACTGCTTGAATCTATATGTCACTTTTTTCATTCATTAGGAGGCTCATCGGGCCCGTCCTCCCATTTTGTTAATTAAAATGATGAAAAATTTTATATTGGAGAGAGGTCGAATACTTCTCGCATCTTATATAAGAAAAAAGACCGATCAAAACAAACTCGATTAGTTTTATATATTACTTTTAGTAAGCCATAATATAATAAATTACGATCCATCACGCCCACTAAACATAAATCAAAGGTTTCTTCATGGCATATTACTTCCATTCATAATTTAATTTGGTAGTGTAAATTGACAAACCAGTGAACCAATTACCTGTACTTTAACATGTCACCATCCAATAACCATCCAACTTTTGCAGAGAAAAATTATAGATGCAGGACAGTAAGTGCAATTTATTTGGTTCTTTCCTTTTGCTATCTGACTATGAAAGCAAATGAATCAAAACAAAATATGAAAATCACGTATATGCTTCTGTTTTCTTTGTTATCGAAAGAAGACCGTCCACACTACACCTGATAGACTGTTTTTCTTAGTTATTACTATTTGATTAACATTAAATTAACTTTAATTGACTTGACTTATGGGTGTTTATTGGCAAATAGATAAAAATAAAAACTTTAAAATAACGGGGGAAAAGTTTCCCTCCATTGTTGGACGATCTAGAAAACTTTTCTTGTAGTCTGCAAAATCGACAGGAAAAGGTTCTCCTGTAACTTGGAACAATAGAAAACATTTCCAGACAATATGAAAACCCAACAGACTCAAATCCTTAGATATTCAAAAAGGAATTATTCGTCTCCAATTGCAAGAGGTAGTCCATAAGTAACCTCTTGCTAATTAGCCTACACCTTCTTTTAGCTGTTATATGAATATAAAAGAGCTACGAGGAAAAATATAAACAGTCCTCCATTGATATTCTTCTTCAATCCAAAAGCTTTAAGAAACCAAACCAGTTTAGCATCAATGGCTGGAGCTAATATAACTTCCTACGAGGATTTCGAACCGTACTGCAAGTGGCAAAGAGCGCCGGAATGCGACACTCTCGAGGTTCATCTCCATGGTATATATATCACATTCTCTATCATTTTAACTTTTTGGTTTTAATATTTTCTGTTCCATAACCAAAAAAAAAAAAAAACACATCTTTTACATTTCCTTGCACATATGGTTTATGCAGGTTTCAAAAAGAATCAACTCAAGATTAACGTCAGCAATCTTGGAGTTATGACAGTAACTGGAGAACGTCTTTTAGATGACAGCAAACGGAGTCGTTTTTGCAGAGAAATAAAGCTTTCAAAAGACCATAAAACTAATGAAATTCGTGCAAAATTGACCGGTGGCATTCTTTACATTGTTATGCCCAAGAAAGCACCATTATCAACCTTATTAGCGCCGGAAAATCAAGAAAGTGAAAGAACGAGAAAAAAGGCCACGTCAAATAAAGAATTGGTTAATACTACTACTATGATCAGTACTGAGAATAATGCTGCATTGCTTAACCTTAATAAGCTATCAAGCTATGGATTTCCATTGAAAGATTGGGTTTTGAAGCTTCGAACTAGAAATTTTGCTATAGCATTTGCTGCGGTGATAGTTGTTACTGCATTTGCAATGTACAAGCATCATCAGCCCCAGAATTGTTGAAAACTAGCTATGCTAGAATTAATTACGTCCCTGTATATATATTTAAAATTATTATATAACCTTTTCTGCTCTCTGTATATGAACCTTTTAATGTTTAATTTCCATAAACAGAAACTGAAATAAATTAACTTTATTTTGTTTGGAACAAAGACACCTTCTAATATATATTTTAGTACTGATGAATTTCCGACGGATTTTATCAGTTACTGATGGAATTTTCCTCCTGATATCTATAGTTTTTTGTTTGTCACGGAAATGATACTTTCAGCAACAATTGCCATTGATAAATATCTGGTTTTACTTATCTGACTCCATTACGGTTTCCATTGGTTTTAATGCAACTTTCGAAATTCGAAAACAGTGAAGTCATTTGAATTAAATATATATACTTTTTAAGAATTTATACAAAAAAAAAAAAAAAAATGAGTCATTGAAATTTAAACTATATATAACTTTTCATTAAGAATATATAATACAAAAAAAAAAAAAATTCTTCATTATCAAAAAATAAAAAAATAGGAAAATATAATTTTTACATTATACACTGATTTTTTGTGAATCCTAATAAATTATATATGGAAAAAAGTAAATATAATAAAGCAAATAAAAAAAAATTATAAAATGAGTTAAATATCACATCACATAATAATATTTACATGAATTACATTAAAATTATGAAAAAAAAAAAAAAAAATTCTTCATTCAAAAAATAAAAAATAGAAAAATATTTTTTCATTATAACTGATTTTTTGTGAATCCCTTAAATTATATAAATGGAAAAAAAGTAATATAATAAAGCAATAAAAAATTTATAAATGGTTAAATTCACACATATAATTATTTACATGATTAACTTAAAATTATGAATATAATCAATTAATTTTTTTAAGTAATTTAGTCGTTGATAATGTATGCTTATAACTTTGACAAACTGTTGGATTAATAGAAATGAACTGCGTTTGCAAGATAATTTTATTACAGTGTCAAATGTTCGAATTTTAGAGTTGCTGCTACCGAAGCTTTTACTAATACCATTCTGGTTCAAAGGGTGAAAATGGAAAACCAGCTTTGTGCATGAAAAACATAAAACTATATATATTTCTAGCTTAAGAAAGAATCCATAAAAAGATTAATCAAGCTATAATAACTTTCCTTAAGAAACTGAAATGAAAGATTCTTTCCTTAGATGAAACCCAAAAGCAACCTCTTAAAAATACCATGTTTGATTCCACACATGATTACCCTAGCAGTTAGAACCATATATATGATTTCTCCTTCAGCAAGAGTTAAGACTCATAGAACCAGAAAATCAAAAGAAACCTCTAATGGAGACCAGACCTAAACCAACCATCAACTATGAAGATTTTGAACCTCTATGCAAATGGAAAAGAGAAGAAGAAAGAGACTTGCTTGAGGTCTATCTCCAAGGTATATACTTCTCATTTTTCTCTATAATAAAAAAATTATCAAATCTAAAAGTTTATGAAATTAAATCCTATCTTCTATTTTCTTCTTATATGACTTCTATTTTCTTTATTTATAGATTTTAAAAAAGAAAACATTAGAGTACGAATAAATCGTAGTGGTATTTTGAGCATAGAAGGAGAATGTCTTTTGAATAATGATATTCATCATCGTTTCAAGAAAGAAATAAAAGTTTCAAAGCAATGCAAAATAAATGAAATTCGCGCAAAATTCAGTCGGAAAGGAATTCTTTACGTAACATTTCCTAAGAAAATGCTTTCAACGTTCAAAATTTTGAGCAGCAGTGAAAATGGCAGCATCAGCACAAGTTTGCCATCAAATTGCCTACTAGGTGGCACAGAAACTTCAAGTTTCAAACTAAATGATTTGGCTGTGCAAGTTGGAGCGGTAGCACTAATTGCTGTGGCTTTTGGTGTCTTTGGATACAAATATTTCAGTCATTTAAGATAATTGTTTCTGTTTTTATTCATCGTTTGGACTGTTTTTCGTAAAGAATAATGAAATGTAAAATATAATTCTGTACTTTTTTTTTAGTAATAAAATATTTATATTATGAAATTTACTTTTTTAAGCTTGTTGATTTTATCGGGATATGTTCGACAAAATTAACTCTATTTTAGTAGAGTTTGACCGTTAACTTTTCATGAAACTCTAAATTAACTTTTCACAAAAATATTATCGTAATCTCTAAAATCTGTCTAAACACTAAATAACTTTTTTAAATAATAGCAAAATGTTAAAAATTATTTAAAAAGCTGTTGTCAAATGCGGCTTTCATTTCAACTCATCAAATAAAACATAAATTGCTTTTGAGATATTTGGATTTCTAAAGCATAAATGACAACTATTTTTTTCAAATTTATAAATTATGCATTTATTTCTTAACGAGTTTTAGATTTCAAGTTTTTTCTTTTTTGAAGGGTAGAGTTCAAGTTGTATCATGCTTTTTCTTTTACAATTTAAGATTTAATTAATATTATTATTGTTGAAATTTGAGAGATTAAAGATTCAAATTCAAAATCTATCAATTAAAAAAAAAAAGGATTTCAATTCAATCTTAAAAATTGAGTTAACTCTGTGGTTTAATTAAAATGATTATTTTTTTTGGAGAAATAATTAAGATAAATATTTTTATTTGTAGGTTATTTTCGTCATTCTTTAACAAAGACAAACATCTTTTATGTAAATGCACAGAATCAAGAGTGAATTCTCTCTGATCCAGGAAACGGTAATCTACTGTAGGCTATAGTTCTACTTCCTTTCCTTTTGGTGTTAAAAAAAAAAAAAAAGAGAAACCTCTGAAAATAAGAAAAAAGAAGATAAAAAACATCAAAAAATGGCTCCGAAGAAGCAGCCTCCAGGCCCCCGCCCGAAACGCGCCGTGAGAGCCACCTCCAAGCGTTCCGTTCCTGACCCTAGCACTAGCCCTAATCCTTCTTCTAGTTCCTTGACCGCTGTTAAATTTCAACACAATGGTGAAATCAAAACAACAGCAGAATCAGCTCCTCAAGGTACCGCTTTGCCGATTTTTTCTCCTCCGATCGCAACAGAAACAGCTTCCTCTAGACCTTCGATTATAGGTAATGCAGAAACCGGGTCCGTAAGCGCAGTGGAAGAGACGCTGCAAAATTCTGCAATGGAACCAAGAAATGAAATAATTAGCGCGGGAAACGAAACCCTAGCTCAGGAGAATGGGAATCCGGAAGTCACGCCTGGAATTGGCACCGGAATGCTGGGGAATGCAGCGATTGCTGGGAGCGAGAGTGCTAATGAGACAGGGAAGCCGAAGAAGAAAAAGAAGAAGGTGGTGGTCAAGGTTGTGAAGAAAATAGTGAAGAAGAGAGTGCCTAAATCAATGCTTAAGGGCCTGCTTGCTCGTTCAAATAAAGAATTGACGACAGAGGAGGTTTTGGATGATAATGGTGGAAAAATTAGCTGCGGTGATGGTGTTTCTCCTACATTACAAGAAGTTGCAATGGTCAAATTGAGTGAAGGATCATCAGAGGATAAAAGATTGGAGAAACAACGGGAGATTTTCAATGTTGAACCTACCATACCTGAGCAGGAAGTTGGAAAGGTTGATTCTTCAATTTCTGTCCCGGTTGAAATTTCTGATGCTACCGTGACACTGTCAGTTGAAGAAGCTGAAAACCCAAATCAGCCTGTTGATGCTTCTACGGAAGTTCAAATGTTGAAAACAACGGATGAAGAAGGAAAAGAAGTTTCTGCTAGTGAAATTCTAGTGGATGGTGAAAAGAATGATGGTGCAGTTGAATCTGATTCTGCTATTGCAAAGCCTATGGAAGTGGTAAATGTGAATGCAGTTGGGGATAGAAATAGCGAGTTTTCTGTTGGTTTTTCTACGGAAGTTGAAAAGTTGAAGACAATTGATGAAGAAAGTAAAGAAGTTTCTGTGGGTGAAATTCCAGTAAATGGTGAAAAGAATGATTTTGTAGCTGAGAAATCTGATTCTGCTACTGCAATGCCCATGGAAGTGGTGAATCTTGGTGTAGCTGGGGACAGAAATAGTGAGTTTGCTGGCTTGAGGAGTGGATATGGGGAGGTTGAGAAGGACGTGGAGAAAGGTAATGGCAGGATAGTTTTAAGTGGTGAATTGGAAGCACTGGAGAGGAGGAGGAGGAGGAAGACGGAGATTTTTATTGGTGGATTGAACACTGTTGCTAAAGAGGAGGACGTCAGGAAAGTTTTTGAGGAAGTGGGTAATGTCGTGGAGGTAAGGTTGGTGATTAATAGCAAGACAGGGAAGAATAAGGGCTTTGCATTTGTGCGGTTTGCTTCAGCAGCTGATGCAAAGAAGGCATTGGACAAATACTCAAATGTTGAGGTGATCACTTCTATGGATTTAATTTTAATTTTGCCCTTTTTATTTGAATGAAATTTGTATCTTCGCTTCATGGTAGTATAGCGAAAGTAAACTTTAACTAAGACAAGTGGCTAACTGGTCGAAGTTTGGAAACTTCTTGCATAGTTGTCAACCCGAGATTCGAATCAAGGATCCGAATCCTAATTTTCTGAATCAAGAATCAAATTGAATTGTAAAATTCGATATTACTTTTCAAAATCAATTAAGACTAACACATAAACATTTATACACGTATTTCCTATTAATTTTATCGAAAGATACTAAAAATACAATTTCAAATCATGTATTTATATAAATTTCAATTTGAAATCATGTACTATAACACAAAAGGAAAGATAAAACAACGACTATAACACAAAAGGAAAGATAACCCAACGGTTTTGTTGTCTTCAAATTCAAAATATCAAACTATTTAGTCAAAAATAGGTCTCCGAATCATTTGAATCTACCGATTCGTTGCCATTCTGACTATTCGCCTTTGATTCCATCACACACAGTATTTGTATCATTGGGCATGAGAATCAACTCAAATTGCACGATTCAAATGGAATCATATGATTCTAATAACATTGATTTCTGGTTGCCATGTGCATGTCTTTGAAATCTAGGCAGTTTAGAGTGACATCAAACTATATAACCTCAGAATATATTATATCCTCAACTCTTGTTATAGCACCTCACTCCGCTATGGTAGTTTTTCTTCCTTTTCAATTGACAATGCTTGTCAAGACTCCGAGTAGATATTCAGTACAATGAGTTGGTGCATATAATGATAGAAAGTTGATATCATTAAGACTGCTTATAACTAAGATCAAGTCCACTGCTTTTATTAATTTCAGCGATTTGAACTGTTTTGTTCTTTATCATTAATCGCATGCCGCATTTAGTGATGGAATACTCCTTTTGAAATGGAAACAAAAATTTGAAGTGATTTCTTTCCATATTGACTATAATTTCCATACAATACAAGTTCCTGATGACAAGACCATAGGATGAGATTATTGGAGAGACTTGTTTCATTTTTGATGTTTTTCTGTCCCGATACTCCTAATTGTGACTGCAAGTTTATCCTAAATCTGCCTCATGTTTTAAAATTGAAAATTTCCCCATCGTCATTTTCATCTGCTGCATGATCTTGCGATACTTTTAGCTACTCATATTAGTTTGATCATCATTCTATTTATGACTAAACATCTCTCTTTCTCCCCCCTTCTCATTTCACATTATAGATTTGTGGAAAGCAGTGTACTACAGCACCAGTTGAGGGCAATGATACACTTTTTCTTGGTAACATTGACAAAAAGTGGAAAAATGAAGATGTAAGGGCTTGTGCATATATTGATTTCTTCACTGAATGTTTGAATTATCAATCTCAAAGTTATATATCATGTCCGACAGGTTATAAAACTTTTGCAAGAGATAGGAATTGAAAAAATAGATAAAGTCACAGTGATGATTGACCCTTCTAATGTGGAACGTAATCGTGGGTTTGCATTTTTAGAGCTTGAAACTTATAAAGATGCTCAAATTGCTCTCAAGAAACTCCAAAAAAAGGACCTGCTAAAGCTTCAAAATATAAAAGTTGCTTGGGCTGAACCCTTAAGTGAGCCAGATGAAGAAGAACTTCTCAAGGTCTGTCCACTAAGACTTCTTATCTTTTAGAGTTCCTGATGCAATTATTTCTTCACTTATCTATGCTTTATGCAGGTGAAGTCAGTTTATGCAGAGTATTTACCTTCCTCATGGGATGAAGAGAAAGTGGGAAGTTACTTTACGAAGTTTGGAGAAATTGAAAACGTTGTTCTTTCCCGCAATCTACATTCTTCAAGGAGAAAGGACTTTGCCTTCATTAATTTTAAGAACCGTGAAGCAGCTCTTGCATGCATCGAATCATTCAAGAATGAAATGCTGGCAGTTGAGGGATCTCAGGTTTTTTTTTCTTTCAAAGAAACTGAGTTTGCTTATTATGATATGTATTATTTTATAACTAAATGATGTATATGCTACGATGTTTAGGTAAATGTGAAGGTATCCCTTGCAAAACCTATGCCTAAGGGCAAGCCTCATAAAAAAGTCCAGAAGTCTACTAATAAAGAAATTTCCAAACAGAAGCAAGTGAACCGACGTGAGTGTTTATTTTCTCCCAGTGGCAAATATAATTCATGTATGGATAATATCTGATGGAATATACATTTCAATTGTCGAAGGATTGAATAAAATAAAAGCAAAAAAAAAAAATATATTTTGATTAATTTCTTGTGGCATGCTGATTCCCGCTAAGACTGTTGCCCTTATTAAATTGTGCACCGGAGAAGAGGTTTCTGCATGTTAACCTTGGGATAGTAGTTGATGGTAAGAAGATAAACATACATTTGTACCTTGTTGGACAAGTTTACCAAGTTAGGAATCCATCAATTACTAGTAATACAAGAAAAACCTAAATTAGTAAAAAATAAATAAAATAAATGACAATAATGAAGTAAACGCAAATGCTGTTTTATCTTTCCGATAGGCCTGAAATGAGAAAAGGAAAAAAAAAAAAGATCCTAAATTAAATATATAAATAGAATAGAATATAATATAGAAGAGCTCATACATAAATTGGAGAGTGGAGAAAGCCATTTTTTAGCAATGACATCATATTTCATAACCTAGTGGTCTAAAAGCTTGGGGATCACAAGATTACTAAAACGGACCAGTTTGCTTCTTTTTTTTTTTTTTCTCTCATAGTGAGAAACATGTGCGTGGTAGGATGATGAAGTATCACTTCCTTTTCTTTCAGGTCCTGAAAAGCCAATTGAACCCAAAATAAAGGAAACTCCTATAATTCAAATTAACAATCAGAGGACGGATGATACAAGATCCCCTGGAACTGCTGATCTTGAGAAACTCTTAGCAGAGAGAGCTCTATGGAAGCAAATGCAATCAAGATTGGGTACAGGTATTTTGTTGTTATCTATCTTGTTTTATTCTAGATTTGGTTACTTCTTGGTTTTGAATCAGAACGGAACTTTTAGGTGTACATACCAATGAAACGTGATACTTTTGATTTATGCTCAAGAATTCTTGATGGACTTCTCTGCCTATAATTACCATATGCTTCTTGCATTAACTGCAGTTTCATTTTTGGTTGAATATAGTGCAACTTTGGTCAATATAGGCTAGTCAATTATCAATATGAACTGGTATTAGCAGGATCCTTGCCAAGGTTCCCATTGTTAATCAACTAATCATTAATGAAATTTAAGAAATCCTTCACAAGGAGATGCTTGACCTGGTATACCGATGTGGCTATACACCCAACTTTCGTTAGCTACTGTTTTTCCTAAAATTGGGGGCAACAGGTCCCATATGGAGTTTTTATAATCAACTAAATAACATTCCATAATTGTGAGCAGAAATAAAACACGAGACATTAACTGCCGCAAGAAAATATCTGCTGGTGATAGAGATCAATAAGGATTGTGTTAACCATCTTAACATCATTCCAAAGTTGGGAGCAAAATGTTGACAATATTAATCAACAATCTTGAGCTCTGCTGCATGTTTACAAGATCAAACATTCCTTAATATCAATTTGGGAAAAGTTTAAACCAGTCTTGATGTGTGCTGCATGCTGGATTTCTGTCATTTACAACTTTAATCTGATTCAAAGCAAGGCTTACCATGAGAATTAAACAAGACTTGTGGAGCTAGGAATTAATGGGGATATTACAAATGCAATAGAGGTTACTTGGGGCATAGGCTGGTCTTGCGTATAAATCCATGTTTGCTTTGTCTTAATCATCAAATATCCTAATATCATTCCCACATTGTCCATTGATAGTCGCTCTCAGGGAAGATAATAGCAGGTCTCTTTTATTCCAGCTTTACAAATTACAGTCCCTTGTATCTCTGCAGTCTTTTAGCTATTCCGCTAAAAGCAGAAAAAACAGAATTCTTACGGAAATACTTGATTTTGAGATGCTTCCACTTATTCTCTCTCTCTCTCTCTCTCTCACTGATGGATAGGCATGGCCAATCTGGATTATCAGCAATCATCACCTGGACAGAAACGCACTTTTTCTGCTTTGGTAAGTTCTAACTGATTGCTGGACAAACCTTTCTAATTTATATCTTTCATTGTCAGCTGCCCTCAAATTATCTTTATATATGCAGGGAGATAATTTAAACTATTCAGAACTAAGAGGGTACCCACGTGTTCGTATGGAAAATTCATTTCCGGCTGGACGCCCAAGGTAAATCTCGTTTGAATTCCTTCTAATTTCTTCCATTTACTTATATGTAATCGCCCAACCCCTACACACCAAGGTTGCTTGATTGTAGTATGACCGTTTAACAAATAACCTTTTTTTTTTCTTCTTTTTTTGTTCTCCTTAGCTATGATGAAGTTCCCCCAAGCTTTGGTGTGGCTCCTCCCTCTTATTATCAGCAACGAGGTGCTGATTATTCAATAGGTGAACTCCTATGTGGCATTAATGTTGATTTATGATAACACTTAGTTATGTATAGTTTTGTTATTTTAGTTTCACATTGTTTTCCATTTTTTTTGTCAGGTCACAGATATTCAGATTATGCGAATACTTTTCAGGTACTGATCAATTCGTTTAGAAATTTTAATTGCTGTAGTAATCCAACGAAAGACCTTTTTTTTTCCTTTGCATATTCCTTTTGATGGTAGAAGATTGTTCTAGAGAAGATCTAAGTTTTTCACTCAACTAATGTCACATATGAAATTGGGAATCTAACAAGCCACTCTGATTACACTTTCAAATAAATTTTTCTATGAATACTGCTGTTATCTTATTTGGAGTGGGGATTGTCGGTTCCAATTCTGTCACACCAACTGTATACTTCCATTTACAAATGAGAGAATCTGATGTTAATATTATTTACCGCGTTGGCATGAAGAAAATTGATTTTGCTGTATAATTTGAATCATTGGCATGGCCGCCTCTGCCCTTCCCTTTGTGGATGGAGACTTCCATTTGTCCATGTTGTCGTTATTGTAAACACTCCTTTGTTAGCCAATAACCTGTTCTCTGACCAGATAAAAAAATTATAGGTTGTTGTACCTTGCAAAGGTCTGAATTAGAGAGAAGCGTGCCTCCTCTAATATGGATAGGGGGAATTCAAGTCACTGATGAAATCCCTACCTGTAGATATCATATACACTTAAAGAGTGTTCCTTTTGGATGCATCAGAACGCCAATATTGATTTATCAATTCCAATTTTGGAGGTGGTAGGCGGGCTTATGGAGTCAGAAGGAAGTTTTTCAGGTAATGTGTGTGAAAGAATGGTTCTAGCTGCCCTTATCTATGTCAGATGGGGGGCTGTAATGAGAGAGATTCCTTTGGCTTTAGAGTTAGGTTTCTCCAGTGCAGGGGATAGTTCCAAATGATCCCCATCCTATTACTTTTAATGCAAAGGACTATCCTATCCATAGAAGGGCATGGTGGCAGAGAACAGGGAGGTAGCCCAACTACTTCCAAAAGCAGGTTAGGAATCCATAGAAGGAGAGGGATGGGGCAATCCAACCCCAATCACTGGTATGCCAATACAGAATGTAATATCTGCCTCTCAGATAAGAGGATTCTCGGATGCTTCATTTGCATTTTGTAAATAAAGAAAATAATTCATTATCATAAATTTAGCACAATACCAGCATATAGGAAGTACACAAGGAAGCAATTTGAAAAGAAATAAAAAGGAAAGGTCAATATTCAAGCCAACTACTGGGGCTTCGAATATGCAAAACACCGAAGGAAAAATAGAAAGCAAAGGAAAGAGTTGTCAGCACCCTTCACTCAAGTCTTAGTCCTAATCGGCTGGCCAACATATTATCATGAATGGCGTTGAATATTTATTTTGCAGCTTTCAGAGTTCATTTTGAAAGATTTATGGTCCTTCCTGAAGATTTTGTTATTTATTATCTGCTATTATTGAATCTCAGTTTAGTAAGACAGGGCTGAAGGCACCTGTGTTCATCTTGCAAATGAATGATGATTGCACTGATAGCAGAGTCATTTTTGTATGTCTAAGTTCAAATTCATTATGTTTGCCGATGATAGATTTGGAGCATAAAGAATGCTTCATACTGTTCGGCCTGCTTTACCTCTATGTTCCTTTGTCTATCTATAGCCCTTTAGTATCAATAGATATGATTTTCTAGGGAAGTACTAAATATGTCCTTCACATGTATTTAGTGTAATATGAAAATATCACTGTTTATAGTAATATATGAATTTCATTGCAGAGGGAAGATGCTCCTTGCCGAGGAAATATTGGCAGAGACTACTACAGATGTAAGCACACATTTTGCCCCATTACCTGAACCTATCTTCATTATTTCTATAAATTTTTCGAAATATCCTAGAAGAAAATTTATTGGTTGGAAATATAAAGTCTTCATTTCAATTGATTGGTTCCACAGTTTCTATCCCGTACAAAATGAGAATGGTCAAGGATCTGTTTAGATTGGCAGTTGTGATTAGTTGGTGGTAGTTTGATGGTTAATAGACAGTGGTTGGAGGTGCAAACACTACCACCTAGAAATCAATTTTTATTGTTTTGGTTAAAAGTTTGAAACTCAACTCTGAACACCATGTCCTTGGCCTATAAATACTGGGTTTGGGTATACATTTCTGTGAACTATTTTCAAATTTTAATTATTTAGTTCTGCTGATAGTTTCTTCATTTTGTACAGATTGATGAATTCATCTGATGTTGGAAAAGGCGGAACTAACAGGCTTTTAGGATGAAGCGAGGAAATTTTTTACTTGCGGCGTCTTCTAAGTTAACCTGTATCATTTGTTGTTGCAATTAATAATGTAATATATGAAAAATCTTGTATAGGTTAACTTAATTCTTTTAATAGCAGTTATACTTTAATTATTTCATACCTCCTTTTTTCACGAAGTATCAGAGAGCATGAAAATTGATATTTAGGTTATATTGCTTTGATTTTGGTTCTGTTTTTGAATAGTCATTGAGTATCTGTTTGGTTCAGCGGTTCATACTAGTTAGTAGTTGTTGGCTGATGATGACTGATAACAGTTAGTTTGGGTACTTTTGCTGATACAAGTACATCTAGAACTGGCGCTTCTTTTTAACGGAACATCCAACTTATCCAATGAAGAAGTGTTTGCACGTAAAATGTCTAGAATGGATATGTTTGGTGCTCATTTTCAGGGGATAGAGACCATGATTTCTTCTGGTCCATAGAGGTTATGTATGGGATCAACAATCAGCTCCAGATAGTAATATAGTTGCTGTAGCTACATCCATTTCCACCACCTGCAGAATGATTGGTTTTAATTATTTTGTTTTTCGTATTTCTTGCTATGTTGAGTTGAATTTCTTTTGATTATTACATATTTTCAGACACCGTTCCTGTTTCCATTAAGTATTTTGAATATTTGTGCTTGTGTTTTCTTTTGTTTAGTGTTTCTTTTCGCAGATTGATACTTTTTGGCGTCCGGCTCTTATCATATCTTTTCCTTGATTCTTATTGTAATTTTCAATACAATGGTGGTAATGGTTTCTTTGCCCTCTTATTTTTCTGTCACATTCTTGATAATATGATAAGTTTGGAGAATTGATTTTAGGCACATTGGGGATAATGTGCTAGAGTAAAATTGCGAGAAGGGAAATTTTAGTCAAAAGTTTTGTTTTTTTATATATTTTTTTAAGCTTAATATGGTTGAAATAATTATAAGCAAGATAAGAAACTATCATTATTTATGAAAATTGTGATATTTTGAGTTATTTTCTACTCTAGTCATGTTTTATCTTAAAAATTAAAGTCTTGACTTAATATGATTCTTTGATTTAAGCATTTTTATTTTTAAGATCATAAACACCAATTTTTGTGAATTTTTATGATGGGTATGTATGTTTGATCAAGACTTATCGACATTCCTAGAATAATTTAGAATTTCTCTCGAGGCAACGTTTTTAATGTTCGCATTAGGAAAAAAAATGATTTAGGGATTCTTTGTTTATAACTCATTTTTAGCCTAGGCCACCCTAAGTTGAATTATGACATTTGCAATCAATTTGAAGCCTACAATCAAAATTTTCTTATTTACCCTTATTAAAACCTAGCCATAAAATCAATTTGAGAATCCATACCTAAGTACAATAATTTATAATTGAAGGAATTGATTTTATTAAGACATAGCAAGGGAATAAAAGGGAGATTATTTCATAATCACTAGCAAGCAAAAAAAGTAAGAAATTCAAAGAAGAAATGCCCTAGGAAAGAACAAGTAATCAAAATTGAAGTTTGGGGAATTTTAGAGCAAGGAAGAAATTATCAAATGTTATGAAGAAACCTTGCCAAAGTTTCTCTAATTTTTAGCTAGTGAAGAACTTCAAGCAAAATCTCCTTTTACAAATAAGAACATACGCTTTGATTTAATTAAATATAGATATCATTCATTCTTTGTACTTTTTGTCGTCTTTTATCCAAAAAAGTAAGAAATTCAAAGAAAGAAATGCCTAGAAAGAAGTAAAAAATTGAAGTTTGGGGGAATTTAGAGCAAGGAACGAAATTAAAATCAAATCGTTAATGAAGAACCTTGCCAAAGTTTCTCTATTTATTAGCTAGTGAAAAGCTAGTGAAGAACTTCAAGCAAAATCTCCTTTTACAAATAAGAACATACGCTTTGATTTAATTAAATATAGATATCATTCATTCTTTGTACTTTTTGTCGTCTTTTATCCATTTTCTTTGCTAAACTAATCTTTAAACCTTAAAACTTCATTTCAACCCTAATCAAATACCTTTTGATTTCTTCTAAGTGTGCTGCATTTAAATTGGGAAAGGGGACGAATATTTTTGCCTATGGAAATATTGAATCAATATCAATCTATTCAAAGATTAATAATGCTTTGAAGATTCATAACTTATTTGTCATAATCTGAATATTTTTTGGTGTTAAATATCTTATTAACTTTTGTTTACATTTAAGAATTTATTTTGCTAACAATTTAGTTTTTGGCTAAAATATAATTATTGAAGGAAACACTTGATTTATTTTCATGTTACTTAATTTTGATATTTTCCTGAAATTGTGAGTGTGAGTAATTATCCAGACCATAAGAGGTAGCCTTGTTAGTGTATAATGTGTTGTCGGTTCTTTCCTTTGTTGTTGTAGTTTGTGTTGCAGTTAAAACAATTTAGTTTTTGGCTAAAATATAATTATTGAAGGAAACACTTGATTTATTTTCATGTTACTTAATTTTGATATTTTCCTGAAATTGTGAGTAATTATCCCAGACCATAATGAGGTAGCCTTGTTAGTGTATATAGTTTGTGTTCTTCTTTTGTTTTTAGTTTTGTTGCTTAAGGAAAAACAATGGTTTAAGTTTGAAGAATTTTGATAGGTTTTATTTTTATAGTTAATTTTAGCATTTTTTATTTAGGTTTTTATTTAGTTTTTGTTAATTTCTATTTTATTCCAACTGAGTTTATTTATGTTTTTCAATAAAGCTTCCTTGAATCACATATCACTTGAACTTTAGGAATTTTATAGGATTTAGATAGGAAATCAGTCAAAAATACAGAAAAGAGTGAAGTTAAGCAAAACTCTCAGAGTCGAGCACGCCCTGGGTGTGCAATTCAGCACCCCCGTGCTGAATTCAAGGGAAATTATCATGGAAATTCAGAGTCTAGCACACTCCAGTCATGCTATCTAGCACGCCTGTGCCTCAAGAGAATATCGATCCAAGGGCATGCTCACTTGAGCACGGCCCGTGCTGCATTCACCTTGGAGACTCAAAGCATAACACACCCATACTGTGCTTTCTAGCACATCCGTGCTGATTGCCTGACTTCATATTAGGCCGAAAAAGACAAATTTAGCCCGTGCTGTTTGCATGGACTCGCATGAGATGCTTTTCTGACGTGCTAATCAAGTTTAAATCCTATCAAGCCGCTAGAAGAATCCTAAATCGAAGAATACAAAGCCTAAATAGTTTCCTACATCAAATCTATTTCTTCCTCATTAGAGATTCTATTTCTTAATCAAATTCGGAGATTTCTCATGGAGTCTATAAAAAGAGAGAGTTTAGCTAGGTTAGAGAGATCTTTTGATTTCTGGTTTTCTTGTTTTCTAGATAGTTTTCTCTCTCTTTAAGACTTCAAGTACTCAAGCTGATGTCAAGATTCAAGAAACTATTCAAGACAATTATTGACTGGTTTTTATTTCTAAACTCTCTTTTGTTTATTATTCTTTATAAGATTATTTACAAATTGAGTTGATTTATTCACTATGTTGAGCTAAATCTCTTTACTACGGATATGATGTAATTTAAATTCAACTTCAGTTTATAATATTAGATTTGATTTTTTTATTCAAGTAAAATTTATTATTGATTTTAATGCTTTCAGGTAGAATTTATCTCATGGATTAATCTATTTCATTAATCATGAGAATAACAACTTGATATGAGAACTAGATGGTTTGACTTATCCGAGGTTTTCATAAAATTAAAAGCCTTAATTTTGTGAATTCTTGAATAATCATAGAACTTAGTGATTTAATCTACGTTTGGTTGCACCATTGAGAGATGGCTAATTGAATTAGGTTAAAATAACTAATAAAACATCAAGAGAGCTTATTAGCGAATTTAGGGTTGTTTCGCCTTCTTGAATAATTAAAGTTGATTATCAAACTAATAGGATAAACTAGATAGAATTAAGTGAAGCCAAAATCCCTAGTAATTTTTAAACCTTGATTTCTTTTTAATAACTTCTTGCTTGATCTCGTTCTTGTTGGTTTTACTTTAATTCTTTTATTTTCAAATACACTCTCTTTATTAACGTTTAAATAATAGTAAGTTAACACAATTTTGATAATTGATATATAATTTTCGTGGGATGATAATTTACTCATTTATTTATTTGCGATTTCATACACTTGTGAAGAAGCCTGTCAATACGATTGACGTTGAGATAGCCAGTGAAAATCTGGATGGAGTTTATGAGCCACAGGAAAACTCTGGTGCAGAGTTCTAGCAGCAATAATTTACCAACGAAGAAAAATTGCCACTCTTGAGTTGAACCTCATAATGCTTTGATCTTTTTTTACTAATAAAAACCAAAATTTTATTGTCAAGAGCATAATAACCAAATATCATTGTTAATAAATTCCATTTCAAGAGAATGCCAATACAAAATTGCTCCTCACAAAAGAAAATAAAAATCTAATACAAGGAATGGCAGCTTATTAAAGGCAAGTGCTGCATCACAACACAGAAATAAAATTAATAAAAATAACAATAATTGTATCCATGCTAAAACCTTATTGTTGAGAAGTAAACTCAATATGTCTATGATGATTCTTGGGATCATAGTGTAACAATTGCAATTGCAACCACAGCTGCAATCAAAATCTGAAACCAAGATGAGACAAATGTGTAGGAATCATTGGATTCTGGAGTTGGTGCTGGTGCTGATATTGGACCATTAGATTCTGGTGCATCAGATATTGGACCATTAGATTCGACATTAATGACTAGCTTCTGGCCTTGAGCACAGTGACCAGTAGCGCCGCATATGTACCATTTCTTGCCTGGTTTCCCAAGGGGGATTGTGTCGTTTCCAGTGTTCAAAAGATCATTGGAAGGTATGCAATTCTTGAACTGATCTCCATTCACTTTGTATACATTGTGTGGTGACTGGTACTGGAACACTGCAATTTTGTGTTGCATCAAATTTGAAAATTAAGTGTTCTTGAAATAATTCGAAAGCTAAATATATTCATGCTTTTGAATGGAAAAATCAAATGAAGAAACTCGATTATACATACCTAATCTGTCACCAACGTAAAATACTTTGTCCTTAGCCCATTCAGTGTAGTTAACGCCAACTTTCCAGCCTTCATCATCACCAACTACGTAATCAGTTGCCATGGCCACTGTGGGAAGAATAATTGCAACAATGGCAAAGCAAACAAACTGATAACTTTTAGAAGCCATTGAAGATTGATCGATTAAGTTAGTTCTGATGCCTCCTTAATTACTGTAATTAATTAATCTCCAATAGAATGTGTTGTTCTGCTTAAGGAAAATATGGGGTCTTATTTATAGATAACCTTTTACGACAAAATTAATGTATTAGAGCAACCGGCAACGGTCGGCACAAGAAATTAACATTGATTTACCCGAAATAGCTTGCAGGCGACAAGAATATATATAATAGCTAATATACACAAACACAAAGCAAGCCATGTGCCATAGATTTAATATGTGTGTATATATATATAAGAGCATATAGACATACTCCTGGTACTTAGTGGGTTTATTTTATTTTTTAAATGTTGGGTTCTGCTCCGAAACATATATATAGAGAGATGTTATACAACCAGGTGACTATGTTAACAGATTAAAGTTTATGCATCAGCAATTTGGCATATGTAGCTCGATCAATCCATAAATTTGAGCAAATGGATCATTTTCCTCTTCATCGTTCGATAGTGGTGATAATGCAAAATAATTTAACCATCAGCAAATGGAAGCATGAATGGCATTTTTTGACGGGTAAATTACAATGAAATTGACTTATATTACCTTATTGTTTATATAAATTAATGTGAAATCGTTAAGGTTTGATTGTATTACATTGTTTAGTCCTTCCATTCAAAAACCGCCACTTTTGTCTTTAAATACCTTACAATATTTAACTATTTAGTCAATCACGTTTAATATGTATTGTTATTATTTAATCTATCACATTTCTAATGAACTACTCTTACTCAAGAACGAAAATAACGAAAATACTAAGTAGTTTGATAGTATCAAACTCCAGAAATTTTACAGTAATTTTTTCAAATAATAGAGACAAAATAATAATTTTGATTAAGGGAAAGTTTTATCTAAACTGGGTTCATGGCCTCACTCATGAATCAAACCGATGAAAATAATATTTATTATTGAAACGAGAGTATTTTTGACCATATACTGGAAAAAAAAAGTCGAAACACTTTTAAAAGAATTTTTACTGTGATCGGTTTGGTTCATAAGTATGGCTATGAACTCGGTCTAAACAAGTAATTTCCTTCTGAGTAAACCTCTGAAATTCAACATGGTAATAAAGAGGAGACAAGTTTGCTATGGTGAATCCAATTCGCAAAATTGCATAATGTAGAGCACACATTTCACAAGTGTTGAATTGTAACTACATAAAATTACCTCATTTTAACAACAAAACATAGAGTTAAAAGGATAAAGATTTGATATTAATAAGAATTAACAGTAATGATTGAGTTTGTATATATATCATAATGTAGAATGCACACATTTCAAAGTGTTGAAATTGTAACTACATAAAATTACCTGCCGTTCATTTTAAACGCAAAACATATGAGTTAAAAGGACTAAAGTATTGATATTAATAAAGAATTACAGTATATGATTGAGTTGTATATATATATATATATATATATATTTATTTTTTTTTTTTTTCCCTTTAAAGTATATTATATCTATTGTATGCTTCAAGCAACGATTTGTTTTTTTTAAAAAAAAAAATCAAGGGGAAAAAAAAAAAATATACCTTTCAGGATCATTCTGCATATGCATTTTATGTAAATATATTAAGTGACTACAAAAATAAATGAAAATATATGACATTTAATTATATACACACAGCATTTGTTTTCATGTAAATCTTTCTTGATACTCGTCAACTTTTATAATATGATTATATATTTATATTTAAACTATATCTTTATACCTAGCTTAACTTATTAATTATTTTCCCAAAAAAAAAAACTTTATTAGTTTATTTAACAATGAAGATCATAAGTCATCTATACTAAAACCAATTAAGGTTTTTCTGAAATATTTTATTTATTGCAGCAAGAAACATGAGTTTTTGCCGGATACATCAACTTCAAAATAAGAAAATAAGACTTAAAGGCTAAACTAAAACTGAATATTAAATCTCCAAAATAACCAGTAAAAGCAAAACCCAAGCTCTGATATTTATATCACTACTAATGGAAGTTCAAGAATGGCCTTCTTGTTGCACTTGGTTCTGTGGTGCTGAGTGGAGAAGGAGCCGGGGCTGACCATGCATAATCTTGAGATAGCACAGTTATAGCAAGTTTTTGGCCACCAAGACAGTGCTTGCCTACGCCGCAAATATACCATTTCCTTCCTGGTGTTGCTAAAATGATTGTGTCATTTCCTGTAGTCAGAGCCTCTTGCAGTGGTGGCTTAGTGCAGTTTTGAAACGCAGTTCCATTCACTTTGAACACATTGTGGGCACCAACAGGGTATTGGAAAACTACAAAATTAAATCCAATCACAGTAATATTTTAGTTTTTGTCAATCTAATGTTAGTAATTAAACCACGTAACTGTGGAAGAGTTAATATGAGAAATGGAAAATGGAATTACCAAGTTTGTCTCCAACTTGAAAGGTCTTGTCTTTAGCCCAAGCCTGGTAATCAAACCCAGGAGTCCACCCATATTCATCCCCTACTACGTGCTCTTCTGCTAAAATTGTGATTGGAGCAATGGCAACAAAGAGCACGAAGATGATGAAAGCCTGATCAGAAGCCATTTGATTATTACAGCTAGCTAATTTGAGTTTAAAAGGCTAGAAGATAGATAGTTGCTTGCTGCATGAAGAGTAATTAAGTTGGAGACCTTTTTATAGTGTTTTTTGAGTGGCAATTAAGTACTGAAAAGGCCAAGGACGGCAAGTGGTGGCCGAATGAGTGGAGTTCTACTTTATAGAAAGCACTCTTCTTCACCAAAATTTTGGAGATGATTACAATATTATGCATACACATTTGTCATCAAATTATAAATACATGCAAAATCCTGGCTGACTTGGTCTACTCAATTATAAATTAATAATTGACTGATATTCTTCTAGTGTTTATTTATTTTTTTAATAATTTTTTCTTATTAAAAGGAAGGGAAAAACCCCAAACAAAACACTAGCTACTCAAAGGTACAACCCGTGGCCAAGCCACTTGTTGGCAATCCCATCGCAGCAAATCAACAACCTCAGCAGGAGAGTGATGCAGAACTGTTCTACCCATAACATCTGTAACAGCTAAGTTCGCAAGATAATCTGCCACCTTGTTTGCTTCCCTATAGCAATGTTGAAACTTCACTTACCATTCTCTCTTGAGTAATTTCTGACATTGCACAATCATATTGACCAGCTTCAAGTTGGAACCAGAAGGAGCAGTAAATAATTGCACTGTTACCTTAGAGTCCATTTCAACAATGAGCTTCCTGCAACCCACATCTCAAGAACTGTTAATCCATGAAGCAAAGCTAGGATCTTAGCTTCCATAGAAGAACACAGCCCCAGACGCACGAGAAAGCCACCAACCAATTCCCATAACAGTCCCTAGTTACACCTCCACCACCACTGCTACCAGGATTCCCCTTAGACGCACCGTCAGTATTTAACTTGTACCAACCAAAATTAGGAAATTCCCACACAACTGAAACGAGAGACTTGTACCTCATAGGGGCTTTTTTCACGCAACCAGACCAGGCAAAAGCATTTGATTTGACATGAAATCTCAGCATACTCAAACGTGCTTGGAGAGGTAGCCTTTCCCCACAGAAAATGAACCCATTTCGCCATTTTCATATGCACCAAATAGTTATCATTAGAACTTGAAGAGGGCTACTTTCCTGAAAGCAGTTGCTCACCAAGACAGTGCACATCAAGGCCCAATCAGAAACACATAATACATAAATTGCACCATGGAAGGCCTGTCCCAAACATGGGTCCATATTTCTTTCGCAAAAGCACAATCCCGCAAAACATGAGCACAAGTTTCAACGGCCATACCACACAAACTACATCCAGCATCAGTAGTAAAGCCACGCTTACACCGCTCCTGATATGTCATAATCCGTTCGCGCTGCACCAGCCAGGTGAACAAACGGATGCGCTGAGGAACCTTAGATTTCCAGATTTTCACCCATATTGGTCCTGAATTCTCCCGATCTGCATCCTTTGCTACAAGATATGGGGATTTGACAGAAAACAGTCCAGAATTAATACCGCGCCAAGCATAACAATCCATCTCCTCAACATCTGAAACCGGCGAAACTGACTCCAACCTGCGACAAACATCAGCAAAGCAAAAACACTTCTAATAGACTCCATTTCTACCCGTGACCATCCCAAAAGAAAGCTACCGACTGATGTAAGAGATCGGGAGGAACCTCCATTAAAACAAAATCCCTCAAAGGCCGAGAAATTAACCAGATATGAGATATCCTCCCAAAAATATGTTAACAAGCCATTGCAAACCGATTTGTATAAACCTTTGCTAAAATAGCAGCACTGTGAATTATACCCCACTAGATAATGGAAGAATTGGATTTATGAAGAAACATATCCATACCAGTTCTACCTTGCACATATTTACCTCACAAGATCGAAGCCCAAAGGCCTGTGTCTTCCCGAATGAGTTTCCAGCCAATTTTGGCAAGAAAAGCACTATTCATTTCTCTACATGTGCGAATTCCGAGCCCACCTCTATTAACAGGGAGTGTTACCTGATTCCAGTTTACTAAATGAACTGTTTTTTTCCCCCGAAGGTCCCCCCAAAACAAAATTACGCACCCATTTATCAAACTCATCGGAGACCACCCGAGGAATGTAAACTGATTGCATTACATGATTAGGAAGCGCAATAAGGACCGGCCTAGCAAGAGTAACATGCCCTGCTAAAGACAAATACTGGACTTTCCAGCCAGCCAGATGAGCATCAATTTGAGAAAGCATTGAATCAAAAGCAGATTTGGTAACCCGACCATTAAAGATAGGAACACCCAAATAAACACCAATATCCTCGGTCAAAGAAATACCAGCCGTACTGCAAATATGAGTCCGCAAAGGCATATCAACATTAGCAGAGAAAAAAATCTTCGACTTGGCCATATTCACCCGTTGACCAGAAAGATTGTCGAACTGCTGGAGACACTGATTAACCACTGCAATCTGATCTACACTAGCTTTCGCAAATAACAACAATTCATCGGCAAAAAATAAATGGGATATTGCTGGTGCCTGACGGGGGATTGAAATAGGACGCCAACATTTATCCGACACAGCCTGGGAGATACAATGGCCCAGCCTTTCCATTGCTAAAACAAACAAATATGGCGAGATTGGGTCCCCCTGCCTAATCCCTCTGCTCGGGTGAAAACTCTCTGACGGAATCCCGTTCCACAAGACCCGCATGGAACACGCCTCAAGGCATTTCATAATAATGGAAATCCAGGGCTCAGGAAAACCAGCAAGGCGAAGAGAATCTTCAATGAAACTCCATCTCAATCTGTCATAGGCTTTTTCTAAATCTATTTTCAAGATCATCCACCCATTACTACCCGACTTCGACGGAACCACTTTCTGTAAGACAATTACATTATCACGTAACTGTCTTCCCGGCACGAAGCTAGCTTGCGAAGGAGATATCAGCTTAGGAAGAAGAGACTTCATCCGATTGACCAGCACCTTAGTAATGTGTTTGAAGGAGACATTACACAGACTAATCGGACGAAATTGGCTAATCACCTCCGGAGAATCCACTTTAGGCAACAAGGTCACCAAAATATCACACACCCCACCGGAATTTCACCACCTGATAAAATATTCAACACAAAATGAGTAACTTCCGGACCAACAATACTCCAAGATCTCTGAAAGAATACCGCCTGAAAGCCATCCGGGCCTGGCGCCTTGTATGGATCCATCGAGAAGAGAGCATGCTTAATTTCATCCGCTGTAAAACCTGCAGATAACTTACCCTTCTCCTCCTCCGATAACACCACAAATCCATTAGGAATATCATCCGAAGAAGCAGCATATGTTACCTCTGAATATACATCTTTATAAAAATTAACAAATATCTCCTGATCCCAACACCAGTGCCCCTCATTATTTTTTAGACTAGCCGCTCGTTTCATTTTGCTTTTTAGAACCGCAGAAGCATGATAAAAGGACGTGTTCCTGTCCCCTTCCACGATCCACTTTTCTCTAGACTTCTGAAACCAAATTAGTTCTTCTTGATCCAAAATGGTTTCCAGCTCGAGTTTTAATTTCCTCTCCAAATTCAACAAACCATTGTGAGGATGAGAAGTTAACCGCTGCTGAACCCCATTTATCCGAGCCAAGAGTCTCATTTTTCGTTGCTGAACATTACCGAAAACATCTCTATTCCAGCCAACGAGCTTCTGACTTAACTAAAGCAGATGTTGAGGTAACGGACCTGCACACGACCAATTATTACGCACCAAATCGAGAAAACTGGCACCCAATAACCAAGCTGCCTGGAATCTAAAGGAAGGCGGGGCATGATGCCTCTCCATAGAACCTAGGCACAGTAAAAGAGGAGCATGGTCGGACAGAACTCTTTCAAGATGATGGACTGATGCAGAGGGGAAAAGATTGAACCAATCCATACTGCACAACACACGATCGAGACGAGCCGCTTGAAACTGGCTGCTAGCAGCACCCGTAGACCAAGTAAACTTAGTTCCAGAAAAACCCAGATCAACCAACCCCAACTGCTGGATCCATTCCCGAAAGCGCGAGCACCGTTGCACAACATGAGGGCCCGTTCCAGTAGTCTCATCCGGGTCCAAAATAGTATTGAAGTCCCCCACCAGAACCCACGGTCTTGGAGAAGAAACATGAAACCTTGCCAGAAGAGGAAACAAGAAATACCTATAATGTTGGTTCAGAGACCATATATAGCAATGAACTCCCAACTGCGACCATGAATATCAGAAACACGACACGGGATAAATTGAGAATGCGTTCGAATGATAGAGATGGAACCAATAACCGAATTCCGAAAAAGCTATATTCCGCCACTCATACTAACAGCCTCCACCCTTACCCATTCATCAAAACCCATATTAAAAGATAACATCAGCCCTTGGCCCAGAAATCTTCGTTTCAATTAGCACCAAAATCATTGGTTTTGTACCGCCGACAAAAATCCTTTAGGACCCGCATACTTCGCTTGGATGCAGCCCCTTGAATATTCCAAGTTAAAATTGACATAAACAGGAAAAAGGAGAGAAGAACGAACTCAGCTTGTAAAATGCAAAGAAATGCAAAACGATGGACAACAGAGCTACTGAGAAATAGAAACATCACCCATAACTCCCCTATCCTCAACACAAGCGTTCTCCATAGAACCAGCTTCCGGAACAGGGGTAAAGCCTCCTTCAAAATCCATCATACCTGGAGCCTCCGCATCTGGGTCAACGATTTCTATGTCCTCATCAACAACTCGCGTATCCAGAGTCCCAAACCCAGCCCGCCCAACCACCATAGTGTGCATTCCCGTCGCAGCAGCAATATTAGGAGAGCTTTTATGTTGTGGAAGAAGCGTTACTGAAGTAGGGGCTGTACTAACTAGATTGTCTTCAACACCTGTACCCGCTGTGAGATGTGGTATGGATTGAGGGGAGCTCTTTTGAAAGGGAGCAACACTAGTACTAGGCCTAGCTTTAGACTTAGCAGGCTGTTTTGTTTGATGCTTGGGCCCAACGTTTTCAACTAGACCCGTTTCTTTAGCAATGGGCTGCTTCTGCATGTTGGGCTTTTCTTATTGACTTGCCTAGAAGGCTGACTTACGGCAGGAACCTTTGCCATGCCCGGTCCACATACATTAGTCACTACGACATTTGTTGTTTCTTCATCCATAACCTCCTCAAACGCCTGATCATATAGCGCAGCAAACCTAGAACCAGCCCCACTTGTTTCGGCGTGATTAACGGGGATACGATTCCGTGATACAGTGGGTCTTTCCTTAGCCTCAGAAATTTTCGAATTTGTGAGCCCCAGTTTTTGGAAACCACGTCGTCCCACTTTTTGAGCCAACATCCAAGGACCAAATCGGTCCACCGCCTCCGGCGCCACCACATCCTCCAAACCTCGCCAATGCTGGTCCGTAACATTATCTTGCGGCCCGGAGTTTTGTTCCTCTTCTTGTCCCTCATCAACTTCAATATGCACCTGGTTCTGAGGACAAGTCTCCTGACAGTGTCCATAACATCCACATCGAAAACAAATAAGGTGGATGACTTCACACTCTATTCGTCTGACCCTCCGTTGGAAATGAAATTTGGACAAAAGCGGTTTGGAAAGGTCAACTTCAACACACATTCTAGCATATTCACCTCTACATGCCTGTAACATAGTGTCATCTACTCGAACTGGCTTATCTATACGATGCCCTAATCTCAATAAGAAACTCTTGGCATAATATTCTATAGGCAAATTTGGCATACGAACCCACACCAAAGCTTTATCAATGGCGGCATGCTTAGGATAAAAATTCGGCTGCCATTGACGAACAGTTAGGTAGTGATCAGCCACCATCCAAGGACCCCCAATAGAACATGTTCATACTCAGATTCATTAGAGAAACGAATCATGAAATACCCATTAACCAATTCACTTATATCGATGGGAGATTTGAGCGACCATAGCACTCTTAACCTCTTTTGCAGATAATTAAAACCAATATACCTCCCTAACACCTTGATAATAAGAGTGTGCTTCCACTGCTGTCGTAACACCTTCTTCTCCATCTTCGAAAGGCGAATGGTTGGACACTCAATGTCATCCTCCTCATCATCTTCCCTATCTGGCTCATCATCCGACGAAGCAATATCATCCTCCCAGTTCACACCCGCAAAACCACCCACAGCAGCTTCACCCATCACACCGTCCTTGAAAGAAAACTGACGATTCGCCTCAGTATCCGGCCCTTAAAGCAAATCTTCCCCACCCATACCAGCCGCAGACACATCTCCTACACCATCCCGAATCCGTACCTTCTTACTACTGCGGAGCAGTTGGTCAACCTCCGACGACGACGCTGGCAGTCGCACCGAGGGTTCATTTAGAGAATCCATACATACACTTTTTTTTTTTTTTTAATTAATAGCATTTTTATTTTTTCTAATAGCACAAAGGGTTTATTTTTCTAATATTCTGATGCAAAATAAATGGGTATATAAAAACGTTGTTATTACGATAATAGCTCAATAATCCAGTCATGTCTTCTAATGCAAAAGATCATATATTTGAATTTTAACCCTTATTTTGTTAAAAAAAAAAAAAAAATCTCTATTCGTAAAAAAGAACATGAATGTTGTGCTAATCTTAAATTGCACATACCTTAATATATTATAAATGATATTTAAGTTTCAAAATAATTGGAATCCAAGTTCAATCTACGTGGCTCAGTTGGAAATGCATGCTAAGCATATGTGTGAAGAGCTGTTGGGTTCGATTCTCACTAAATACACTTATAGAGAGAGGTCAAGAGTCTTAACTGTGACTAAATTCCGAGCCTGATTAGACGGACCCAGTAATATGATGTGATTTATACAAAAATAAATAAATAAATAAATAATCACGTCGTAACCTAGAGACTCTTAAATCTCCTACTTTCCTATCAATATTTGTAACTCTCGTCAAATAGCATGTCGATCGTGGTTAATCAAAACGACTTTGTAGTTTATCTAGGGAAAAGTTCCACCCCGAAAAGTTTGGTAGCAAAAATATTGTTATAGATGTCGTTTTGAATGTCTCGGCTTGATTCTGTAATAATTGGGCCTGTCTCGGGCCGAAGCCTAATCATCCTATCTCAGGCCCATAATATATAAAAAATACAACAAGGGCTTAATACTTTGTTATAAATAGCGGGAAAATCAGGAAATAGACCCGTGTTTGTTAAGACTCGACTGGTTAATTCTTCCTCCCTTGTCCTCTGCTAAACGGGCGGCGTCGCCGACGCTCTTTAAGGTATGTTGATACTGCCGATACAACATACACTATTAACTCTTATTGTTCTTCACTGTCTGTTTGGTTTCCGAAGAAATGAAACTTTGCATCTTGACTCTGGTATTTACTTCTCATTATATATAAAAAATACTTCAAATTAAACTGACCTGGAGTTTTTCTTTCTTTCTTTTTCTTTTTTATTTTGCTTTTTGGGGTTACTATTTAGTTCAATTAATTGGAAAATGGTTTGTGTTCTTTTTACTTGATTCTCCGTAGCAAAACTTTGTTTGTGGAATTAATTTGCTCAGTCTGTTCAGTTTTTTCGTAATTTTTTTCAGTAATTTAGATTACTATGAATTGCACATTTACTTACTTGATGCACTAACTAAACCCTTACATATTTATCTTGTTTTTAGATAATTAATTCTTATTTTTAAGCCAGACATAAAGGTTAACCTTTTCTTTTTCTTTCCTTTTTCTCTCTTTCATTGTTGCAGCTTATTTTTTTATGTAATTTTGATTAGGACCAATGGGTAAGCCCTCAATCCTAATTATTTTCAGAATTATTATTTTTTTATTTTGGTAAATACTTATATAGCGAATGTAAATGTCTATTTGGATTGATTCTGTTACAGAAAGAATGTGTGCTCCAAAGTCACGCCGAGAAAAGCGAAAAGAAGCTCGGAAAGAAAAAAAACAGAGAAAAAATGAATCTTGGTTGGCACATCAGGTACAACTACAAGGATATGTCTTGGTTTTTTTTCTTCTCCTAACTTTTTTTATCTTTTTTATTTTTATGTAACTTGGGAAGTAGAATGATGCTAGTTTAATTTTACAGAAAGGACAAAAGGTTAAGCGAGCTCAACATCAGAGAAAGTTTAAGGATTCAATGCCAAATAATGCAAACAGATCAAAAAATAAATTTATTCAAAATTTTAGTGAGAGAGAAGGTAGACAGCAAGATACCAACTTCAGGAGAAATCAGAGTTCAGAGAAAATGGATGTGGGAATGACAATGGAAGTTAAAACAAAGTCATTAAGTAATAATCATTCCTCCAGTTCAGCAACAGTGAAAGAAAGGAAGGGTTTAAAGAGGAAGTCCAAAACAAAGTTTGAAGAGTTTCTTGAAATGGATATGAAAAATGCTGACACGTTAGCACAGGAGGATCTAAAACTGGAGAGGAAACTTGCTAAGGAACTGAAGGTGAAAGATGGAAAATTGAGGGGGATGGATGATGAAATAAATTTTTTATTAGATGGGATTCCATGTTTGGATGATTCTTTTGATGATGTCATAGATGATGAAGGGTTTCCCAATGGGAGACTTGAGAATGGTATTTCTGATAAGAAACCTAAGAAGAAAAAGTCATTGGATGAAAGTTTGGAGGATGATATAGCTGTGAATTTTATGGGTGGAGTTCCAGAGCCAGTCAAAACATCTAATGCAGAGATGGGACAGGAAAAATGCGCAGAGTTGGGGCAGGGAGAAGGTACCGCAAAGAAAACTTCGCGCAAGAGGCGTAGGAGGAGTAAGAAGTCAACAGAAACGGAAGATTGCCTACTAGGAGACACAAGTTACAGTGCTTCAAAGCCAACAGAGTTTCCATTACAGGAAACTCCTAGCGATGCACCTGCTGTCGCAAGTAGTGTGAAATATGTGGCTCCTCACTTGAGATCTCGGGCAGCGAATGAGCCAGAGGAGCATACTCAAATCCGTAGACGTGTCCGTGGTATGAATTGAGCTCCATTGTAAATTTTGGGACTTTACACCCTTCAAATTTTACTGTTTTCTGATTTTCTATATCTTCCAGGTCTTCTCAATAGGCTATCTGAATCCAACGTGGAATCTGTTACAGGAGAAATGGCTACCATCTTCCGTGTATGTTATCTTTCTTGCTGCAATTTATTGCTTTTAGAAGTTATATTTCTAATCGTATCGAAAGAATAACTGTGTGAAAGTTGAGAGAAATTTACAATCTTTCCTACTTTAATTCTTTGATGGCCAAAAAAAAAATACACACTGCTTGATAGAAGCTTTGGAGCATTCATAATTTTTTTTTTCTATCAGTATATGCATTTGGAAGCTAAATATCATATCTCCCATTCTAGTGTCATCATGGTTTGTGAGACATTGTCTTGTGGCAGCTTATGAATGCCATTTTTTAACTCCTTGATTTTATCCATTAGCAGTCTGTTAGTCGAAGTGTCGGTTCTCAAATTATCAGTGATGAGGTGTTGGCAGCTTGCTCCGGCGGTCCTCGTGGCAACGAACAGTGAGTTAACCTATTTCTTTCACATTTTTATCTCCTTGACACTCTTGACTTATCTCATGTTTTGTTATTGACGAAATTATGATTGTAACAATTCAAATTGCTAAGCGAATATTTCAATCATTTCACCTGTTCTCTTTCCATATCTTTCTTATTGATGAAAGAGAACATCTTGCCACTTTTTATGAATTCATTTGTTTGTCTATTTGCTTCATATTTGTCACTTGTACTCCAAAGCAGTTATACCATAGCATTCCTGTGGAAAGTTTTCTTGCTGGATTTAATTTTGTTGTGACTTGTTCTGAGTTTCACAATCTATATTGATAGCATTCCTCCAAAAAGTTGTCTTTTTCTGCCTTTTTCCCTTCTGACTGATTGGAGTTAATAATAGAATTTATTGAGGTACTATTCGAATTACATATGTAGAATGTGGATTGCAAAAATAACTTTATATTTGAATCCTACTGATTGTATATTTTCAAAGATGACACTTGTGGTCTGGCAGTTTATGACCTTCCAAGTTTGATCAGTTTGGTTCTTGTCGGATAAACAGCAGTTGCATTTGATTCTCTCTCTCTCTCTCTCTCTGTTTGTTAAAGTTTTCTGTTCAATATGACTGATGCTTTTTTTTTTTTTTTTCTTTTTTCACAGGTATGCTGCTGTTTTTGCATCTTTTGTTGCAGGCATGGCTTGTTCTGTTGGAATGGACTTCAGTGCAAAGCTTATGGCTGGACTTGCTAGGTCTTTTGAGGTTCGCCTTACCTGTTTTAAAAGAAGCTCATCATTATGGCTGAACTTCTCATTTTCATTTTTGTGGTTACAAGATTGATGATAATAGACTTTCTGGTTTTAAGCTGTGAAATGTGTGAAGTGCTCAAAGCACTATTGGTTTAGAAGTGTCTTCTCTGTGGGAAATTAATGCTTGTATTGTTTATGCTGTTGGAACTCAGAATAATTCTCTTTCTACTGACAAAAATGAAATTCTGTTTGCCATGCAGGATGAGTATCTTAAGGAAGACAACCTTTCCTTGCGAAATTTGACTCTTCTGCTGTCCTATTTATGCATATTTGGAGTTTGTTCTAGGTAAGTTACCTGTTAATTTTGCTAAAGAAAATATAGTAAGAAGTGCAAAAGTAGGAAAGTTTATGGCAGTATTAGAGGAGCATATGTAAGGGCTCTGGATAATAGGGATCTTTGGATGAGACTCTCTCTTCAAGTGGATGTCTATACTCTAGATACATGTGCTTACTCTAATATGGAGATCGTTCCATCTTTTTTTTCACAGTAGTTGGCAGCCTGGTCAGATATATGCATTTGTGAACTGACAGCACAATTGAGAAACAAATTAGTACTGCTAGTTCTGAGATTGCTTGTTTCAGGAAAGTCCTTTTCATTTTGCAATGATAAGTTTATAAGCTTCATGGAATCTGGAACCAATTTCATTGCCAAATCCCAATATGAACTTCATCCGTTTTTATTCACATATCTGCCAAAAATATATCAGTTTTCACCATTTAATTAATTTAGCACCAAGTGTATGTTAATGAAAATATTTGCATGCTTTTCAGCGATTTGATATATGACTTCCTAATTATGTTGAGCAAGCGGTTGGAAGAGATTGATGTCTCCACTATCTTGACACTTTTACAATGTAAGTATTGTGTTTAACCCTTAATTTCTTTATTATGGTTGTACTGCTATTTTAGCATGTTTATGTACTTGTCCAACCAATCATGTATTCGTGTGTAATGTAAATTGTCATTAATTTTTCAGGTTGTGGCATGAAAATAAGGGGCGATGATCCTACTGCCATGAAAAACTTCATCGAGAGTGTTCAGAGTAGGGTGAATGAAATAAAGACCTCTATTGAAGGAGACCAGGCTAAAATTATTGGAAAAAGAGTAAAGCTACTCCAGAAGATCCTTTAACAATCTTCCACCATTTCTTCTGCTAATTCACAAGTAATTTTACCTGGTAACTTTTGCAGATGGAATTCATGCTCGAAACCATATGTGATATCAAAAACAACAAGAAGAGACCTAAAGAAGATACTGCACAACACACTAGGATAAAAAAATGGCTGCAAAAGGTCTTTGCTATTTTTGTTTTTTTGTTCTTTAAGTTGTATACCTCTTATAATCAATAAGGGACGCTCTTTCTTTCAAATTTACACCTTATCAATAACATGACAACCAACTATGCTGGCATATTAGGCCTCTAGGGAGGTTAATTCATATGAATACAAGCATATAAGCTGACATTTGGCTTGTCATCAACTATAGTTTGTAAAGTAATAATATGTTATTTTCTCTGATATTGTTCACCAAATATTTAAAGTGAAGTCCACAAGCTTATTTGTGCATGCACACTGTTGTCATGGTCATGCTTACAATTACAGTTTTCTTCACGCAGATATATTCTGTAATCATAATTATTAATGGATTTTTCCATGCATCAGCTAGGAGTTGGAGAAATTCTTATTAGAGGGCTCAAATGGAGCAAGCTACTTGATCCTGACAAGAAGGGTCAATGGTGGTTGTCTGGCGATATAACTTCTAAGCCAGATGATGTTGAAGAGGTTGCCAATACAATTGACAAAGAAGTTCTAGAGGCACAAAAGATGCTGCAGCTTGCTGCTTCACAGAGGATGAATACAGACGCTAGAAAGGCAATCTTTTGTATAATAATGAGTGGAGAGGACTACCTTGATGCATTTGAGAAGCTTCTGAGATTGTATTTGCCTGGACAACAGGTGGGTCTCTCTGGAATCTTTTCTCTTCAAACACTTGCTCTCTTATCCCTCTAACACCAACCCCCCCCCTATAGATATGAGTGGGAGCGTACTTGATGCATGTGTGTGCTTCTGAGATTGTATTTGCCTGGGACACAGGTGGGTCTCTCTGGAATCGTTTCCCCCCCCCACCCCAAAAAATTTCTATTGTGTTCCTTCACATTTAATTATGTTTCTCACGCTTTGTCTACACAGGACAGAGAGATTATGCGAGTCCTCGTAGAATGCTGCTTGCAAGAGAAGGTGTTCAATAAATATTACACTGTCCTGGCTTCCAAGTTGTGTAAACATGACAGGAACCACAAAACGACTTTACGGGTATGACATTATCTCTCTCTTTAGACCGTTAGGTCGCATATTATAAAACTAGAAAAAAAAAAAGGGGGGCCAAATGTAGTGTAGGAAAAATGTAGAGTTTTGGAGTATACAATTAACAAAGATGCAGAGGGTTATTAATGCCTGGCTGGCTTAAAGGGAAAAGAATACAAGAAAATCTATAGCTTTGATATATATATATATATTTTTAATGATTTTTGGTTCAGTGATTGAAGAAGACAGATTAATATATCAGAATATTTGTTTTCTGGTATGATTGTGTAGTTTTGCATTTGGGATCACTTCAAACAGCTCGAGTCAATGGAGCTTTTGAGATCAATGCACCTAGCGAAATTCGTAGCGGAAATGGTCGCCTCTGGGACCCTCTCTCTTTCAATTTTAAAGAGTGATTTGAGTGATGCTGGACAGCTGACATCAAAGAGGATCATGCATTTTCGGATACTATTCGAGGCCATATTTGAGTATCCTGACAAGGATGTATGGAACATGTTTACATGTATAGCTAAAGAGCCGGAGCTGGAAAGTCTTCGCCATGGCATTGAATTCTTCATCAGAGAGTATGTTATCAAAACTAACAATGCAGCTGCTAACAAATTCAAGGTTGCAAAGAAAGCCCTCAACAGTATGGAAGGATTCCTTATCTGAGTTAAGGATTCTGCTTTTTTTTTTTTTCTCGTTTAAATGTAGCGGACTGACTTGGGAATCAAATTAAATGAATTATAAGAATTTTGTAGTTCTTTCTATCTCACAAAGATGAGCTTAATTTTATTTTCATAAAGATTAAGAAAAATTAATAAATATAGCTTAAGTAATAAATATTACTTATTATTTTCTTAATATATCATTACATTAATATTATGCCAATTCAATGAGAAATTGTTAGTAATAAGACAAATTAAATAAGAATATATCAGAGAATTAAAAAATCAAACTTAAAACAAAAAAATGGACAATAAATATGAAATCAAATTTTATTTTGGACAATATCTTTTTTTTTTTTGGGACAATTATTATTCCTGTAAAGTATCCTATATAATTATTGGCCTCCAAAAAGAAATTGCTGTAGCAATTTCCATTTTCTATAATAAAGGTAGAAGAGTGGCGGGAATTCAGCAATTGCTTAATTGGTATTTCACCAAATCACAAATTCACATGCATGAGGCAGTTTTCTGATTCAAACTCCAAAATTCAGAGCAAGGTGAATAAATTGTCAGCAACAGTTTCTACGGGCAACTATCAAGCTTTACTAATTGGATAAAGGTGTGCGCACAGCAACCCAATTGCCATCGCTCGTGGATAATACTGTGCTGCCTGGAGGATACGCCATGTTTGTCCCACGTGGATGAACAATAACCTTATTGTGGCGTGGAGTATCTGTTCCAACAGGCTGCTCAATACCTGCAGCTGAGATGGTGACAGAAGATGCGGAAGGTGTGGATGGTCTCTTCTGAGCTGGGCTGCTTTCTGGTCCTGGAGATGTGACTGGGCGATCACAACTGATAACTTCAGCAATTGCTGTCAACATTTCAATGATGTATCATAAAATTAGACAAAGTGTAGTAAATTGATAGATTGCAATTTGCCAAAATAATCAAAAGATGGTCCATGTCAAATAAACTAGCAGCTGTCTGCATAAATGCACCACCATTCACAATGCATATATTGCCCTTATCATGCAAACATAAAATTCTAATATTGAAAAAATGAGTTCTGAACTGTGCTTGCATCAGAAAATAAAGGGATAATGGCAGGTAGAACATTAAGGTCTACTGATCTTCATCTTTTTCATTTTTCCTGCCATTCTTGTAAATATATTGGTTAATATAATGACATTTAGGGGGGAAAAAAAGAACAAAAAAAGTCAAAGAAAACTTCACTTTTTATGATTTATCATGTTAAGTTATAAGCATGCTAATCAATAAGAGTGCAGTCATTAATAAAGTCATAGTTATAGGAGCTTTTCAAAACATTCACCTTTATCCTCTTCAGCTTGTTGTTTTTGCTCGGGCAATATAGGTTGAACATTCTTTTCAAGAAAAGCAGTGAAATCTGACAGCGAAGAAGGCAATTGAACAACTTTTTGTCCCTCCTGAGGAGTTGACAAACTTGAAGCACTCTGAATTGGATTGTATAAACAAGAAGCCACAGGGAATTGGCTTGAATTGCCAGAACAGGAAGCCAGATCGCTCTGACTTGAGTTTCCAGGACATGTGGCCACAGGGCTGTTACTTGAGTTGCCCAAACTAGAAGTTACAAGGCTCTGCCTTGAGTTGCCTGAAGAAGCCATAACATTTTATCAAGAACTACATTCGATTATCCTTCATTACTGACCTGGTTTCCTATTTAAGCAAATATGTCATGGAATGTATTGCACTGTGTTTAATATGAGATAACGCAAAAATTTAGAAGCTAACATCAGATTATCCTCCAATGCATTCTTTTTTGGCATGAAAAAACCCATATGAATTTCTATTTTGTCAAGAAGGGGAAATATTTCTTCCCATCACACCTTACTTGTGACTTTATTAAAAAAGAACCTCTTCTTCCCTTTCCTTTTCTTCCACCTTTTTAGCAACCATAGAACAAGAATGATAGCAATCTGAAATTCTAATTATCAAGAACTAGTTGACAACTAAGTTCTTGGAATGGAATCACTAAGCATCAACTAGAAACAAACCTTTGATCTAGTATTATGGTCAGAACTTGAGTATGAATCTTGCCAATGGCATTTATCATATCAATCAAAAGGTTGTTGCCACAAAGTTAACTAACATCTTACCAATTAAACAATTATTGATATAAAAATCAAGAATTTGGGTCATGGAGCAAAATACACTTCCCAAATAAGAGAATATCTAAAGCATGAAAGTATACAAACATAATCATATGTACGTTAATGGACATGTATAAAATATTTGTCTATACTTACGCTGTTTTAGAGCTGTATAAGCAACCTTTGCTGCACTCAACTCTGCTTGCTTCTTAGTTCTTGCTTCCTGCCCTGTAAATGACTCTCCTTCTACCTCCACAGTTGAAACAAATGTCGGTAGATGAGGTTCACCCGATTTTGCTGTGGTATAAGATGGCAAACAATAACATTCTTTCTGAGCCAGTTCTTGTAAAAGGTTTTTGTAAGCAGATTCATCCTGAAAACAAAACAGAATAAAGTAGAACAATAAATACAATCACGAGAAATTCAGAATGCAAGAAGAACATCAAATTAGTGAACGTCCACAAGGAAATGATAAGGACAAAGAGTTAATAAAAGACTAGCCTCTTCAACTCCATCAGGTGCCAATGACATCAGTGCAGCTTTTGCAGCAGCATTTTCAGCCTTGCTTAACGTTGGGAAAAATTCCTGACTCTCATAGGTCTTTTCATCAATTGTAACCTTAGCCTTAAAGCGACTTGCATGAGGTGGACCCAAACATTCGCAAGAATACACAGGGAGGGTAAGGCCTCTCTTTTGAGCAAAGCTTTGCAGCTGGTTTTTGAACAAACGTTGCACATCTATAAGCCAAAAGAGACATTCCATCTTTAGCATATAAAAAAATGACTTCTAAGAAAACTAATAATGGAGCAAATTTTAAGTTACAAAATAAATTTACAAGGTTCAAGTGTTGTCATTGCCTTCTTCAACCAAAATTTATTTACTTTCTAGAGTTACCCTTCAAGTCTTACCTAGATAACCCAAACAAAAAACGATTAAGCAAAAAAAATGCTATATCACTACTGTGGTACATTTACCCATTCCCGTCACAAGAAAGCGGCAAAACTCACGATTTGAATGACAAGAAGTTTGTTTCAAAATAATACAGGATTGCATAGCAAAACCATTAGAGCAAAGGAAAATCTTTATTTTAAGAAAGACTTTCAAGACTAAAAATAAAAACAAGAAGAATAGTGGTACTCGGTTTTCTTAAAAGAGTTTTGCTTAATTAGAATCGTAGCATCTCAAGTGATGGGTAAAAAAATCTTATAATCTAAGCCCCTTATGAATCTTCATTTGTCTCCAAGAAATTTATACAATGAAGCACGTTAATATGATTTGTTCTTCCATTACGATCAGGCAGTTCATTTGCTTACTTAAGGGTAGAACTAGGCGACTTCATGGCACTCATCACCGCTGGCAATATCCTTCTTGAGTATGTAATAGGTGGAGCTGCGGTGGCCCATTCATGGACATCTTATTTTGCCACTCTCTGCAACCACAAACCTGATGACTTCCGTATCATAGCCCACAGCCTTCCTGATGACTACAAACATCTTGACCCCATTGCTGTTGGGATTACAGCCGTCATTTGCATTCTTGCAGTTTTTAGCACTAAGGGCTCTTCTCACTTCAACTACATTGCATCCATTGTCCACATTGCAGTAATTCTCTTTATAATTATTGCAGACCTTACTAATGCGGACACAAAAAATTACAGAGATTTTGCTCCATATGGCCCTCGAGGTATTTTTAATGCAGCTGCTGTGCTTCTCTTTGCTTATGTTGGGTTTGATGCAGTTTCTACAATGGAAGAAGAGACCAAAAACCCTGCTCGTGATATTCCTAGTGGTCTAGTAGGTTCAATGGCAATAACTACATTGCTATATTGTATACTAGCTGCAACATTATGCCTTATGGTTCCATACAACCAAATTGATGCAGATGCTCCATTTTCTGTAGCCTTTCAACTGGTTGGATGGGATTGGGCAAACTACATTGTTGCTGCAGGTGCATTAAAAGGGATGACAACAGTTTTGCTTGTTTCTGCAGTGGGTCAAGCCCGCTATCTCACTGACATTGCTCGTACTCATGATGCCACAATGGCTAGCTCAGGTTAATTTAAGAACCGGAACTCCTATGAATGCAACTATTGTCATGCTTACTGCAACTGCTATTATTGCTTTTTTCACAAAGCTTAATATATTATACAATCTTTTATCCATCTCCACATCGTTTATTTTCATGCTCGTTGCAATATCACTTCTTGTTCACCGTTACTATGTTCCTGAAGTTACAACATAGCAAATCGGATGAAGTTGATACTATGCATTTTGGTAATTCTTGGCTCTTCTATTGCAACTGCTGCTATATGGGGTGCAGGTGGAGATGGATGGATTGGCTATGTTATTACTATACCCATATGGTTATTGGCTACACTAGTACTAAGTGTTTTTGTTCCAAAAGCAAGAGCTCCAAAATTATGGGGTGTTCCATTAGTGCCATGTGGATACCACCTGCTTCGATTATTCTCAACATTTTCCTTCTTGGATCGATTGATGCGAAATCCTTCGAAAGGTTTGGTATTTGGACTGTTGTTTTGCTGGTTTACTATTTTCTATTTGGTCTACATGCTACTTATGATGCTGCTAAAGATAAGAAAACTCCAAAGAAAAATACCAAACAGAAACAAAAAGACACAAAAAATTTACATATAAAATAAATTTGTTATCACCTGTGAATTTGTCATCAACTTTAAAGATTGCAGCTGGTTCATTCTTTTGCCTAATCTGATTTGCAGCTGGTTCATTCCTTTGCGTATTCTGATTTGTTTCTTGTACACTCAGTGGCAAGGTCCTTCCAGAGGAAAGATTCTCATTCAAATCAGTATTTACAACTGTAGGAATTACAATAAAAAAAAAAAAAAATTATTATTACATTAAAATAACGATAAGGACGCCAGCATTTGCTTATGTAGGGAAATTAACATTACCAGGTGGAGACGAAGGGAGGGAGGAGCCACCGGTAGAAAAGTGATCGAAGGCGACCTTAGCGGCGTCGTTTTGAGCATGTTTAGAAGATCTGAAAGGAGATTGGGAATGAAATGAGAGGCCATTGACAGTAACAGTTACTCGAAAGCGAGGATCATGATCAGGTCCTTCTTTAGTAGTATCATAAGAGGGCAAGTTCCATATTTTCTGGTGGCAGAGCTCCTGCAATTTCGTTTTATACATCTCTCTTCTACTTGCTTTCCCCTATCTCTCTCAAATGGAAATGGAAATTGACGAGGCGCAGTACCGGTACTATTTGTAGCGCGAGAAACGAGAATCGCTTTGAGCCAAAGCAATTTTAAAGTGAGAGATTAACGAAGAAGTCGAATAATTTTAAAGATTTAACCAAACGCAAAGGAAACTTCGCCGGGGGTTTATCGTGACACGGCGGAGATTGTGATATCATTGTTCTATGTCAAACTGTAAAGTGTAAACAAAGGAGTAATGCTCATTTTTGGCTTGTGTCATCAAATCGAACGCAATATAAAAATTACTAATTCTTTTGACATTTTATCCTTTCAATTTGCATTAAATAATTAAAAATCTCAATTTTTTATTATTAAAAAATAAAACATCTAAAAGATTTTTAATATTTTTAACTAAAAATATTTTTTTTAACTCATAAATTTATTAATTAAAAAACTAAAAAAATTGTTTTTTATTTTAGTTTTACTGAAAATTGAATTTGTTTGATCATTTAATGCAAATTAGAGGAATATAATATACCAGTTAAAGGCAAATTAAACTAAATTTTTTAATTCCGATCGATACGATCTTTTTGACATGGCTTAATGTATGAAATTATCTATCTTTTTTATGGAATTATCAAAGTAAAAGGCCATACAATTATTATGCAATTGTCAACTTAAGCAAAGAATTTGAGCAGTAGCAAACCAGTTAATGCACAAAATGGTAATGACATTCAATTGATTTCCATCGCAAGGTACACTAAGCAAATTGCAAATTTGCAATGCCTTTCAAACAAATTAGAGGCAAAAACAAACTACAAAATATTGAAAGAGAGAAAAATAAGCTGAAGAAAAAAAAAAATCAGGGCCCTCTGGGCATATTGTGCCTACTAGGTATTTCATCATAAAACACAGTTATTGAATCAATAGTATTCCATTTTTTCTCTTTCAGTAAGAATCAACCCATTTCGGAGGATTACACTCCCACTGTATCTTGAAAAACTCACTTGGCACTGGCAAGCTCGGTGCGGAGTAGCTTAGCTGCAGCAACCATGTTCTTTAGAGCAGGCTTGACCTCAGAGTACTTGCGAGTTTTGAGACCACAGTCAGGGTTAACCCACAAGATGTTCTTCTCGAGAACCGCAAGCATCTTGTTAATTCTGTCAGCAATCTCCTCAGTTGAAGGTATTCTAGGAGAGTGGATATCATAAACACCAGGGCCAATTCCAGCACCATACTTCACTCCCTCGCGGAAGACGGAGAGAAGCTTTTCATCGGATCGAGAGTTCTCAATGGTGATCACATCAGCATCCATATTGATGATTGAGTGAATAATGTCATTGAAGTTGGAGTAGCACATGTGAGTGTGAATCTGAAGTAAATGCCAAGAATAGTCAATAAAACAATAGAAACTATAGGAAAAAATAAAACAGATAGATGCAAATTTGAGTCGTAAGAAGTGGGATATAAACCTGGGTGGTGTCTTGTACTCCGCAGTTGGTAATTCTAAAGGAGTGCACGGCCCAGTCCAAGTAGAAAGCTTGCTCAGACTTCCTAAGAGGCAACCCTTCTCTCAGAGCAGCCTCGTCAATTTGGATAACATTGATACCGGCCTTCTCAAGATCCTCCACTTCATCCTTAATTGCCAAAGCGATCTGATAGCATGTCTCAAATCTGGAAAATTGGGCAAATGTATCATGTTAAATCAAACTGAATATAAAAGAACAGCCAACAAAAAGTGGTGAGTTCCTGTTTCACTTTTGTTTTAACATTTTAAGATTTTTGCTTTATAAGATTGTTGCTTTATTTGTTGCTTTATACCTGGGCTGGTCATTCCTGACAAAGGACCAGTTGAGAATGGTTACAGGGCCTGTAAGCATTCCCTTCATTGGGCGGGCAGTCATGCTCTGAGCTGTAGAGGACCAGAAAACAGTCATTGGGTTGGGGCGGCTCACATCACCATAGATGATTGGTGGCTTCACACACCGTGATCCATAGGATTGCACCCATCCATTGACTGTGAAGACAAAACCTGACAACTGCTCTCCAAAGTATTCAACCATATCATTCCTCTGCAATAAATGAATGGCCCAGTTTAGTCGAAAGATCAGAAATCAATGTTCTAAGCATAGAAAGCAGACATTTGTTATTTCATTTTTTTTTTTTCTAATAAATATCTGTGGAGAAAAGTTCACCTCAGGCTCCCCATGGACGAGAACATCAATATCAAGTTCCTCTTGGAGTTTGACAACTTTGTTAATTTCCGCCTTGATAGCTTTAGTGTATTCCTCTTCAGAGATCCTGCAGATAACAGTAGAAAATTACATTAATTAACAAAATCTCAAAATATTAATTTCACATGGATAGCAAAAATAATAATTGCTTTTATGACTCACTCACTTTTTTGCTTTGTATTCACGGCGAACTCTCCTGAGTTCGATGGTCTGTGGGAAGGACCCAATAGTTGTAGTTGGGAGGATTGGGAGATTAAGCTTCTTCTGTTGAGCATCTAGTCTAGCACTAACATTTGTAGCCCGGCGGTGGTCAGAACCTCTCAAAGCAGCAGCCTGAGAAAGCAGGAAGAATTCATGGTAAGTACAAAAGGATTTGAGCAGGGCTTGGAGGCGTATAAAGAGAATTAAAGTACTTACCGCCTTTTGAACAGCCTCATTGGTCACTCTTGGGGAGGACTTCCTTGAGGCCTGAGCAGCTGCATTAGCAGAGAAGAAAGCCTGAAAGTCAAACCAGAAGAAGTGAGTAATGAACTGATGAAGAAACTTTGTTGAAGAAAAAAAAATGACAATGATTTCAAAAGCCAAATTAACTAGCAATCAGGCCCAAACCAACTCAGCAAGATTTTTCATCAAGTGATTGGTTAAAAAAAGACGGCTAGTTACTCCTCCCTACCAAATTAAAGTCCACGAGCAGCTCAAGTACCCTAGCTAATTTACCAAAATGTGAGTTCTACTATATCAAAACATATTAGGTCGGTAGTTACAATTGAAATAAGAGATATACCTCATCCTTTTCACCAGCCAAGGCCTTGGCCAATGCATTCACTTCAACAACTTTCTGGGCAGCAAATGCAAGCCATGATTTGATTTCCTGGTCCAACTTGGTCTCATTGACGAGATCAACAGCAGTGTGCAGAAGTGAGGAAGAGGTGGAGACTACAAGTTTGTCTGCAAAGAGAAAACATAATCAACTCATGTACGTCGAAAAAAATCTAAATCTAAGTGGCAGAAAAATGCAAGTTGGATTAGTACCTTTGCCAACAATGCCCTCAAGTTCCTGAAGGGTGCTGAGAGAAGAAGCAAGATCATTGGCCCAGATGTTCCTTCCATCAACCACTCCAGCAAATAGGTATTTCCCCTTGGGGAAATCACTCTTGATCAAGTCAAGAGTTTTAGTTCCACGAACCAAATCAAAACCATATCCAGTGACACCCTTCAAAGATGTGAGGGTCTTGAATGCCTCAGCAGGTACATCAGCAAAGTAGGTCTCGACAACAACATTCAAGCCGGATAGAGTTGACTCAAGCTCAGAGTAGGCATCAGTAAATGCTTGCAATTTGTGAGAATCAAGGTCCATAACAAGCGTAGGCTCGTCAAACTGAATCCAGGATGCACCAGCTTCTTTAAGCTCTGAAATAACCTCCCTAAAGGTGGTAATAATTATCACAAAAAGTTAGCAAATTCACATTTATATACATATAAAGAACTACAACATAACAAGCATCGAGTTCAAATTCTTACTTGTAGACTGGAAGGATCTTTCCAAGAAGGGAGAGAAGAGAAAAGGTTTTCTCCACACCCTTAGCAGGTTTAGAAAGTAACAAGTAAGAGACAGGGCCAACAAGGACAGGAACTGTATCTATTCCGAGCTGTATAAGAGAGGAAGAAAGTCAAATCTCTAAGAAATTTTTAGCAACTTGAATTAAATAACACCAATATAGAGAAACCAACGAAAGACAAAATAGCCCCAATCACACGATACATACCGCCTTGGCCTCCTTGTATTCAGTCACTGCCTTGTGAGAAGCATAAGAGAATTTGACATCAGGTCCCAATTCAGGGACAATGAAATGGCTGAATCAAGAAATTACCAAATAAGTCAGTAAAGCTGTTATGAGAAGATGATATAAAAATACCAGAAAAATAAGGCATCTGCAATAGTTGCCACTTACTAGTTGGTGTCGAACCACTTGGTCATTTCCATAGCAGGGACAGAGGCATTTCCTCTGGCCATGGAGAAGTACACATCGAATCCAATCTCACCACCGTTCCAGCCATACCTGGGTGGAACAGCCCCAAGCAATGCTGTGGTGTCAAGCACCTGATCATAGTAAGAGAAAGTATTGCTGGGGATGTATTTGATCCCAGCACCAGCCATCTGCTTCCAGATAGATTCCCTGAGCTCAAATGCTACCTTTTCCAAATCCTGAGCGCTGCTCTTCCCATCCCAAAAAGATTCCAATGCAAACTTAAGCTCTCTCTTGGGGCCCATACGAGGGTATCCAACAATGTGAGAAGCCATTGTTCTGTTTTTTCTAATCAAAACAACATAAAATTAAGTCAGAAAATGCAAAACAGAATGACCTTTTAATATGCGCTTTTAGAATAAAGTAAACAAAAAGATATCAAGCTGCATGTGTCCGAGGAGATTATAAAAATCAGGTTCAGATGACATGGACCCCTATTTTTATTTAAGCATTACCAGGATGCGTCACATAACTTCAATGGCAAGAAATTAGAGAAATACTCAGTACAGAATGGACAGAGATTTGAGACATGCAGTAAAGTGGAAAGCAAGACACAAGTTAAAATAAAAAAAATAAAAAAGAGGCTTAGTGGTTTAATAAATATATCATTGAGATCTAGAGACAGCAAACGAAAAGAGATATAAAAGACACACCAACAACCTTTCTAGGAGAATCAACTACAATATTCAAGATCTAGAGTGCTATGTTTTAAAAGCAGTAAGTAAAAGCAAAACGCAAAAATGGTTCAACAAGGGGGTTATGGAATAGGAACCTCCTACCCTGTTCTCCCTAATCTTTAATAATTCCAAGCCTGCAATACTAGAACCACGGTAACTATGAACATGCAAAAAGAGAAAATGGATATTACAATTCCGGAGGGAAGACTGAAGAGTTTATCAACTTGAAGTTTCAAAGTACACCAAAATCAGACAATTTCAAATGGAATATGTTAGATCTCAATTGAACTAATTTATATGCACTAGAAATGCAGATCTAAATTTAACATGAAGCACAAATGAATCTTATATTAGAATTAGCATACTATTTCCTACGCATGAACTTATACAAGAAACTAAATATTTCTAAATTCGATCTACACAAACAAATAGAAGTTCAACATCAGATCTAGAAATCCCAGAACAACAAACTACTGGATCCATTACTGAAAGGGCACAAAAAAACTAAGATCAAAATTCCGAAATGTTTCAAAATCCAGCACAAAGACACACTCACCAGATCTCGTCCGAAAACAAAGTTTTTATGGATTTTTTTTCTTTTTTTTTTCAACTTATTAAAAACAGACCAAGCAAAGGGAGTGAATATAGCAATAGATTATGTTTCTAACAGCATGTTTGACATGATCAAAGGATTGAAAATTAAACGAGCAGAGATTCAATCAACAGAGTCTGTTATAGCATTTACAGCATGAAAGCTTAGCTTAGAAGTGGAAGGAACCGAACCATACCTTTCGGATATAGAACCGGAGGTAGTGAGACTGGTTCCTTCGAGTCCTTATAGAGAAGAGGGAGAGAAGAGAACGGCACGAATTATGGAGTCTGTGTTTTGTGTTATTTATAGAGGCGAGGGAGGCAAATGCTGGCAGACTTCGAGTGGTAGTAGATCTGAGATGTGATTGCTTTTTTTTTTTTTTTTCTTTTTTTCACCTTGTATTTGTTTTTTTAAGGTATGCCAGTATTATTAACAGCTACCAGGTTTTTCAACTGTACGCTCTCATGCTGGAGCGTGGATTTAACGCTGATAGCTGACTAATTGGCAGATCCTCTGGGGCCCATACCTTCATTAATTAATTTATTCCTCCCACATTCACTGCCGTACTTATTCGTGTATTTATTTTTCTCCTAGACGAGGCTTTAAAAAAAAAAAAAAATTAACACTTTTCAAATAAAAAAATTTAAAAATAAAATATGGGTAATTTGAAGAATGAGCTAAATGATAATTGATGAGTTGGAATAAGGGCGAGCACTTCTAGATTTTCTACCGAAAAATCAAATCAAATTAACTTATTATAATGAAATTAGAATAGTTATTTTATAAATTTAATTACCATTTAGATATGTAATATCATTGATTTTTTTGTTATAGTTCCACTATCATATATAACTAATCGAATTTATTTTTTAGTTTAAAATAATTAATTTGATTTAAAATAATTGAATTTAAACCGATTTGGATCGATTTTATAGTATTAAGATTTGAATTTAGTTTGAAACTTATCTTTTAATCTAAAATGAGTTTAAAAATTCTTTTTATTGAATTATTTAATAAATGAGTAATGAGTTTACTTATATTTAGCTATTTTTTCACATAAGAACCATTATATTGCCAATTCAATACCTTTAAATAAAATTACTTTATCTTTATTTGATATAGTTTACAAAGTAAAACATAATTTTATTTTATTAAAAATAAAATTATTCTAAAGTTTTCCTTTTGTTTCGAATAACATTCTAATTGCAATAGCAATCTTTCCTCCAATAGGTTTATCAAAATTTAAGTTTAAGAATTATTATTTAATTAAAATAATATTGAAAACTCTATTATTTAGTTTTATAATATATTTTGATTTGAATTTAGTTCAATTAATTGCACCAATTAAGAAAGCTCGTGCTAATAAAATGGTACACTTTAATTATAAACGTAACTATTTAGAAATTTTAAATTTAAATCGTTAAATGTAAGATAATTATTTCATAAATAAAAACTTCTTGCGTAATGTTTTAATATAATTTTACGACGCAAAACCAAATGAAACCAAAATGGCTAACGAGATGATGATGATCATTGGTGGTATCCTAAACGACAGCGGTATCAGTTTTTACACCGAATCGAGGTCTCGTCATTGTGGCCACGCGCCTGACAAAACACTTGGAAGGCACGCGAAACGGTTAAAATTTATAAAATAAGAAAAACACATTTGTGGTAGTATTTGTTTTGGAGAAACGAAAAGTAACAGTGAGAGTTGGTGGCTGAGGTTGGTGGTGGTTGGTGGTGAGGTCCACTACTTTGCACGACGAATTTTGAGAAAACAATTATTTTTACTGTTTTAATAATGCAGAAAATCTTTTTTTTCTGAATTACCTAAAAGATCCCTCAGATTGGTACTAAAATGACAATAATCTTAACATGGTTTTGCTGGGAGAGTTTGGTAAAGGGGCAAGGCGTGTACATGTCTATACTTTCACACGCACTATTTGTATTGAAAAGCTTTCAACACATGATTAAATTTAGCTTTACAAAAAAAAAAAAAAAGAAAAGGAAGGCAACTGGCATACATCTCTCTCTTTTTTATTATAAAAAAATTTGAAATTTAATTATTAATTTAAATTTATGTTTCCTGAATATAACCATGAAAAATAATTAATAATATTTTAGTGATTCAAATAAAAAACACTAATAGAAAATGATATTTACTTTCATGCTCAAAGTTTAGTCTCGGAAATGAGAAAATTCAAGGGATTCTGCAGCGGGGTTGGTAGATTAATTGTTTTATGGATTTTGATTAATTTTATTGAAATGACAAATATTTTTTGATAAAATAATTTTTAGAAAATGACAAATAAAAATGAACGAAAAAAAAAAAGTAAAATTAGATTCGTCAATAACAGAGTATGAATCTTAGCCATGAATCATGATGGTCCACGTGTTTTGTTGATTGTTGTATCGTCCATTGAAATCTCGTAAGAGATTAGTTCAAAACAAATTGGTTGGCAGAAAATGACTTTCTTGTGCAGGAGAGAGGGAGAAAAAAAAAAGCACTTAATAACCATGAAAATAACCGGAGTACCCTTGTCCCTTGGTAAAGAAACGTGCGTATATTTATACAATTTGCAAGCTTTCGAAAAGCTTCATTTTGCTTCAGGATCATTTCAGGACACACAAGCCTGCAGAGCGCACATATACTCCCCGCGAAAGGACGGATGACCATAGCAGAGCAGATTTGGCAACGGTTAGTCGGTTTCCGGTCGAATTTGGCTCCACAAAAAACTATTGATTCTACTCCGATTCTGATTATCACTTTTCTTTCTTTAATTTTTATTTTTTTCTTTTCAATTTAAAATTGAAATTCTTCAAATATGTTTTAAGAGAAATCAAAATCAGAGCTCCTCCTAATTTCAATTCAGTTAGTAATTGAAATTCGACCCATTTCTGGAAATCAAACCAATGATAAACAATGAATTATTTTATATTTTATAATATTATAAATTGTTAAAAATCATATATTGCATATTTATTATCAAATATGAATATATATTCCTATTTTTCACATGAATTTTAAGTTGTAATTTGAACTTAAAAATGTGTTTATACATAATTTGATAAAATGTTGTTTAGTAGTTTCACTGACAGATGCAAGTCGGTAGAGTTTGCTGAGGGCGATACCCATAAGCATTGAATGCGTATCACGACGAAGAGGTCCACATTCGTTTTTAAACTTATATATATATATATATATATATACTCATGTTCCTGAGCTGAATAATGTCGGTGGACGGTGGTTCTATTACGAGTTACCGCGACGCTACGGTACAAATGCCACCCATCTTCCATTTCCAATCACCCTTTTGCTCATTTCAAGACCTCCACGCTCCTTTTCCTCGACTGTGCACAGTACGATCCGCATTTTTAGATTTCAGCTCAAGTGATCCATTTAAGGAGTGTCAAAATCAGTTATCCTCTCTTTAATATAAATAAATGAATTAAAAAATATAATTTATTTATAAACATATAAATTTAAAATTTAAAAATTCAAAATTTATTATTATTTTTTTTTTATAATACATTTAGTGTAATAATTTTAGAATGGTAGTAAGATGAATAGACTTATCATAAAAGTTTGGACCCTTTGAAAAATTTCATATTTTCTGATAAAATTATACCATAAATTGAATTTGTAAAATTTAAAATTTCTTTTTTTTTATACCACCAACTCAGAATTTTGAATTTATAAATAAATATCATAAGATTTTATGAAATATATAAATAAATTTTATGGAATTTATTTTTTCCAAATAAGATGTTAACATGTTATCACAATAGATCATTCTACGGTACAAATTTAAGTGAAAGATGTAATATAAACACTTATGAACTCATTATAATCTGTTTGATTAAACTTATCTCATTGGATCATATCAATTCAATTTAATATATTAGTTCATATAATTTAAGGATAAATAGTTACTTAGATATATAAAATACATATAATACTACATGTTAAATGTACTATACCGAGCTGCATATGACATAATTAATTAAATACTTTATATTTATCATGTTTGTATCATCTATTTCAAATTTGTGTCTTGCTATAATTCAAATATTTAGCACAATTAATAAATACTTTACCGAGCGTTATCCTAATCTAGAAGTGTTGGGTTTAGCCATTTTATACCGTCAATAATTAATTTGTATTTAATAGATTCATCAAATATATTTAGCAATCAATTGATAATTAATAAAAATTATAATCAATTGTTGTTTATTCACTGAGTTTTATTTAGCGTTTTTTATATGAATTATTTCTTGATTTATATTTATATTAAACATAGTCTGTATTAGTTTTATGAAAATAATGACTAATAATTTTTAAATAGAATGTATTTGAAACAATAATAATATTTAGACTACATTTTTATGCATTAATTTATATATATATTTAGCACAATTAATAATACTTTACCGAGCGTTATCCTAATCTAGAAGTGTTGGGTTGTAGCCATTTTATACCGGTCAATAATTATTTGTATTTAATAAGATTATCAATGATATTTAGCAATCAGATTGGATAATTAAAATAAATTATAAGTCAATGTGTTGTTTTTCACTGGAGTTTTAATTTGGCGTTTTTTATATGAATTTTTCTTGATTTGATATTTATATTACATGAGGTCTGTTATTACAGTTTTATGAAATAATGACCTAATAAATTTTTAAATAGAATGTATTTGAAACAATAATAATATTTTAGACTAGCATGTTTTTAGTGCATTAATGTTAGTATATAATATATATATATATATATATATAAGTATATATATATATATATTATATATATATATACATTCTCAGCCGCATAAGGATTGTAGCTTAAATGTATGAATGTGTTTAATATAATGAAGACGATTCATATAAGATTAGAATGTTTAATTCAGTGAAAATTAGTGAATGAATTAGAGAAATATTAATTACGAATCTTGAAATTAAATTAAGTTTAGACAACTAAAAAGATGACAATATTTATGAGTTATAATTATAGATTTAGTTTAATTATAAAATTTATATCAAAAGTGTGCAAAGTACGACATGTTTGCCTAATAGCCGCATGCTAATGAGCCTAGTCCAACGTGGAAAAAGATATACATTCTCACCCATAAGGATTGTAGCTTAAATGATAATGTGTTTAAATAATAAGACGATTCATATAAGATTAGATGTTTAATTCATGAAAAATAGTAATGAATTAGAGAAATATAATTACGAATCTTGAAATAAATTAGTTTAACACTAAAAAAGATGACAATATTTATGAGTTATAATTATAATTTAGTTTAATTATAAAATTTATCAAATGCAAAGTACAATTTTCTAATAGCCCATGCTAATGAGCTAGTCACGTGAAAAAATCTACATAAATACAAAATCTTAAAAGAATTTTTTTGATGCAAAACAAAGAAAAAAAAAATATTTTAGATTATTATTTTTTTAGATTATGAATAGCAGCAGTAATTTCAAAACATTGGTCGAGACAAAAAGCCAATTGTTGGTAATTACCTACAACCTAACATAAGCATCAGGTCCAAATTCAGTTTCGTTCCACAAGGACCATTTTATTAACAAATAAATATAATAATCCCAAAGCCTCCTAAAATCAAAAGTCAACATTGAATCTATTATTTCATTTTGAATATATACGCACAACCCAAGTTGGCTGGGAAAGACAAAGCAAATTCAGAAAACGGCAAGTGTACAATTGGTAGACAGTACCTAAACTCACCAACCCACCCTGTTCTGATGCGTATTGGATAAAACATATCAGCATCGGACGTTTCTTTCCCCACCAAACCATTGATTGTTATCTTTTTCTACTTCCCTTTGTTTTTAGTTTTATTAAAATGATATTCATGACGACCTACATTTTCTTTTTTCCATATTTATATTACCATTAAAATTGGCGATATAAACATGGTTTAATATTTTATTTACATTTTTAATATATTTTTTAGATAAAAAATATTATTTTTATTAATGTTCAATCACGCTCTCTATTCTTAGAGAGTCTGTTAGACAGTCTGACTCAATTTTTATTTTTATTTTTTTCGTTTTTTTTCTTATTTTTGCATTGTCTTTTATGACTTCTCTATTGCAGTCAAACTTCTTCTTGCGCTCATTTTTTCTTTGTGCATTGGAGAGCTATTTTTAAAATTTAACATCTATAAATACACATATAGTCATCACCATCCACAACTTACATCTATTAAGACATATCAGCCACAATTAATAGTTACATTGGATATACTCTTAGTATTTAGAGTTTAAGAGAACAATTATTATTTCCTTTAAAACAATTGATAACTAACAACTACTGAAATAATTAATTTTACTGAATAAAACTAAAAAATTTATTAATTTCACTCCTTTGTTCATTCATGAAATTATATTATACCTTCAATTTTCCATATGCAAAACGAATCATACGTTGAAATTTGAAAATAGCATTCCCACAAATATTGGAAATAATTTGAGTATCATAAGCACAATATAATCTTTTTTATTTCAATGTATTTGTTAAAGGTGTTTTATGTATATATTAAATCATTGAGTCTGGATTTAATAATTCAAGTTCATTCCACATAAATAATTAAACTTTAATTTAAAAACATATGTGATAGAAATTTCTCTAAATTCGTATAAATAGGTCTAATACTACTTTTTTTTTCCCCAAGTTTTCTGGGAATTTCTCAAAATCAATATCCTTAATTTCAATTTTGTCGTGGCTGATTATGCAAATATTCTTTTAAATAATTGGTCTAGACTATAGAGCTTATTTTCCTAAAAGATCATTTTGGACCAAATCGTCCTTTACCCACCTTGGATGGGCCGAACAACTTATAACTCTTTGGGCCGAACAACTTATAACTCTTTGGGCCTCACACAGAGGCATTCTATTTTGTCAAGCTATTATTGCTGAAAAAATAGAATTGATAAAATAATTCAAGAAAAAAAAAGAAATATTTCATATTTTTAAATATTAATAAAAATTTTATAAAAAATATTAATTATTTTGTTTAATTAAGTTGATTCATAAATTAAATTCATGATAATAAAATAAATATATTTAAAAAAAATTAGGACAAATATAGAATTTTGTGAAATTCATCATTTATTTATGTCAAATGAAAAAAAAAAAAAAAGCCTTATTAGAAGTTTTATTGTGACTTTTGAACCTATTTCAATGATGAATTATGTACGAAAGACTAGGGGGCAGTAGTTATTGACCTTGAGATTTTTTGTGGACGGAGGTAACAACCGTAACCCCTCAAAACTCCCTGCGCATATGTAATTTTATATTTTTTATTGTTATCTCTGTTTTATAATATTTGTCATATTTAAAATTTTAAATATTTTAAAAAAATTATTAAATTTATTTAAGTTATAATAAATTATTAAGTAAATTGACCATATTACCATTAATTTGATATTAATTCTTTAAGAAAACCATTAAATTGAAGTAATACAATTTTTGATCATATAGAGAGGGTAAACATAGAAAAAAAAATATTATTTATCGAATGGAGGTAATATATTTTTTATAAAGGGTGCAAACTTTATGTTTGGGGAGAAAAAATTTGCATCTTTTTCAATTAATAATATCTGGATACACATCCAATAAATAAATGATTAATTAATTAATGTTGATTATACTATGAATTAGTATAAATTTACTATGAAGTCACTTCTCCCTTGATGTAACTTTGACATTGATTTTGAAATTATAAATATATATAGTTACTTTTGATCTTATGTAGCTTTGATAATGATATTCAAATCACACATTCACATGCTTGGAAAAATTCTACACCTATATATTAATATTACAATTAATTTCTTCAGAAAAATTAGTTTACACTAATCAATAACAAAAATTTGTATATTTCTTAGATCATAAATATACATATATATAGAAATGAACATTAATTTTATAATGTTTACACTTTCTTCCACAAATCTTTAATCAACCCTCAAAACAGAAAAAGGAAAAATCAATTTAAGCTCTAAACTAAATAACAAGTGATCATCACTTCATCATGTGGAAGGGGGAAAAAGAAATTGCCATCCCTAAAGCACAGCTAAAGGCATTGATCGATCAAAGCTACTTCTAAGAGCTCTTGTTCTTGGCGGCCTTTTCTTGGTACCCTTCTCGGCTTCCGGGGTCTTCACCATGTTTTTCCCAAAAGGAAGATTTACAGGCGCCACCGTATGCAAAGCACCATCTTTAACCGCTCCACTGTGTATAAGCACTCTAATGATCCCTACATAATGTAAAGACTCTGCAATTTGTAAAGCAGTAATACCCTTATTAGTTCTAGCTTCAACATCTGCACCTTTCTTCACCAACAATTCAATTACATCAGCATGACCTGATTCCACTGCACAGTGTAATGCAGTATAACCATCTTCATCTTTTCCATTTATCTCTATTCCTCTATCGATTAAGGCTCGTACGGCTTCGATTTTGCCTTTAAACGCTGCTCTGTGTAAAGCAGTCCATCCATGTTGGTCGCGGCCATTAATAAAAGCTCCATTTTCAATCAACTTAATTATACTTCTTACTTCTCCTTTTCTAGCAGCAGCGCATAAGCAATCGCCTAAGTTCAACACATCATAAAGACTAGAGTTTCCATATTCTACAGCAACATTATAAGCAGTTTTTGAATTTTTGTTTCTAATATCTTTGTTCGCGCCTTTTTGCAGTAACAATTTAACCATGCTTTCATCTCCTATTCTTGCAGCTATATGTAATGGAGTATCTCCTTCGTTTGTGTTTCGGATATCTGCTTTAGCTCCATTTGCTAATAGCAAGCGAGCACAATCCCGTCTTCCTTCTTCAACTGCTAAATGCAAAGCAGTGTTACCGTCTTTGGTTAATGAATCCACATTAGCTCCTTTAAGTAAAAGAAGCCTTAGTACCTCTAAATGGCCGTTAATGGCTGCAAGATGGATTGGACCCCACGTCGACGTCTCTGATCTTTGTAAATTAGCTCGACGAGCTAATAACAGCTCAACGATCAAATCCTCGCCAGCTTCAGCAGCTGCTTCAAGTGGAGTATATCCTGACCGGCTTTGAAGTTCAACGTCAGGCTTGAATTCAAGAAGTAATTGAACAATATCAGGACGGCTTTGAGATATGGCTATATGAAGCAATGTTTGACCATCGGAATCCATGGAATCCGCCGGATTCCAAGATGGGTCGCTACGTTCAAGAACCTCCCGTATTTTATCCATGGATCCATCTGTAACTAACTGTGCAAGAATTGGCGATCCGACAAACATGATTTTAATACCGCTATCGATAAATACTTGCTTTTTCTTTGCTGTAAACCAATCTTGAGGCACTGCATCGAAATTTGAGGTGTCTTTGATTGAAGCGCCAGGAACTACTACGCTATGTAAGAGAAACCCATCCTCACAATATGGAAACGTGTCGGGGAGAATAGAGGAGCCAGGAAGAATATGGTAAGTGATTTCTAAGGTTACAGTAGCTAAAGGAGAAATGATTCCTGATTGTGGCTTTATAGTATAACGAGATCTGTTTATGGCTTGAATTCTGAAAGCTACAGGCATAGTGTACATAACGTTTCGAAGAGTTAGTTCTCCACTGCATTTCTGGCCTGGCTCGATTCTGATTGCTACAAGGTTTGAAGGCTCTAAGCTAATGAGCCTATCCATTTTTTTATTTTCTTGGAAACCAAACAGGAAACCCTGTTTCTTGGTTCAGTTTCTTGATGATTTTCTTTTCAGGGGAGGGATGCTTGAAATTCTTGATTTTTGGGGTGTTGAAATTCAAGAAGAAGAAGGAGGGACTGGTTTATTTTAAGGAAGGAGAAGTGGGCCGGCTCTAACGAGAGAGTGGCAAGTGGCGGTGTTAAAAACAAGGAGGACTTGTTCTATTCGGCGTCTTTACTGTAAAAACTTGTTAAGACAGTCGTATAAGTTTCAAGAAACACAGAGCGTCAGAGTTTATTACAGTATATTATTGTTGTTCCTTCTTTTTTTTTTTTTTTAAAGTCACTTTCAGTTTCAATGTTGTGTTTTGTATTAGACTATTAGTTCTGACAAATTAATTAATTGTTTATTGTTCTTGTAAAGGTCACACTAGAGAATCTTTTCCTTTTGTTTATTGTTTATAAACCAAATCCAGCATCTAATTTGAGAATGTTGTCTTACTTATTCTCTCATATATATATTTTTGCCAAATGGGTTAATTTGATGATTTGTTGATAGCAAATTAATAATTGGATAAAGGCTTATGAAACACTAATAAAACAGCTGACAGCTATTACAATAATTAAATATCTAATTTTACGGAATATGAGGTAATTCTCTTTGCAAATCATGGTATTCCTGGTAACGGTGATGACAAACTTGGTCGTTGGAGTATAGGGTGATGTTGCTCTCTTCCTAGTTGGATTGGGGCTTTGTTTATTGCAATTGAATTGTCCATTAGGCCAAGTCATATGACTTAAATCAAGTGGCGTGTGTGTATATATATATATATATATAATTAATGGATTCTTAGGGTTTGAGTTGTCGCTCATGATTTGCTTACTAAAAACTCTCCAATAGGAATGAAGTGGACCATTCAATACCCAAAACTATGACATTTTCTAATGAATGTGATGTTAGATATCCAAGCAACAAAAAAAAGGCACCATCCAACTTACTGAGTCATGGTTTAGTTGATAATACAAATTGGATAAGTGAAAAGAGTTATTTGATACTCATTAAATACACCTGTAGGGAGGGGAGAAAAATTTTAACTGTGACTAAATCTTGAGTCAGATTAGACGATTCTTAATAATAGAATTTAGATACTATAGTTTAAAAAAAAAAAAAAAACAGTATGCAACCATACATATATGGAGAGAATGTATGTGTTATAAAGTAAACATGGAATATAATTTTATGATTGTGTATGTCTATAAGATATAGATTAAAAAATTCATGAGACCATGTTAATTTATTATCACATAACATTATAAATTTTTTATTTTTTTTCCACATAAAAGTGTTATATGATGATAAGAATTTGTTTCTTTTCTATTATGGTCCCCATACCCTTTCCTTGTTGAACCAAATCTTTTTTGTTTTTCATTTGTACGGTTCTAAGACACTTTTTGAAGGTTGAATTGTTCCATATTTCCATTTTTTTAAAAAAGAAATTTCCATTGTTAGTTCAAAACAAGAAATATCTTGTAGTTGAATGGAACATTTTAAAATTTATGATAAATAATTAAAATTTAATTGTAATTATAAGTAAATAGAACTAATTAATTAGTTTACGAGGTTTACTCATGTTAAAATTATTTAGTCCTGAATCTATAGTCAGGCCATATATGAGTTTACCATTAGACTATTACTCTAATGGGCAAATTATTTAATTTAATTATTATTTAAGATAGTAAATACATTATCATATTCAACTATTAGGTCCTCCACGTTTAATAATAATAATAATAATAATAATAATAACAAATTTTTTAATATTGTCTTCGAAAATGAGGGTGAAGCAAAAAAAAAAAAAAAAAAAAATTAATTGTAATTATAAAGTAAATAGAACTATTAATTAGTTTACGAGGTTTTTACTACTGCATGTTAAAATTATTGTAGGTCCTGAATCTATAGTCAGGCATAGTATGAGTTTTACCATTAGGAGAGACTAATTACTTCTAATGGGCAAATTATATTTAGTTAAGATTATTATTGTAAGATAGTAACATTACATTATCATAGTTCAACTTATTAGGTCCTCCACGTTTAATAATGAAATAAAATAATAATAATAATATAACGCAATTTTTTAATATTGTCCTGTCGAAAAATGAGGGTGGAAGCAAAAAAAAAAAAAAAAAAAAAAAAAATCTTTGAAACACTTTTAACACATTGCATGTCTCTGTATAGAAAAGTTCGTAGAAAGTCCAAGAAGGTTTCTTTTGGAGAAAATGAAATGAAAAATTTGGGAATCACAATTCACAAGAAACATTAAAAGACAACAAAACTTCATAGGAAATAACTGCATCATCAATATATATATATATATTTTATAAATTGCATTTTATTCATCAAATACTTAGTTTAGTTTTACGAATATATTGTTTTTAATTTCTTGGGCTTGTCGATTTCTGCCAATATTTTCTTTTAACTTTTTGTTTTAGCCAGAAATAATTCAAGTTGAGTATTTAAAAACAGTCAATCACTCCTTTTACTGCATTAATGATATTCCATACATATATAGGAAATTATATTCTTAAATAAACTTTGTTTCGAATATAATATATATAAAGAAAAATTTTAATAAATAATAATAAAATTTATATTTGAATATCACTTTTGTTATCAACTTGAAACATGTGGAAAAAGAAAAGAAAAAAAAATATATGTTTTGGTATATAATAGTATATAGCTTTTTGAAATTATTGCATAGGAAAGCATCAAAATATTCGAAAATCAAAAGAGGAGATTAAGGACATGACTAGAATATTTATACATTGAAAGGCAAACAAAGTTTCTAAATATTGTTAAATAAATTACTTCCTTTGTCATCTTTGATAGTTAATATATTATTTACTTATTAATATATTCAATCCATCCTCCATTGCTGACAGTTGAAGCCTTAGTGTACAAACAAAAGATAGATTATAATTTCTTCCCATGCACTTGGGAAAAAAAAAAATCATAATACTTTTTAAAAGATCTTTATAGATGCAGTCTAATATTGTTTACCTTTCAAAAGAGAGACGGCATTTTACAAAAATGTTTGAAAATTACAAGGAAAGACCGACAAAGCCGTTGTTTGATCCCTAAAAGGTAGAAGTACCAAATGTGTACTTATGGGCTGAAGAATTCTAACATGAAGGTGTTTAGCGTTTGTCTATCGCGAATTGATACAACAATCTCTCTCTTTCTCTAATTTATTACAATATGTTTTTGTTCAATTTGTGGGTGTTTGGAATGGAAGCAAAGTGGCACCATCATGCCTATTAATGGCTATCAATAGTATATACAAACTTGGTTATTATACTAGGCCTTTTGGGTATGTTGAATTTTTTTTTTTTCAAATTAATACAATTCAATATTTATAGTAATTTTCATTATTTATAAGTGTTAGACCCCATATGCCCTGATTTGGATGTGGATGTTTCTAAACGGAGAAGATATAGACCTATTGCGATATAGGTTCTTAAAAAAAGGTTCTACTTGGATTGATTCAATTTATTTCAAGTCATACAAAGTATTAAAGGGCAACAAATTGATCATGGTCAGATTTGGGCCTACATAGATAAAAAAAAATAAGGCCCAACAAGTTTTGTGGATATGCTGTCTGTTCTAACAAAGCAGCAAGTCCATCAAATTGAACAATCCGTGTAATATGGGCCTCAGAGGCCCTTTCTTGTGTTCCGTTATAGTCTCGGTTTTCCCAAGAAAGACAGGCCCTCCAAATCATTTTTTTGGTATGTCGGATAAACCAATCTATATCACCGGAGAATTAACTATTCAAATTCCGGCAACTTCTTAACAAAATTCAAATCAGCAAATTATCCCTTTACTTAGATTTGATTTGATCTTCAATTGTATTGTACTAGTATTTATGTTAGCATTATAAATACATTATAACATAATAACTCTGTAAAAAAAAAAAAAAATCAAATTACAGAATAATGTGAAATAGGTGTGCTCTGTTTCTTGCATCTTACTACTGTTAGTTATGGATAATATGAAAGTTAAGAGGATAAACCCAAAATAATAGAAAGCAGTTAAAGCTTTTATTGTTAAATAATCCTTATTATTACAGCATAATATTTGGATTTACATTCACTCCCTGCCTACAAGGATAGCACACATCACAACTATTAACCAAAATATCAAACTTCATAAAGACAACTTTGCCCTTTTTTTTCTTTCTTTTTTTTTTTTATTACTTTTTCCTCCATTTCTGTAGATAGGGCACGAACAGAAAAACTTCAGTACACCTGTTACAAAAAAGAGATCAATACAGCATCAGAAAATGATTTACCATATTTAAATATATAACAATGGAAAATTCCAATAAAAAGTCATATTACCTAGATAATTAGGTATATAATGAGAGGATCACCATTCATTAATTAATCGCTATCGCTATCACTGCTGCTGCTATGACCATGTTTATGGCCGTCCTCATGCTTCTTCTTTTCCTTCTTCTTCTTCTCCTTTTTCTCTCCTTCTTTGTGACCATCGCCATGGATTTTGTCCTTGATCTTGTCGATCATACCTTCCTTGTGTTCGCCCTCGTGCTTGTGATGCTCACCTTTATGCTCATCCTTCTTGTGGTGATGATCATCTTTGTGGTGCTCTCCTTTGTGCTCGTCTTTGTGGCCTCCCATGTGGAGAGTCTCTTCAATTTTGTGAATAATTCCTGACATTTTCAAATGCAGATCTGTCCTTCTGGTGTTTGATATGAGGTGAGAAGTTTAAAGGGACTGCCTCTTATTTATAGGCAGAAAACTATTAATCTAATCTAACACTATTAAATTGAAATTACATAACTGCCCTACATTTATCTTTACACGGATTATACACTGGCGAACGTAATAAATTCACACGTACTGGATCTGAACAGACAAAGAAAGTTCGTTGGTCCCTGTTTACAGGCACTAAAGATGGGCAAAGGAGGGGCAGTTCAATATTATTACTATTCTAAATAAATATTTGTCTATTCATCTTTATTTTAATTTTTTTCCCTTGGCTACAAAAATAACGCGTGGCTTAGATGGATTTCTAAGGGATAATTTAATTTAATTTGATTTTTATTATTTAAAAAATACGATTCAGATATAAACTTTATTGTAAAGTATATATAGTTATTATTAACTCATAATTGAAAATTAAGTCTGATTGATTTTCTCAGTATAAAAAGTCACGGTGGAAAATATCAAATTTAACGGACGAAGCCACTATAATATATCCTGGAAAGGTGCGGAAGTCACATTTGAGGCACCACACCAGTGTCATGTTTTCTTGAAAGCAATGGGAAATGGAAGTGGATTAGATCATGCTGAGCTAAGAAGTTGGAGACCGATTCTAAATTGACACCTTTCTAATTCAAAGAACAAGTTTGCAAAATATTAGTATTGTCTTTGAACAATAACGAATTAAAGAGTAACGAGATTTTCTTGTCTAGAAATGAGAAAGAAAGGGACAGGAGCGGAGGAAAAGATTTCTCCCTCATCTATTAAGAATTCAACCAAAAAAAAAAAAATCTAAAAAGAAGGGAATAGATAAAATAATAATAATAAAATAACTGACGAGTATAGACAATCCAGAAGTTTATAAAGAGTAGCTAGTAATGATTTGACACATCATCATGACAAGCACCTTATCTTTTTGACAGGTATCTGCTATGACTATTTATAATTTCTTGAATTTAATAATCTACGTTGAAATAACAATGGTAAATTCCAACTTTTTTCTCATCCCCTTGCGGATATTTATTGACTAAACGGCACGTGGACGTTCAATCCGTTGCCGACAAAATTGGGTATTGGTGTCCTGTGGCTAGGCTCCACCATAGTAAATACTGTCTGCTGCCTCGCGTCCACAATTTCTTTTTAAAGTACTATCAAAGATAAATAAAAAGCATAAACGACAGACAAATGCGTTCCCTCTTTGTATTTTTTTTTTAGGACGGTAACTAAAAGCGGACACAAAATAAACCTTGCAGACCCATATGATAAATTATCTATTTGGAAGCGACAAACACAATAAAAATACTTCCACACCATGCATGTCAATTTAAATACACTGATTGATTATAGATAATCATAGCCACTTCAAACTCGCATGCCCAGTAATTTCAAGTCTCCACAAATTTTTGCAACGTCAAGAACATTGAGCTCAATAAGAAAGCAATGCTGTCGCTAGTAACATTAACATGCAACACATGGACATGAACATAGGTGTTTTAACATTGCATCTTGGCAAATTATTTAGCCTTCTATTCAATGCTTATGTACAAGCCACATATGAACAATGCATTCAAATTGATTCATCAAACCATCCATAATTTGCACCCCCTTTTCACAATACAGTACTCTATTTCCAGAAGATAAGGAGGGAAGGATATGCAACAAGTTCACACACGAGGATGAGTATACTTTTTTTTCATTCATTCTGGATGTCCCAGCTTTCCTCCAATCTCATCGAATTGCTCCAAGCAAATTGGCACCGTCAAGCCTTGCATTCTCCAAATGCTGGGTATGCAATGAAATTAAAATTAGAACACGTAAAAAACATATTAAAGAACTCCCGACTTGACAAGCCAGCACCCTTCCCATTCACAGGCTTAGTCTTTTGTGCACATGATGTTACTTTCAAGTAGGAAGACACAATCCCAGGCCCCACCCCCTTCTATTCAGAATTCAAGGGAAACTTCTAGAAGTCAAAATCAAAGAAAATAAAGAGCCACAAAGAATTTCTAACATACAGGAAATTCTGCATAAACATCAGTGTCTTGATATTTTCAGGGGATTAACAGTTATATGTCTGCAAACATATTAATAGAAACACCTAACAAACAGTGTTACTCTTTGCTGATAACAGGAACTAATTATCTAATTTGCTTGACCATGCAATAATAATTTGTCTCCAGAATGCCAAAATCTATTGTATTGACCCCTGCAATGGATTCAAAATTAATTTCGATAAAACAGAATTTTATTGTTCTTTTTTACTCCCTTAGAAATTAATTTCAGCATTATCAAATCTTTTTCTTTCCTGTAGATAAGTGGATCTTCATTATGCAGTTGCCCAAGTAGTCTGCTAGCAGCTACCACTGTCCATTTGTGATCCATGTATTTATTATCATCAGATATTCTACAACAATATGATTAGCCTTTTCAAGATATTAATTCCTTCTTGAAACATTCCTGAAGTTCCACTTTAATTTAGGCATCCACCGAGCATGCCATGATGCATAACGGAATATTTTTGGCATTGAAGGATGAAGTGTTCATAAATCACAACTCACAAGAACATTGAGTCAATTAGATTGAAAATCCACAACATAAGCTTATGGCCACTCAAAAAGCATATATTAAGGAATATGAAACTGAGATAAACTGTCCAGATAATATCAATTCTGATAAAACTTTACTCACTGTGTTCTGAAGATTGACATGTCGTAGATAAGCTCTTTGAAGATTTGCACCTTTTAAATTGGCATTATTCAGCTTTGCGCCCTGAAACAAACATGGTTTCAAACTTTCAATGAATTCACACTAAAAGCTGCAAGAGATTACCAACAGAACTTTATTGTGAAAATGAAAGAGAAGCCATTCTTGGGCTTGTTCTTTATTCTACCACACCCATTAATTGCCTAAATTATGGCCCACCCAGAAACCCCCCTTGTTTGTTTCTCATTTCAAGGGTAAGCCTTATTGAAGATTATTATCATTGTTGTAGCAAAACAGCTTTTTGCCTTCAGACTTGATTCCAAGAGATGCCCATCTTTCACTTGTTCATTATTATGCTAAATATGCATTAGTTGACTGAATTGGGTGAAAAAAGCCCATTACTCTCCATGTTTGATTACTCATTATGAGTGTTAGCCTTATAATCGGCGTATGAACATCCATGGATCATCCAATAAGACTTTTACCTTTAGATTGGCTCCTTCTAGATTAGCTCCTTCCAGATTGGCATTGGTGAGATCAGCAGTCTGATATTAAGTGATTAAACATATTAGTTTATTAGATTAATCTCCAAACCAGAAAGAAAAAAAAAAAAAAAATCAGATCATGTTTTTACATTCACGATGAGTGAGAGCAAATAACCAAATTAAAGTGATACCCAAACAGGGGAAAAAGATCCTACATCCTTACTAATTTTTTCTTATCTTCTATTAGATATAGTGATTTCTTTTAATTTGGTGTGCTATAGGAGGCACATTATCCACATCCTTTGCTTCCCTTTAACCACTGGTTTGTTGGTCAGGCAAACTGCTTTGTTGGGTCAGTTAGACCAAACTCTGCTCAGCCCAATGATCAAGTCAACAAGATACGCCAACATTATTACCCAATAAACATCTTCAGTAAAACTGGATAAGAAGAAAACTGGCTCAAATTTGAATTTTTTTTATGCTTATAGTGCCAAACCTGTAAGTGTGCAGAGCGGAGATCTGCTCCACAGAAACTGCAATCTACCAGACAAGCATCTGTGATATCATAACATATAATCAAATTCAGAAGGCCCACCCTCGTCTAACCCCTTAAGCAACAAGTATTTTCAAAAAAAGAGGAACAGAGAAAGGAAGAAGAAGAAGAAAGAAGAGGAGGAGGAGGAGCAGGGGAGTGTTTAGGTGGGCAGAATGTGACATGTAAGAAAGTGGTTAAAGAATTCAATAAAACATCCTAAATCTATTATGCATTGACTTTACCAAACAGAGAAACTTGGATTCAGGTTATCCATTTATTGCAATCAACATTCTGTAAGGCATCAGCCATTAGTTGCAATTTACTAGTGTTACTAAGACATAATTCAAGGAATTATGAGCCAACTTTACATGGAAAATAGCAACAGCATATAACCCATGGGTAGGAGCACTGGTTATAGCATAACATAAAAGATTCTAAGAGGATACTTGGAGATTACAAGCATACTAGACAAATGTTACCTTGTAAGTTTGCACTCTGAAGATTAGCACCAGCTAACAAAGCTCCACGAAGATTTGCACCAGTAAATTCACATCTTCCCTAGGCCCAAAAAACCATAATCAAGAAAACAAATCTGCAATGTTACTTATTTTATGAAATGGGATCCAGTTTCAACTCAAGTGTCTTACTCTCGTAAAGTTGCATTATGAAATATCGAACCCTCAGCATCCACATCCTGCAATGAACATGTTAAAGGTTTGTGTGTGAACGCATGATCCATTAACTAAATGACATGAAAAAATGAAACTGCATATAAAAGCTCTAGGTCACCTACAAGCAAGTACCAGAACCAACTTCAGTTAAGGAAGAACATCTTAAAAATTAGCATTACATGCCCTTGCTTTTCTTTTTATAAAATTTGCTCTTAGATATAGCCTTCGTTACACATTACATCCCCTCCCCCCCACACACAAGAAGCCCTTTTTGGCATCAACCTTCACTGAAACATTTTGAAACTCTTTCTTGCTTCTATTGGTGCTAACTTTGAAAAGGGAAATTAAGAATGTGTTATTGCTTCTCCTAAAACATTGGATAATAGGAACGTTATAATGTAAAAGGGAGTAAAAGGAGACAAAATGAGGGTCCCTAGAGAATGCAATGCAAAGAGAATGAAAGAAGTTGTTCATGATGCATATTATTCATTGCCCATAATAATGTTAAACCTACCCGAAATTTTGCACACTGAAGATTGGCACGTGAAAAGAACACATTTTTAAGACATGCGTAGCTGAAGTCAACAAATGAAAGGTCCTGCATGTCAATAAGCCACACATCAGAGGAATGTCAATATGTTGGAGGAAATGTAATAACTATGGAAAAGCTAGCATTCTGTGTAATATTTTCTGCCTTCGAAAAGTGGATCTTGCATCAGTTCAAGAGCATAGAAGATATCATACAGTTACAATCGTCTATTGAAACAAGACAATATAATATATGAATTCTTATTTCAGAATTTTGACATATATGAGGGGTAAATTTGAAAGTGTTTTAAACCAAAAGCTTCTAAACTCTTGCAAGTTAAAAAAGTTACCAGTTTAGAAAGATCAAGGCCAGAAAGATTAACCCCTCGGAATCGGACTCTCTCAGACTGTATACACTTGATGATATCTGTCCGTGTCAATTCAGTATCTTCATCACCTTCCTTTCTCTCGTTCAAGACTGAATTGATTCCCTCAATCAGGCCCTGGTAAAAAAATTAATTAATAAACAAAGGATCCATAGGAATAGTGTCATTAAAATATATAACAATTTCATTTCATGCACATAATCAATAGTACACCCTTAGGTAATTGTCTCCAAAAAAGAAAAGATGAATTCAAGGCAACCAAAAGAAAAAATTGGACTAAACCACATACAAGTAGCTGATAGTATTCTGCCTCTCGCATAAGCTCTGAATATTCAGCATCTGTAAGTTTAGGAACCACGCCATCCCTCAACCAATTCAGTATATGCCTAAAGTGTTTTCCATCCCTATCAACAAATACGTATCCCTGCAGTAATCAAAATTCCAAATATAATTTGTCATTTAACATCTTCGAGTATGAAACTTACCAAAGCAACTGCCTTATGCCATCATATTTCACTTGATAAGAAATGTAAGATTATGCATATCAAGTAACCAATCACATTTTCTAACTTTTAACTGAATCTTTCACATTGCTTAAACATTTACTAAGAAATTCACCTCCCCTAAACATAAGATGATAATAATTTAACAAATATGGAACATAAGGTATATGGTACCTACCCTCTCAGAGTCTTCGCAAACCGTATGGCGACCACTGAACATCGCAGCAAGCATTGAATCAGGTTCACGCTGCGTCAAAGTATCAACAGTGGTGCAAAATTTCTTCCCTCCTGCAAATACAAACAGAGTAAAGAATACTTCCAGTGATCACGAATCAATAGCATTGACTAAGAGCATAATAAAACTAGCAAGTGAACGAGAACTAAACAGAAAAAAAGCAAGTAATAAAATTGAATAACTTACAACTTCTTGAAATTAATTAATTGAAAAAGGTCACCAATATTTCAAACGTAACCTTTGTTTGACAGCCAATTAACGAAAATAATATAAATTAGGGTTTCAGTTGCTTAAGAATCAGACTACTTGGTTCACGCGTAGAAAGAGGATTTGAAAATGAAGATCACTTGTGAGATTTAAAGAGAGGGAAACTGACCGATGTTGAGGCGAACCATAGAAGAGAAATTGAGTTCCTTCATCATTAGATAGCTGTGAGATTGCGACGCAGAGAGAGGGTAATGGTTGGGCGTGTGCTTTTACCGGTGGTTTCTCCTCCGAATTCTAAAGAGCTGTACATTTTGCATTTACTTGTCACCATCAGAGAAGAAGATGCGTCGAGTGAGTTTTTAAGATCTCATACGGTGCCGTTCAGATGTCTATATTCTGGAATAACTGAATGAGGCTGTTTATTTCTTTTCGGTTGCCGTTTGGAATTTTTTTTTTATTTTTTATAAAGGATTGCCGTTTGGCATTTCGTGTTACTTTGTGGCTTTGTCTTTTTGGGATGTGTCGTGTTCGGAGCATATAACGCATATTGTGTGCAAAACCACTGAACCAAATCAAATCGAACCCATCCATTTTTGATTCGGTCAGCCTGTTTGAGGGAAAATATGAAATTAACTTTATATAAAAAAAGTTTTTAAGGTGACAAAGTACAAATGGGTCCTAAATTATAATGAAATTAACTCATAAAGAATTTCTATTTTTTAAAAATTAACTATAAGGTTTTATAATTTTATTAGTGTTTTAATCTTTCAATTTTTAGATTGAAAAAGATTTTTATGATGTTAAATTTGAGTTTGTTCTAATTGTCTTTTTATTTATGTTAAAATTCAGGTTCGAGATTTCTAGAGTATAAAAATTATCACCATTTTAAAGAGTAAAAGAAAAAACTAACCATATTGTGTAGCCTAAAATATTCTTTTAGCCATTTCACATCTTAACGAATAAAAAGAACATTCATAAAATGTTAAATTTGAATTATTTTTTTAAAAAAATACACAACATGGAACCATTTCATTCAAACCATTGATTAGAAAGCCAATCCAAGTTCAAACTTAAGAAAGCTTTGAACCGGGAGTCATCGAACCGACCATTCCTATCCCTAAGCTAACCGTTGATGCAGCTTAACACAGCCAAACCGCCCCCAACCATCACTATTGTACGCAACTATCCACATCTGCATGGCCGCCCGAACGTGGCAATCCCAGAAACTAACACATTCACCATTTTTTCCTATTAAACGGAAGCTTTTGGGTACTTCTCTCTCCATATCAAGTTCCTACCTTGAAGAACAAAATAATTATGAGAAGATGAAGCACCTATCCTCCATTGCCAACGACATCATACACAAATGTGCACTGTACGTAAATCCCTTTCTCCTTTGTCACTCTCTCTGTTTTTATTTATAGACTGTAAGACAGTATCTGATGTATTTAGTCACATATTAGTTGCCTGGGTTGAATAATATTTTCCAGAAAGTTGAATACTTCAGTAGAGAAACTGGTGGAGGAGTTTGAAGCAGAGTGGAAATGGAATCCTGAAAGTGAAACGAGTGCGTATTCAAAGAAACTGGTCGAATTTTGTACTTCAAAGGCAATTCATGAAGAATGTAAAGACATAGAAGACAAAATTAGTGATGGGTCATTTGCCCGATTCACGTTCGATATGATGCTTGCATGGGAAATTCCTAGCTTTCGGGATGAGGATTCTCTTATGGTAATTAACATGTATATATTGATATATGGGTCTTGGCTAATTCAAATTGCTAATTGAATGGTTAATTTGTTGTGGGGACTTAACAGGAGTGCAAGAGTAAGGGGAAAGAAGACAGGAGGTTACTTGCAGAAGATATCTCTCTTTTCTATACAGATCTTATGCCACTCCTTGTAATTTTTTTTTTTTTTTTTTGTGGGTTAACATTGGTGCTTAGTGTCAATTAACTGTGTCAATTAAGAGATTCATTGTGCTGTATTGGTAGGCTAATGATGAGCCCAGTGTTGGAGAAGATGCATTTGTATGGTTGGCGACATTGATTCCATTGGCTGGAGATATTGTTAATGGAAGATTTACATTTGAAACTTTCACAGCACCTACAGGCCACCGCCTTTTTTTCCCTGCTTTTGACAAGTTCTTGAAAGAAATTGATGAGTAATGTTTCTCAACTCTATCTGTAGAATATTTTTTAAAGCTAATTAGGCTTAGTTGCTTCGACCGGCATTTAGAATCGCAACTCTGCATCCCTTTAAACAATTCCGACACCATTAGGCTTAGTTCCTTTTCTGTGGTCTTCTTGATCTCACAGATGCATAAAGCATTTGCAAAAGCAAGCAAAACCAAAGGGTGTAGAGCTAGCTGATGATGAATTTATACTACATGTTGAGGGCACAGCAAGCTCACAGAGAGTAGTCCGCCATGTCAGAGGAACAAGTTGGCCTGGTATTTCTTAATTTTGTTTCTCGGCTTTGCATTTTCTAAAGGCACAATAAGCAAATACTTTATGGTTCTGATTAGTTAATTGATATCTGGTTGTTCTAATGTTAGGCATTTTATTTTATAGGTAGGCTTACACTAACTAATTATGCTCTATACTTTGAGGCTTCGGGCGCAATAAGCTATGATGATGCACTTAAAATTGACCTTTCAAAAGATATTGAACATAGTGTCAAGCCAACTGCCACTGGTCCATGGGGGGCTCCTCTTTTTGACAAGGCCATAATCTATGAATCTCCTGAATTGTGAGAATAATTGTTCATAATCTTTATTATAAATATTGATACACTTTAATTAGTTTTACTGTTATTGCAAATGACTTCTCATGTCCAATTTTCTAGATCAGAAGGATTTGTGTTGGAGTTTCCTGAGATGACTAGCTCGACTAGACGCGATCACTGGCTTGCACTTGTCAAGGAAATTATGCTAATGCACCAATTCTTATCAAAGAATAAGGTGCAATGTCCAATACAATCATGGGAAATGCATTCAAGAACAATTTTGGGGATTATAAGGCTCCATGCTGCAAGAGAAATGCTTAGAATATCACCCCCTGCTCCCACAAAATTCTTGATCTTTGCTTTGTTTGATGAGTTACCGAAGGGTGACTACGTACTAGAAAAGCTTGCCGATGGCTTGAAGACAGTTAATATTGGACATCGATGTAGTGCTAGCTCAGTTCTAAGGAGTTTGAACATTTCTCGGTCAGCCATCTCAAGCAAAATAATTAAAGAAGGGGACAAGGAATGCACAAATAATCAAGATAGCATTTATTCATTGGAGAGTGCAATTAATCAAACTAGAGAGGAAGCAAAGGAAGTTGAAATTGCCAAAGCTACTGCTGAGGGGTTGAAAGAGGAGGGGATTAGTGAAAGTGCCACTGTGCTTATGGTAAGTTGCAGTAACATATTAATTTATATAGCTTAGAGTAAATATCCTCCCCTGTAATGCCTCTCCTCTCATGTTTTATTCATGATGTGACTTGCCCTGATTGCTTCCGGTTAACCACACAAGTTAGAGAAAGAACCAGTGTTTTCTATTGAATATGTTGTTTAGGAATATATAAGTAACTTGGTTATGTTTCTGTAAATGATTGACATATGTGCCGAAGTAAAAAAAACCTCATAGATTCTTCATTTTGTTTTATGTGATAGGAGCTGCTACAGCCACTTAAAAGTATAGTACCATTGTTTCAAGAAGTCATTTCATGGAGAAGACCAGCAACCACTGTCACAGTAATAGTTGCGACTTTACTAATTGTCTACAAGTAAGTTGTTTTCAACATAAAATTTCTTTGTTTATTTGCTAAAGGAGTTCCGTTAAGTTTGCATGAATGGGCATGATGATAATGCAGGGAATGGGTTGGCAAGGCTATAGCTGCTCTTTTGTTATGGATAATATCAAGGATGCTTCAAGCAAGACTAGGAAGAGTTCATGAAAAATGCAGCAAAATAGTAGTATGCACTGCATCGAACCAAACTACAGTGGAAAGCATAGTAGCAGCTCAATTTGGATTGCGAACAGTTCATGAGATGATACAAACCACAAATATAGCAATACTGAAAATCAGGTCCATCATGAGCTCAAAAGCTCATAAGGTACTCCCTTCACCCACTTGTAATATCATCTTCTAAAAGCAATTATTTGTCGAAACAAGTATTTTGCCATAAAATATACACAAAGGGTAAAGCAGAAGTTTAATTACACTTGCCTATTTGATCTTCTTCTTTGTACCTTGCAAGTCATGCTAATGAAATTAAAAGCAAAATCTCATGATTGTCGGAAGAGTTAGTTACTATGCGAGTCCTTTATTTTATGCTTCTTATGTTGCAGTTTTCATTTGATATTTGTTGCGTCGATCAAGCTTCAAATAAGTTGAACTTCTCGTCCTTATTTTGCAGCACACAGACGTGGCAATGGTGGCAATAATTGTATTGGCAGTCATCTTTGCAGCAATACCCTTAAAGTACATCATAATTGCAGTCGCGCTTCACTGCTTTTTTATAAAATCGAAGCTAGGGAAGCACATGGCAAATAATCGAGGAAACAGGAGGCTAAGAGAGTGGTGGGATTCAATCCCAATTATCCCTGTTCATATTGAAGATAATGCTGCCCAGTGCCCAAAGTAGATCATTGGAAATACAGTAGTTTCGCATTATTATAAATGCAGCTGGATGTCACTAATCACCTTTGCGACGTGTCGATTTTGTTGCTGTTTGTTACTTAGAGTGGTAAAATCAAGAGTTGTAGATATGCTTCTCCATGTTTCTAAGAAAGTATTTTTGGTTGTCTTTAGGATACTGTACAAACTACATCCGCATATTGCTAGATTGTAAAGTAGTATGTATTTTAATAGAATGTTAGCAGGGAAAGAACGCACATAACAAGAAGGCATAATTTTCAGTGCGTTTCCTTTAAAGATACTTCGGAAAAGTTCTTTATGCAGCAAAATATAGCGGTCCTTATAAATGTGCCTCAGTTCATAGCCACACTAGTAGGCGATGGTATTGCTCGTATTAATGGTCTGGTCTTGGTCTGGTCTTTGATGAAGTAATAGCGGGGGAATTAGTAGAGTTTGAAGAGTAATGGTCTGGTCTTTGATGAAGTAATAGCGGGGGAATTAGTAGAGTTTGAAGAGTAATGGTCTGGTCTTTGATGAAGTAATAGCGGGGGAATTAGTAGAGTTTGAAGAGTAATGGTCTGGTCTTTGATGAAGTAATAGCGGGGTTTGAAGAGGTGCAACAGGCATTGCTCTGAATTTGGAATCAAGATAATTGCGGTGTTGTATTGTATTAATGGGTTGATTGGTTTAATGGTACAAGAGGAAAGCTCCGTAAAAGCAACTGCAAAAAATTGCTCAGATACTGGTGAGCTCAAGTAAAATAAGGGTGGTTGTGGTTGTGTTCTTTATTATCTGGTGTAGTAGTGTTTTGGGTTGTTTTTTGTGGGTGTGTTTTGATTTTGAAGGAAGCAAACTGCAATATGGTCTGGTCTTTGATGAAGTAATAGCGGGGGAATTAGTAGAGTTTGAAGAGTAATGGTCTGGTCTTTGATGAAGTAATAGCGGGGGAATTAGTAGAGTTTGAAGAGTAATGGTCTGGTCTTTGATGAAGTAATAGCGGGGGAATTAGTAGAGTTTGAAGAGGGTGCAACAGGCATTGCTCTGAATTTGGAATCAAATAATGCCGGTGTTGTATTGTATTAATGGGTGATGGTTTAATGGTACAAGAGGAAAGCTCCGTAAAAGCAACTGCAAAAATTGCTCAGATACTGGTGAGCTCAGTAAATAAGGGTGGTTGTGTGTTTCTATTGAAGGAAGCAACTGCAATAGTCGAATATCTTGCAAATAGCAGCACTGACTATGGTCACTAGTAAGTTACTCGAGTGGCTTCATACAAGGTGGTATAATTTTCAAGGGCGGTATAAATTAAATGTCACAATATAAAAACTCTCTCTAAAACAAAGCAAACAAAATCTGAGTTCTCGATGGATCATGAAAATACATAATAAACTATAGACCATCACATCTCATATTTCACATTCATGTATTGAATGCTATTTGTCTTAGCAATTGAAAGTTCCTCATTGTTAGGCACAGAGTGTCTGAGAACATTTCTCAGACTGCTAGACATGAAAGCCTAGAGAAAAACAAATGATACGAGTTGAACTTCCAGAGGTAGTTTCCAAATATAAGCCCAAAGTCGAGGAATTGAATCCTAAACTAAAACCGTGGATCTAATATATACAAGTATCAGTCAACTATAGATGCAGATCGTGAATTTAAAATCTTCCCCATTGCAGTCCTGCAATCGTTGATGCTGCACTTCCACATTATACTTGCAAGTACTTGATCTTAATTAATTTCCCCTAGCCTTCTCCAAATCAGGAAGATCTGCCAAGTTCTCATAAAGTACAGAGATTAATTAGGCATCATATTGCATGTTTTGTTTAAATAGTGCATTATTTGATACATCTCTAGATCCAAGTCAGCAGTTTTTCCCATGTGGATTGAAAAGGCAAATAGATATGCAGCACAAAAAAATGGACTTTCTTGAAAATTCATTACCATAAAAAACATTTAATTTGAAATCTGAAATTATGTATTACTGTGTGCTCATGTAAGGTGTGCATATATGCTGCTAATCATGCAATTTAATTTTATGACAGTTTAATCAGAGTGATCAAATTATAACTCACAGAGCATCCCTTCATCATCACTGCCTTCATCATGTTCCTCGTACTGCAAAAGAAAAGATGTCAATTGAGGAGACACAAAATAAGTAAAACCCACTTTCTAGATATTCCAAAAAATTAAAAAAAAAAAAAAGACTAAACTACCTCAGCGTTGTCATCATCAGAGAGCAAATCAGCTGCAAAACACCACAAGTAGTCAAATTAAGAACAAGTTTAAGCACTCACTCAAAATCTGAAAGTTGGAATTTCTTGCATAGTGGAAAATTTTATTGTTTATTTAAAAGCAGTATCATACATGATCTACCGGCTACAGCTTACGTAGCATAGAATGCTAAAGATCAGAGGGCAAAATGATATCATCAAAGAGAGCTAAGTAGCATTAATAGTGCATCACGATGTCAATGGTCGAATATCACAAAAGAGGTACATTTTTGAGGGAGGCTTATGACAGTAGCTTGCTCACATGCAGCAGATGCAGTTGAATAAAGAAAACGTGTATTACGATGTTGTTAAATCTGAAATACTCTCATCAAGATGCATTAATAGTCTAGTGGGTACTACAGGTGAAATTTTTGCCTTTATTTATCCTCAACAATCATGATACTTGAACAATATATCTGCACAGCACCATCAAAAGTCTATTGTGAAACACTCCAGGATCATTTATGAATAACAAAGTGAGGTTACGCTATAGCACAATTGCACTCATGTTGAAGGAAAAAAAGTGGTCTTGCAAGGAATGAGAGCAATCTCAATGTCCAGGTTTTTTTAGCAGTGTTAGTATATCTTGCATCTCTTGTTTCTGCGCTTTGGAATGATATTCAATGCTTGAATTTTATTCAATTCAATGGCTAAGAGCCCAAGCCCAGTGGAAAAGAATGAAAAGAAACATCAATTAAAAGTTTACTTAATTAATAGACACGAACCTTATGTGTGCCGATATTTTATCAAATGTATCTGTTTCTCACTTTTGCAATAGAAAAGAAGCCTAAAATAGTAAAAAACAGCAAATGTCTTACTTTAAAGGAGAGAAACGGTCACATTCCCCATAATTAACACAACAAGGAGATAATTCAAGGTGAGGACACCACAGGGTTTGCAGTGGACAAGCTAGCATTAGGCTTTTCAAACATTAGACCAGTCCAAGTAAGCATTACGAGATGTATTAAACCATCATTGTATCGAATCCAAGCCAGGTAAACATTAAAAATGACTGCAAGACACTTTAAAGCAATGTTAACAATGGAGACCAAGTAACATGCAATATAGGCAAAATATATACCGGTAACAACTATTTGAAATACACATCAGATAACAAAAAGAAAAAACTCATAAAAATAATATGAAGAAATTAGAATGTTCTAAGAACTTACAAATAGATTCTTCATCGTCCTCATCGCACCATTTATTCCAATCAACCTTAATGTAAGGTGCAGGTTTTTCTTCTGATTTAAGTAGTCTTTTCCACCAACCCTTCTCTTGTTTCTGGATGGAGCATATTATATTCCTTAACCCAACATTAGTTTTACACCCCTAAGCAATGAGACACCAAAAAGATCAATCGTTCAAACTCAAGCACAATATCTAAGAAAATAAAAATTGAAAAATGAAGTTTAAAAAACAAATTTCAACCTCAGGAACAATGTGTCCATATAGTTGCAAACTGAAATCAAAAGATTCGCCTTGAACCCCAAGGGCAGAGAAACTGAACACTCCCTCACCCTCGCATTTAACTGAAATGTCCTTCGCGTCCGGTAAGGAAATCGTTAAGTACACCTTATCTGATCTCTGAGCCCATAGAACTTCTGGATGGCGACTGCAAGCACAAATCAAAAACTAGTTTCAGTTTCAGCTTAAGCAAAATCAAAATTGTTTAACTTTTTGCATGGGAAAAAGAGCGGAAGTACCTCATTTTCTTGTTAGACGGGTGAAACGAAATCGCACTTTGAAGATGATGGATTGGTAGCAGACTAACGAGCAAAGGGAAGGAAACCAAAGAAACCCTACGAAGAACAAGAAGTAGCGTGCTTCTTCCGTTAGCGAGTCACGACTCGGTTAAGGTTTGCAAAAGGAAATGCGTCAATACTTGAGGTCAAATTTGGTCAAACCTCGAGAACTAAAATAGCCTAATAGGATACGATTGGTGTTCGAATCTTTCAAAAATTTTTACTGCACGGTGAAATTGAGCATTAATAATAATAAAAAAAATGTTTTTCGCTCTATTTTGTTATAAATAAATTTAAAATATAATATGAATTCTAGTAGAATTAATTTGTGAATAAATTTTGATATTTGGTATGATTAATTTAACACAAGTAATTCAATTAAATTTTACATAATCATATACTGAATAAATTTATAATTCAAAATTCATAAATATCTTTAAAATTTACAAAAATAAATAATAGATACTAATTATATTTATATTACGCTATATTTTTTGTATTTTTATTAAAATAAATATATAAAATATAAACAAAACTAATAAAATAGTTGCATTTAATTTAGTGACAAATGTATATTTAACTTGAATTTCTCTCATTGATAATAAAAGAATACGAAAAATTATTATAAAAGTTGAAGATATTAAAATAAAAAAATACAATAATAAGAAAATATTTTTCTAGAAAAAAATAAAATTTTTAAATGGTTTTAGTCAAGTTTAATATTATAAATAAGTTAAATAAATAAATAAAATTTAAAAATTGACTTGGTAAAAGGAGAATGTTAGTTTTGTTATAAAAAAGTTTGATCATTTAATTTTGTAGAATTTATTTAGAAATTTTAACTATTTTTGTAAAATTTAGTATGATTATGTAATGTCGTAGAATTGAACACCTAAAATTGAAATCTATATATAAATGCATTTTTTTTTTTTTTACATTTCAAACACAAAAATATGAATTTCTAAATAAATTCTATAAAATTCATTTGTTCCACGTTTATATTATAATTTTTTTTTATATCTGCTCAAAGTTAATGAGAAAAGTGCACGCTAGTAATCAAATGTTTTTAGTATTTTTAAAATTAATTAAATATATTTTAATTAGTCTTTTCATTTATACAATAAGTGGACGGTTTTAAATTTGATAAATAAAAAATATATTTTTTAAACATTATAATTTTCAATTGATATATTGTACAAAATGAATATTGAATGTCATGTATTCGAATTGTCCAAAATTACATTTCATTCTACTTCGAATATAACTTGCATTTTATTATTCTTCAAAGCAAAAGTGAAATAATTTTATATATGCTTCCATAGCATGTTATTTTAATTTAATGCATTATATATAAAAGATTTTTTACATTGTTGATATTTAAATTATTTCACTATTAGTTTATGTATACGCTATTCTTAATTATTATTATTTTTTAAATATGATTCTGAACATTATTTACTCACCATGATAATGTAGTCATTCTATATATAAAAGTAATTACCTATAATTCTAAATCACAAACACCATGGATTATAAAGAAACGGTAAATTTTATTTTGAGCCTAAATTTAATTTATTTTCTATAGTCGAATTGAAAATTGAAACTTTTTTTGAAAGGAATTGAAAATTAAAAATTAAAATTATTTCAAAGAAATATTTAAATTTAAACCAAATTAAATTAATTCGCTATGATTTTTCGATTTTAAAATATTTGTGCTCCACTAAACATAGGATTGGATTTTTTGGCTGACATGAATTGGTAAGTTCCACATTTATGGTACTGAAAACTCGAAATTTATTTTATGGCTCACATAAATTCATTTTAGCTTCGTGTTTATATTCACTCAAATTCAATTTGTACAACTCTTTCAGAAAAAAAAAAAAAAAAATCAATTTATGGTACATTGGTAAGTTCCACATTTTATGGTACTGAAAACTCGAAATTTGATTTTATATGGCTCACAATAAATTCAGTTTAAGCCTTTCTGTGTTTATTATTCACTCAATTAAAATTTGTACAACTTCTTTCAGAAAAAAAAAAAAAACAAAATCAATTTGTACAGCCATTCACCCTTTACTGTGCTATTATTTCACAAGTTCATGACAAGTGCATATCTTGATTGCCCACGTGCTGGCACGCAATGCACGCTGGACAAATATCAAACATTTGGCTCTGTTACCTTTTTTCCTGTTTTTTTTCGCCAATTATCAACCAGGCCGGCAATACAGTATTGTTCTTTTTCAATTGTAGGTAAATAATGGCGTCTTTCTAAAACCCTAACGCCTAACAAAAAACCACTTTCGTAAAGCAGTTAACCCCAACTTCTTCTGCCGCTTCTTAGACGAAGGACAAAACTGAGCGAGGAATGCCATGGACATTGATCAAAAAGCTGAGAGCAGAGCCCCACGAAAATTTCCCACACCTTCACAAACTCCGGTAACCACAGGCCCTTTTGTCATCTTCATATCTAGTCCTCTCAGGCCAAAAAAAAAAAAAAAAAATCAATTTGTACAGCCATCACCCTTTATGTGCTATTATTCACAATTCATGAACAATGCATATCTGATTGCCACGTGCTGCACGCAATGGCACGTGACAAATATCAACATTTGCTCTGTCCTTTTTTCCGTTTTCGCCAATTTATCAACTCAGGCCGCAAACAGTATGTCTTTTTCAATGTAAAAATGGCGTCTCTAAAACCCTAACCCTAACATAAACCCTTCTAAAGCATAACCCCAACTTCTCTGCTTCTTAGACGAAGACAAAATGAGCGAGGATGCCATGGACATTGATCAAACGAAGCAGAGCCCCACGAAATCCCAAACCTTACAAACCCTAACCACAGGCCCTTTGTCATCTTCACTATCTAGCCTCTCAGGCTCATCTCGCACCATTCCTTCAAGCAAAGATTTCCATTTTTATTATAACTTCGATGAGTTCAAGCTCCCTATTAAACAAATTGCCGCGAAATCGCAATCCCTGCTGGAATCAATCGGCTCCTCCAACCGTCTTTTCAAGGAGAGACTCAACTTTCCTGGCGATCTTGACATTGATGACGCTTACGATTGGCTTGTCAACGTGAACGATGAGATCTTGGAGCGTTTCGACGTGTCAGTCGATGAATTCCAGAGCATCCGAAAGAAGGAAGAGGAAACTGGTCGGGCATCGGGAATGGAAATAGAGAGCGGGTTTCAATTGGTATATGGGAAGAAAAAGAAGGGGTCAGTGAAATCGGGGAGTGGATCGGCGAGTGGCTCTGTGGGTGACTCGGCGCTTGACTCGGGAGTAAAGGTGGCTGATATGAAGGCGAAGGGGGTGAAAGCGAAGGTGCCTTTTCATATATCAACAATAAAGAAGCCTCAAGAGGATTATAACATACTGGTGAATAATTCGAACCAGCCATTTGAGCATGTTTGGCTGCAGAGGAGTGAGGATGGCTTGCAGTTTATTCATCCCTTGGTTAGTTATTTTTGGGCCTTTACGTAGTTTTGTTGAATCAAGTTAGTTGGATTCAATTCAATGATTGAGCAGTTCACTTGGTTTACTGCTTCAAATGAATTTATGGATTGCGTTTACTTGCGTTCACTTGGTTTATTTGTTCCCCTCTGCTTATTGACTCGTTTTATTGGGTTTGTTCATTGATTTTTAACATTGGGTTCTCTTTAGGTTGTGAATAAATTTGTCGTCAACTAGCTATTAAGTGAGGGATTATTGGTTGATTAATGCCTAAGAAGGAGGGAAACTAACTTTGTTATATACCAGTAGAAAATATGGAAGTGGACCCCTGTAATTTCAAAATAGCCCTGTAATGGATCCAAGTTATGCTGATCATCAGTCGTTTGACATATACCAACTTATTTCTTTAATTAATTCATTTGTGTTTGACTTTGGAGGCGTGCTGTGTGCTTGTTTGCAGCAAATTGGGAATATGCATCCAGAACATCATGATCTGGCAATTTCCTGAATGTTTCTATTGCCGTTTAATGCTCCTTTTACCAGTGATCTATTGGTTATTTGGGTGTTAAGTTATCTATACCACTGGTTTTAGTTTTCATATGAACATGGTAACTAGTTTCTCATGTCAGTTTAAATATTTGGACTGTTACATAAGAAGTAGCCTTCGTCATGGGCCTGTTCTCCATGAAGCTTATGTGATCCTTACAGCTGCTTGTGTGCTTCATGTCAATTTTGTCGTGTTGTTGCGTCCTGTCCTTTAGTGTTGAATACCTCGAAATTCAGATTATCTTCAAAATGATTGTTTGTCATTCTTATTTACATTGGAATGACTTATGTGGTGTGAAAAAATCACAAGAGCATTTTGCAAGAGAAGAAGAGCCTCTTGATACACTTTAAGATAACTGGGTGAGTGATATCTTTTATTTAATTTCTGGACAATTTATTATAAGCAGACTATTTTGACTTTGTAGGTTCCTTGCTATCCATGTGAGCCTGCTTTTGTGCAGGGATTGGCTCCTGCCTAGTGCTAGCTACCTTGGTTTCACCTTAGGCAACTAGAAATCTGAATATATATATATATTGCATCTGTATATATGTAAAATGGTAAATCTAAATAGTTTGAGTCTAAAGCTTGGTGGTTATTGGGTGTTGTTGTATATATGTAAAATAGTAAACTGTTTTGTCTGTAGATTATGTTTCATTGTTTTTGAAGTCATCTTAATTGTTTGAAATGTTATACTTTTTTTTTTTTGTACATAAACGTTTTGATTGAAATTTCTTTACTAGCATCATAATATTCTGCATTTAATTGTTGATCTTTTCTTTATATGTTCATTCAACTTCAGCAACTTCTTCCTTGTATTTTTCTTTGTGTCACTGGGAAAGGGTGATTATTCTTTTTCTAATTGCTATTCTTTACTTTATGCAGGAAAAACTCTCTGTTTTGGATTTTGTGGATAAAAGTGCTGGGAACAATGACCCTTCATTACCACCCCCTACAGAGAGTACCCCGTTCAAGCTTGTTGAAGAAGTTAAAGATCTGAAGGAGTTGGCAGCTAAATTGCGTGCTGTAGATGAATTTGCGGTAAAGTTTTACTACTGTTTTGGATTGATGTGCTTAGTTTGAATAATTAAACTGCATATTCTGAGTGCCATTTATTTCTGGGTCATTGATATGCTACCGCATTTACTAGTTAGATATACTGCTATTCTATTGTTCTTATAAGCTTGCTGCCAAATTTCTCTCTCATTCTATCGACCCATTTTGTTGGATCCTGTTCTTGTTTGCTTTTTGCTTAGGGTAGTCCTTGTGCATATATCATAAACTTGCTAGAGTATTTTTATGGAACATTTCAGTTCTGTTATTCTTTTATTTGCTTTTAAAATTATGAAAGCATGGGGTTGTCTTCTTTCATGAGTAATTATGTGGGAGGGTTAGCTCTTCTTTTATTTTGTATTTATTTGTTGTTATTTTTCTTACTATTGTTATTTATTTACTATTTTTTTAAAATAATAACTTGCATCTCTGGAGGTTAAGCCAAATTGGTGAATTTACAATAATATCTTGCATTCCCATGATTACTTCATTGAGCGGTTTAGTGATGTGAATTTTTTTTTTTTTTTTAAAACAATTTCTAGGTTGATCTTGAACATAATCAGTATCGTTCTTTCCAAGGATTAACGTGCTTGATGCAAATTTCTACTAGAACTGAGGATTTTATTGTAGATACTTTAAAGCTCCGAATACATGTTGGCCCATATCTTAGGGAAGTTTTCAAGGATCCCACTAAGAAAAAGGTTCATCTCTTGAACATTTGCATTTTTTACTTTGTGATAGATCTCTTCATTTTTGTGATGTCATTTAATTTATTTAGGTCATGCATGGAGCAGATCGAGATATTGTGTGGCTTCAGCGGGACTTTGGCATATATGTCTGCAATATGTTTGACACTGGACAGGTTCTATATTTCAAAACTATTCCTACTATTTACAATGTGATCCGGGTTGTTATTTTTTGGTTATTCTTTGGGTTTTCAGGTGTCTAATGCCTGGAATCTGTTGTACTCATATATATGATGATTGCTTTAGTAAATAAACTATTATAGCTATTTGATTTTTTGCACACATGATTTTTGCAACACCATTCTAATGTGATAGTGCTATTTGCATTTGTTTTTTTTTGGTGCTGGCATTTCCTAGGGTGATCCTTTTTTTATACCGTGCTGATGTTTTGAACTGTCAATGAATTTGTTTATGAATCAAACAGAAATTGGTCTTAGGAATTAGTAGTAAAGAATTTTTTATGTTCAGTAACGTTAATCTTTGAGGTCCTCTGGCGTCTATGTTTTTGTGGATAAATTCTACCAAACTGCCTGATGTTATTATTTTGAACCTGGAGACTTTGTGTTGCCCTTTGTTTTTCTTTTTAGAGCGTCTGTATAGAAAAACTACCTGGGATATTTATTCTCATTTTATGTTTATGTTGTTATTTTTTCATCTTATTGTCAGGCCTCAAGAGTATTGAAATTGGAAAGGAATAGTTTGGAGTATCTTTTGCAGTATTTTTGTGGAGTTACTGCTAACAAAGAGTAGGTCTTTGTGTAATCGCATAATCTGCTACTACGCATGATTGCATGTTTTGGTACATATATCTATAGTTGATCTATTCATTGGTTGCAGATACCAGAATGCAGATTGGAGATTACGCCCTCTTTCTGATGAGATGCTTAGGTGAATAAATTTTGAAATTGGAGTCTTTTGCTTCCCTTATCTTGTCTCTTCTTTGTTAATGAATTATTCATAAACCTCTGGATACAGAGTCCTGATAGCTAGTTTGCAAAGAAACTATCGTAATCTCGTCTGAATGGTCCAGAAGTCTAGATGTTGAAAAATAATAAATGGAAGTTGAAAATGGATGCAAAAGGAGAAACAAATAAAGAAAACACTGGTGGCAAAATGAGAGTGGATATTGTCAGACATTTGACTCTTAAATTGATGTGTTTTTGAAATTTGCTAAAAACTCAATTGTTAGTTTTATCTATATAAATCTTGTCACTATCTGGTGAAAATCCGTTGACAATTAGTATTCCAACTCAGTCAATGTTTGAATGTTATTGTGTATATAAATTTCCCTCTGAAGTACAAATTTTGAAACTGGTATAGCCTATAGGGACTTCCATTGCAGAGGACTTTTATCTATGTATTTATTCACGTTTCTTTTTATCATGCTCTTCTCTTTTGCACAATAGCAGTCGAAGTCTCTGCTTTACTATCATTTGATGAATTACTCTTTTGCAATTACAGATATGCCAGAGAAGATACCCACTATCTTTTGTATATTTATGATATGATGAGAGTTAAATTGCTCTCCATGCCTGCTGACAATGAAAATTCCGATAGTCCTCTAGTGGAGGTATGATTTGGTAAATTGTTATTATTTACTAGAATGTTCATTTAAATGATACGGTGCCAAGTCCATTCTTAAGTATTAATTGAAATGCACTGAACTGAAGAGATATGGTACATTGGAAATTGAATATGAGTCTTCTTTCTTATATTTTGGAACTGGACCAATTGTTTGGGGCAGTAAGATTCAATCCGACAATATGTTTCATATTTTGATCTGGCATCTGAAGAAAAATGCAATATTTATCTCACAAATCTTCCATGAAAAATAATGCAACCAATTTGTATTTTATTATTATTATTTTTGAACATATTTAAACTTTGAACCTTGTAGTTCACATACTTCATTTGCGTTCAGGGTAGTACTTTGCACTCTCCCTTTCTGCTTTTTGATTCTTTTACCATAATCTACAGTGTGCTGAGCAGGTTTTTGGTTGTAATAGGTCTACAAACGCAGTTGTGACGTATGCATGCAGATGTATGAGAAGGAGCTTTTGACAGAGACTTCTTATCTCCACATATATGGGTATGTGGCTGACATTTTTGCTTTAAGACGCATTATACTTCTTCCTGAGTTGTTTCGAAATTATATAATAATGCTAGGATTAAATTATAGTTAATTTATTGGCCATTCTGTTTCTGATGCGGAGGGGAATATCTTTTTGTAACAATGTTGTCCTTTATTATTGCAATTTCTTCCTTTTTACATGCTAAAACTAATTAATATCTGCGTTATTAGTATTTTCACTAGATATTTTATTTTTTTAAACATCATACACTGTATGTTAGAACTTTAGTTTCTTCTTGCCTAAAAAGATAAAAAAAGAGATCCAACAGGATCATAAAAAAAATCTCTATTTGACAGCGTTTCTTCCTATTTCTAATTGTAGTCCGACTCTTAAGCTCTCTCTTGCATGATCAAATATAACTTCTATTTTGTCTCAAAAATTATATGTAAATAAAAATTGAGAAAAAAAACCATTGTTTGTTGCAAAGCTAATTTTCGACATGTAATTTTTTTTTTTTTTAGTACTAGAGAGGTGAATGTAACTGCCCATAATCTTGCCTGATAAGAAATTATAATATTACAAGAAAATTATATGTATTCTACATTGCTTAAAAAATCTTAATACTACTAAATAATGGTATGTATTTTGTTATATTTTGAAGGAAGTTTGGCAATGGAAAATATGAAAAAGATTCTATTTCTCCATACTCTACTGCTAATTGTACTTTTTTGTCGTTATAAAAGTTTCCCTTCAAAGTCGTGCTTTTATATATATGTATAAATAGCTTATAAATATTGTCATTTTGCTTATTGTCCTTGCTATCTTATATAGGTTGCAGAATGCTGATTTTAATGCTCAGCAGCTTGCCATTGTTGCAGTAAGTATTTGCATACGCCCATTGTCAATTTCCTTTATTTTCATATTAAAATAAATATGAGGGTTTTAAACCGACAAATGATAGTAATTCTGTTGGGTAAAAAAATGCCTTCAAGGATTCAGGCGTTGCAATCTTCCAGTCATCAATTATCTGCTTTATTAGGGCATTCCATTTGTTAATTTTAATTTGTCAAACTGAGCAAGTGAATTGGGTGGATTAATTTTGTTTATGACTATTCTTTGTATAAAACTTTGTTATTTTTATCCACTATCTCATTGCGCGGGCCACCTTTACATGGTTTGCAGGGACTCTTTGAGTGGAGAGATGTTATTGCCAGGGCAGAAGATGAGAGTACTGGCTTTATATTACCAAACAAAACTCTTCTTGAAATTGGTAGGAACCTAATTGGCATATTATGTTGAATAGCTAATATGTTAAGTAATCTTCTAAATCTCTTTTGTTTGAAAATGTTTAAAGCAAAACAGATGCCTGTTACACCTCAAAAGTTGCGACGAGCTTTGAAATCAAAGCATCCTTATCTTGAAAGAAACCTTGGCTCTGTTGTTAACATCATCAGGCATGCTATGCAAAATTCTGCGGAGTTTGAAGCGGCTGCTCAACGTTTGAAGGAGGGACGCATTGAAACAGTAAGATTTGCATGCATAACTTCGCAGGCATTTCCTAGTTTGTCATCTTATGTTACATTGTTATAACTATTTCTTTGAGGGCACCACATGCATGAGATTATGGACTGAAAAGTAACCTTGTTTGTAGAATTAGTTTGGCTTTAGACCTTTGGCTCTAGAGACTGCAAATCCTGGAATGGGTTTTTTCATCCTTTAGATTAAGAGGAAAACGTGGTGGTCACAGCGTTATGCAATATTTTGGAGTTGACTGGCTTCAAACGTGCAACATTTTTGTTTGGCTTGTTTATTTATTTCCTAATAATTGATTGGTGCATGTATAAATTGGTATCTCTTTTTATTTTTTTTATTTTGTTATATTTATTTTTCTTCCCTTTATTGTGATGACCTCACAGGAAAATATAGATCATGATAATTGTGAAGCTCCGTCCCCTGATACACATGCAAATCTAGAGGCTGCAGGTGCGGGGACAGAGACCATTTTGGATGGCAATGCAATGAATGGCAGCAGGAAAGCCCTCCAAGGAATTGCTCCAAAACTCAAAAAGGAGCCGTTGGAGGCTGTACTTGCCAAAAATCGACAAGGAGTCTCTTTTAAGCATCATGGTGATAATGGTGTTGAATCCAATACTTGTATTTCTGAGATTCGCAGAGAAAGCATCCCCATTTCACTGCCGAATAGAGATACAGTTATGTCTGCTGACGTGTTTATCCTTTGGCCATACTTGCTAATATTGCTTCATTATAGTCTAGAGTAATTACTGCTGATATGTTTGTCATTGTTGAACAGGGTAGTGGAGCAACTGTTCAGGTTCTTAAGAAGCCAACTGGTGCTTTTGGAGCACTGCTGGGAAATGCGGCAGCAAAGAGAAAGGTTGACATTGCCAAAAAGGTTTGTGTTGCACTTGTTGAACTCTGGTTGCAATTTTTGCAACTTCTGACTGTCTACACTCTAGACAGCTGTCTGATGATGAAAGATGTGGTAGCAAGGGTCAGTTTCCCTTTGCTATGATCTCAAATAGTTTGAAATGTAGTTGTGAATGGTCACTTGCCAAACCAGATACAAAGAGCAGAGATCTTTGTGTCCTTCCCGCTGTCTCTCCCTGTGGATTTTGAGTACTTTGGAGAATCCCTCTAATTTTTTTTTTTTTTTTTAATTTTTCCTTAGGGAAAAGAAGAGATCAAGGTGGAAAAAATTAGAAGTTCCGTGAACCTGCCCTTCCATTCGTTTTTGGGCAGAAATGAAGCACCTAAACCAGCTGTAGAAGAGCCCACTCCGGCACCAGAAATTCCACGTGCTGAAGTATCTTTTGCTGCTCCAGCTGCAGCTACTGGTTCCAGTTTAGAAGATATTATAGTGTTAGATGACGATTCAGATAATGAGGAATTACAAAATCATGATTCAAAAACCCAAGACCCTAACGATGATGGCAAATCATTAGGGTCTGCTGTGGAAGTGGAGAAAGAAGAACCTGAATCTCTATCCGATCTTTCTACAAGCTTTCAAAAGTGCTTCCAGTCCAATAATAAAAACAGTACAAATGAAAAAATCAAGAAGTCTCAAGAGCCAACTGGCCTTCTGCGGCTGAAGCCATTTGATTATGCTGCAGCAATAAGATATGGGGAAGACACAGGGAAGGAATCAAAAGCTGTGGGTGGTGAAGATCAGAAGCGCCTTTTCGATTCTGCGGGTAAGAGAAAAAATTCTGCCGTCAGTCAAGTTCAGAAAGATGATGGGGCCAGAGAATTTTCACAAGGTAGAAGGCGTCAAGCTTTTCCAGCAACTGGCAACCGAAGTGCAACTTTTCGGTGAATCTCATGTGCTTACATGCGCTGTATGACAACAGTGAAAAGAAATGCTAAATTTTTTTATTTGTATTGTTAAAACAATTAAAAATCATAAAAGAAAAGGGGAAAAAAGGTTTTTGAAAAAATGAAAGAGTTACAGTGGAATTTTTTTCAAGATTATTTTGGTTTTGGATTTACATCTCTGTATCTAACAGAAAATGATTGCTCCAGCCACCTGACTGAAATTGTCTGGGCCGGATCGCCGACCTAAGATGACGTACAAAGCCTTTTAATCTTACCCATGTGCACGTCGCTAGCTAAACGACATAAGGCAGTAGTGTCTGTTGTCGATACAAGTCTACAAGAGGGAAAGTTTTTCCTGTCGTTTAGGTGCAGGGACAGCTTTCCCTTATTGACCTTTGATGACTCAGCAAGCATGTGTGCCTGTGTTCCTCACGTGGCGCACGCTTATTGGACTACTGATGTGTAATACAACACATTCCAGTAAGAGCTATTTCACAGTACCTGCATTCGTTGGTATTTCTCTGAATATTGAAAAATAATTAATTTTTCATATCATCATAGCAGAAAATAAAACTAAACAAGTTTTTCCATTTTCTCTCCCAACGTCGAATTTTCTGGCTCACCGTTTACCCAATTCCGGCGCAAGCCACCATCATTTCTTCGCTATCCGTGGTTTTTTTTTTTTTTTTTTTTTTTTTTTTTTTTTTTTTTTTTTTTTTTTTTTTTTTTTTTTTTTTTTTTTTTTTTTTTTGTTTTTTTTTTTTTTCATTGCACTGAAAAATTTCTAAATAAAAACTTACTAGAGGGTTTTTTAGATTTTATTTTGTATCTACAATTACACGAAGTTTTTTTTTTTTTTTTTTTTTTTTTTTTTTTTTTTTTTTTTTTTTTCATGCACTGAAAATTCTAAATAAAACTTACTATAGGTTTTTAGATTTTATTTTATCTACAAAACACGAAGGAAACATCTAAGAATGGCGATGACAGTTGAAGCGGGAGGGACGTTATCTGAAATATACCAGAGCTCGAAGAAGGTATTGCTAAGAGCTCGAGATGGGATCGAGAGGCTGGAGCGCCTTGAGAATTCAACATCCAGTGGAGGTTTGGACTCGCCTGAACTCTCCTTTACCGTCAAAAAGGATATATCTCAAATCCAGTCCCTTTGCGCCGAAATGGACCGTCTTTGGCGATCTATCGCCTCTAAACCACAGCGTGATCTCTGGAAGAGGTACTTTCTTATCCTTATACTCTCTCTTTTGATGCATGTATATTTAGTTAAGATCCAGAATCTGAAACCCTAAAATGAAGAAGCTTTGGATCCGAATATGTATATGTGCTGAATTTGTCGAACTGTTATAGGCAATTTTAACTGGCTTGGGCAATGTAGAGGAAAATGGATTAATTTAAGAATCAATCTTAACTGTACAGGTTATGCACATTCATCTTATTAGTTTCTCTTGATTGTACTGCAAAATAATTCTAGGGAAAACAACAGAAGAGAAAACACAAAAATAGAAGAATGATGAAAGATACACAATCCAACAATTATATGTATACTTTATGTCATCACCTTCGTGACGGAAATCTTAGTTAGCTGAGCCAAGTATTGACATGTTAAGGTTTTCCTTGTCTTCAACTGGAATTGACTAATGACTTCAATTAAGAATAAATTATTTATACTATGATTCATTCACTTGTTGCATTTGTTTTTGGTAAATAAAAATGAATTACCGGGTGCAACAGTTTGTTGCATTTGCATTTGTATTGTACTTCTAAAATATGTGAGCAACTGCCAGCATAGTCGATCAACATTATTTCTTGATACCTTAGCTTATTAATTAAGCTCCTTCCGTGATATTGATTCATTACAATCCTTTAGCAGTTTTATCATAATATGCACGTTTGTGTGATTATACATGAAACAAGATTTGAATTGTTTCCACAACGACCTGTCATTTTAAGCACTTCTCTTTGAATTTTGTTTTTGTTGAACCTCTCAATATACCCCTTTTCATTTTCAACTTTTTCAAACATTGATAGAATTTTGACTTTGGGTTTGATGTGGTAGAATTGGCTATAGTCCCTGGATAAAAGAGAGTTGCAGTAAGTTGATGGCTATTGCAAGACTAGTTAAGTCCAATTAGCTTGGACTTGTAATATGGCTTATACTTGCATTTGGAGTTATTAATTGTAAAATATGCAAATCATTTAAGTGCTTTAAAAAACTCATGGGTTCCATCTTCAATTGCTCTTTATATAAAAATGGAGTCATGTATCCGATTAAATTTAATCAAGTGGATTCTTTGTATTTCTGCTTTGTGCAGATGGTATAATGTGCATAATTTGATGATAGAGACTGTCAGTTTATCACCCACCCAATGAGTTGCTTTTTATGTGTTATTTTTGCCCACATGATACCAAATGAGCTTCTTTTGTTATTTATTGTTGTTGTTCTGATTCCTGTTTAATGACTGTGATGTCAATGGGATGGATTGTTTTGTTGCACAGAAAGGTCGAACAAGTAGCAGAGGAGGCTGAAGCATTGAAGCAAAGTCTTGATAGGTACTTGTTAAGGAATCAAAGAAAGATGAGGGAAGCTCAGGAGAGGGCAGAATTGCTCGGAAGAGCAGTAAGTTTTGTTTATTGTTCAATGTGTTAGATTAACTATGGCAGTCTCTTCAATAAAAATATGCTTTATTCACTGTGTAATGAATTTTTATTTTGTAATCCAGAATGGCGAATCAGCTCATGTTTTAAGGATATTTGATGAGGAAGCACAAGCAATGCAGTCAGTTCATAATTCAAAGCGGATGTTGGAGGAATCTTTATCAACAGGATCGGCCATCCTTTCCAAATATTCGGAGCAAAGGGAACGGTTGAAGGTCTGTGCTCAAGTACTTGCATACTCACTTGCACACACACACACACACACAGCCAGTTAAATAAATATCTTTGGGGGCTATCGTGATAATTAAAATATCACACCAAAACAACATACCAGTTTTATAAGCGTTAAAGATAATGAAAATGAAAATATAATGGTTTCAAAGAATGCCATTTGCTTGTGTCTCTATGGGAGGTAGAATTATTCCTGGGATCTTTCTATGGCAATCTGGAATTTAATTTGGTGGTTTAAACTGAAACTTGTCTTTTTTTGGATATTAAATAATTGGAATGGTCTAGGCAGATAGTTTGATGATATGGACTTGGGAACATCTTAAAATTTAAGATTTGCAGTGAGAGGGGTTTGGTGGTTTGCGGGAAGAGTGATTAGTTATGGACACTCAAAGCCTAAAATAACCAAGATACAGCTCGATCTTTATATTTAAGGGAAAACATGATGGATATCATGCATCAAATTCATTGTTCTTCTGATTATGAGATGAACTGTTCTAATTAACTTGTATCTTGATACAGAATGCACAACGCAAAGCTCTTGACGTTCTCAACACAGTGGGGCTCTCCAATTCCGTATTGAGGCTTATTGAGAGACGGAACCGTGTAGATAAATGGATCAAATATATGGGAATGCTAATAACACTCGTCGTCCTATATTTTCTAGTTACTTGGGGCCGTTAAAGCTTAATGTTCTTTTCTTTTTTTTTTTTTTTTTTTTTTTTTTTTTTTATTGAGGTTCTTTTGAGAGACGCGAAACCGTGTTTAGATAAATGGATTCAAATATAGGGGGAATGCTAATAACCACTCGGTCGTCCCTATATTTTCTAGTTACTTTGGGGGCGTTAAAAGTTAATGTTCGTTTTCTTTTTTTTTTTTTTTTTTTTTTTTTTTTTTTTTTGCACCGCACCATATTTTTAATGTCGTTCTGTTTTCATTGGAAAAGAGATGAATTTGTACAAGTTTTTTTTTTTTTTTTTTTTTTTTTTTTTTTTGCATATAGCACTGTTTCATTGGAAAAGAGATGAATTTGTACAAGGGCTTCTGGAAAATATGAGATGGTCGAAATAAATTCACAAAGAAAAGCTTATTTCTCCTTTCCAAATTCCACTTAAAGGGTTCTGCAATGAATTTTGGTGTTTTGAGTGAAAACATGTGATCAGAATGCTTGATGATGAAACAGTAAAATCCTATTTATTGCTGTTGCTGCAAAGCAAACAAAAAATAGAGTTTACAAAGGTGGCGACATTGAACGGATTGGCAGCTTGCGGCGAGTTGTAAGACAAACTGATAGTTGACAGATGGCTGACTTTAAAGCTTTAAAATTCAGGACTTGTTAAGGTGTGTATTTTATTGCAACAATTCAATACTAATGTTCTCTCTTTCCTATTCTTTTTCCGTGGGCTGTAGTGGTGAAGTCTAGGAAATGATACAATCTGCATGAACCTCTGTGTTCAAGTGATTATATATATATATGTATTGACAATTCCCATTATCCAATTTTACCATGATTACCATTTGACAAAACTACCAACGATATTATTTGTTAAGTTAATTAAGCAATATGGCCGGTAGCCCCTTGTAATGTAGAATTAAAGATGCGTAATGGTGAAGTTTAGGCCTTGTTCTTCATCTATTCCTTTCCTCTGCTTTAAGCACATGTTAATGAAATTTTGTGTTTCTTATTTCCAAGCTGGCAGTCTGTCTGTCGTTTCGGCCTTATTTTGTGGAATATAGTATTGATAACTACGGATCTCTTCCCCTCCCTTCGGTCTTTTCCCTCTGTCTTTCAGGCTTTCAGCACATGTTTTTGATAATTACTTTTGCTTTTCTTGTTTCTTTTTTTCTTTAATTTCACATCTTCCCACTAGGATCTGTGGTCTGACCAGAACCAGACATCGTTAACCGTTTTTTCTTCATTATAGAAATGAATCTCCAATTATGGATAATTTTAATAATTAATCAGTTGAATCTTACAATTTTAACAAATAGTATGAATTTTATATTACTACTTTTTTTATTTTCTGATTTTTAATATTTAAAATTTTAATTATTTTGTTGTTTTGTTAAAGAACAAAGTGTCATATCATGTTTGCTTGCATGGTGGTGGTGGACTTGAAGTTGAGGAGCTTGAGCCTTGAGGATCTGCATGTGCGTGGCACGTGATACGTTGTTTCTATGAAATGGTTTCTGAAATGTCAAATTTGCCCCTGCCAATCATCCGATTCTTTTTGATAGCTTACTTAAATAGTCTCATTTCATTAACCTTTTTTTTTTTTTTTTTTTTTTTTTCTTAAATTAGTCTCATTTCATTAACCTTTTTTTTTTTTTTTTTTTTTTTTTTGCATAAATATTGTTTGGGATCTTAAGGCTTAAAAGCTTGGTATTCCTAAGTGGATTAAAATGATTTAGGTCAGTTGGATTAAGAGTTGTGTTAGATTGATGAATTAAAATATTAATTAGATTCTTTTATTTTGATTGAGAAAAAAATATACACAATCAATTTTTTTTTTTTTTTTTTTTTTTTTTGCATAAATATTGTTTGGGGATCCTAAGGCTTAAAAGCTTGGTATCCTAAGTGGATTAAAATGATTAGGTCAGTTGGATTAAGAGTTGGTTTAGATTGATGGAATAAAATTAATTAGATTCTTTTATTTGATTGAGAAAAAATATACAACAATCAATTGAATTAATAAATTTTATTACAGTCTTAATTTCATCATTTTAGAGGTAGAATTTTGTGAATCCTGTCATTTTGTATAAATGGTAGGATCGAAATCATTTAATTTTATTGTTCAAATTCAGCATTTTGTTTCCAACCAGAACGATAGAATGTGAGATTTGTGGATTTCATAATCTATGGATTTTCTGTTTCATAAATTTTTTTTTTAAATCCATGTGTTGCTACATTCTATCAATCCAAATAATCACTAAGTTTTTTAATTAAGTAGAATTCAATTTTGAAATACTCCACCAATTTAAATGGATTGAGATTTTTTATTTAAAAATTTAGTAATTTCATTTATGTACCAGATTAACTCTTAACCATAATGCATTTTTAAGATTAAGGGAGATAATTTTTTTTGTAGGTAACTAAATTAAGGAGACAAAAAAAATTAAAAACATTGATAGAAATTTCTCACTTCAAATCTAGATATATTTCTCATTTCATGGCTGATATTGTGATTTTAAAAGAATTGCTTCAAAAATTAGCTGTTGAGATTGAAAGATTTGAATTTATATAAATCTTCGGTTAAATTCTACACTTTCAACATAAAAATCCAAGCCAATTGACAATATAATAAATGACAATATTGCAAATCCATTTCTATGCATTAAATTTTAAATAACAATCCTTCAATTCCATCTTTGAAAAATAATACTTCAATGGAAATTGAAAATAATTCTTTTTATTTTCTTTAAACAAAGAAATTTGTTTAAAATATTTTTGGTGGCATGTAGTTAAAGTCCACAAGAAACAGAATCCAATGTGTTTGTGAATAGGGAATATCCCCAATTTCTATAGACTTGTACTTTTAAGGGAATCCAAACCATTGAATAGGTCCTACCTCCATTCTAATTTCTAAAGTGCTAACCATTCTGCAGAGACAGCTTGAAAAGAGACAGGTGTCCAGACAGTTCTAAGCCAAATTAAACCCCCCTGCTTCAACTGGATCATCATCCGTTGAACCAAAAAGTCAAAACATTACTTAATAAGGCAATTATGTGCTTAATTCCTTAATTTATATGATTCTAAAATGGATTTCTACTTTATTTTTTATCATAATTTATCGTATTATTTCAGTTTATTTAATAAAAATTTTAAATAATTTTGAAAAGTGATAAATTAAAATAAAAAAAAAATTCAACAACCAAACTGTAGATAGTAGAATTTTTATTAACAAATCAACGAGATATTTATCGTTTTCCTGTTCCTAGATATTTAGCCACTAACACGGGCAAATGCAAATTTAAATTTTTTTTTTTAAAAAAAAAAAGGTAAATGGGTATTATAGTAAATAGACATTGTTATGGGTCGGCCAAATGAAACGAACAAAACAAGGGGTGGTAAAATAAACCACCAGTTTCAAGACTCAACCTTGGGGCGGGAATTGCTTTCTTGCTTGCAAAATCATTAATTAAAAATAAATATGTATATACAATAATTATTTTTTTTCTTTTATGTTTCCTTTTTTAAGTTGTTTTCTGAGCATAGTTTCCAAGCCAAAGCCATTCCTTTTCCAATTGGCCCCTGGTTTTGCCATTTCTTATATATATTGTACAATACCATGTTCTTTTCCCTACAGTTTCCTCGATTACCTTTTCTCAATTTCTCTACTTTTGCACCTTTATCTGTTACCCATTTCTCTTTCGTCTTGATTTAGAAATACCCATCACCAATTCTCAATCTTTTCTATTTTTTATACAACCAAAACATATATTATACCATTTCTTAGTTCCTCTTCTTATTTTCAATTGTTTTTGGTGGTTCTTTACTGGGTTCGGGTTTATTACTTGTATCTCCTCAAATCTAAGTCTATCTTGCCATTTTCAAATCAAAGCTACAATTTTTCTTTATTTTCTGTTGGGTGTAAAGAATTTTTACAATTTGGTTTTTGAAGTGTAGAGTGATTTGAATCTTACCCAGTTTTAAAAGGGCTTCGTTTTCTTTGATTCATCAGTAAATATACGAACTTTGATACGTCTTTGGTGGTTTAGAGATAGATTTAACATATAGAATATATTAGTGTTATTCCAATGACAATTGAAGCTGTAGTTGATCCAAGAAGAGACCCAGCTGGTCATGTACATAAGGTTGGATACGCCAATAGAGTTATCAAAAGGAGAAAATGTAAAAGGAAAATTAATAAGCGACCTGAAGTAAAAGTTCCCATGGCATTACAGGAGCTGTATATGTCGTGTAAACAGGTGTTTAAAGGCCCTGGCACTGTTCCTTTTCCTCACGATGTGGAGAGATTATGCCATATACTTGGTAAGGTTTTTGGAATTTTATATTCATCTGTTATAGGTTCATTTATGTTTTGGATAAGATTTCACTTTTGGTTGATTTATTACTATTAATATGATGTTAATTACACCCGTAAGAGCAGCTGGCCTTTTTGATGCACATTTGGTTGATTGATTGATTGATTTTTATTTTGCTGTCAGTTACTATAAATATTCTCTTTCTTTTTTTTTTTCATAGTATTAATTGATATGATCCTAATCCCATGCTCTTTCATCATTGAATAATTTCCTTTTCATAGAGTGAATAAGATCTTGTGAATAGTTTCCCTTTTCAGTAAAATAGAATGCTCAGAAAAATGTTCTAGGATTTCGTTTTTGATGGAAACGAATCGAATTTAATTTCTGTATTTAGGACATACACTATATATGACTGAGTAGATTATATAGAACGTGGACAAAATTTATTTTTGTAAATTGTTTTTCTATTTTTAGGTGTGTATTTGAAGTTTCCTTTAAAAAAGTGTGGATTTGAAATAACTATTTCAGACACAGAAAATTCGCTCATAAAACATTTGATTTAAGTATATGATATTCCCCTTCATTTACGTCTATGGATCTTAAAATATACAAATTTTTAAACAGAAGTTCAATTAAAATCTTTGATTTTAAATTTCCCTATCCAAATGCATGGTCACCTGTACAATGCTCCTTTGGTTTGGTTTGGTTTAGCTATTCATAGTTGCTGATTGCAGTTAATTGGTGAACGTTGTTTTTGGGTAAAATTTTAGCAGCTTTTTCTGTTGAAATATAAAATATAATTGTCTTTATATATTATAATGTATAGTATAAATATTTATTTTTAATTTTAAAAAATAATTTTATTAGTAATTATTTTTATAATATTAATGAAATTCAAATATAATATAAATACAAATCAACTAGTAGCTGATAAAAAAAAAAAAAAATTCAAAAGCTTACCCAACACCTATAACCTGACGGGTATTTGCAGTATGAATCAACGCCTACTAAGTTTTGGCCACAGACTCCGTTTATTTTTTCTTGTTTTGACAGTTGCATTTCTTTAGCAATAGGTTAATTCTTTATAGCTATAAGTATTTGGGCGGTTGTGTAACAAAATGATTAATATGCTTTTTTTTTTTTTTTTTTTTTTTTGGTTTTTTTGGATCTATTAGAAAGTGAACTCTTTAAATGTCTTCTCTCTTTCTCCAATTTCTTTTTGGGATAAATTTTTTCATTCCATTGCACGTTTTTTTTTTTTTTTTTTTGTTTTTTTGGATCTATTTTAGAAATGTGAACTCTTAAATGTCTCTCTCTTTCTCCAATTTCTTTTTGGAGAAATTTTCATTTCCATTGCACGTAACAATTTTCAAAAGTCTCTGTTTGTAAACTTTGTTTACCAATTATTGTTCTTAAGTCAATAATGGCATTGTGTAAAAGTAAATTGTAGTTGTGTATTAGGTCTTTTGGCAGCCTTTTCCCTTCCTGGAAAATCTTCTGGGAATCTCTATTATATTGGAACAGAATTCTTGTTTTCTTATGTGGTGGTTTTTCTATTTGTGGAATTTAAGCATAATTGTTTGAATTTGAAGGTTGAGTTTTTGGTTTTGTACAAATAAGTGATTCCTTCTTTGTCTAAAATGCAACTTGTGAAGTTTCTTTTCTTATTTTTTTTCTGTTTGAAAGAAATGTGAATTATTATTGTTGCTGTTACTGTTCTACTGAATGTTGCAACTAATAGATTCCTAAACGTGGCTTGTTAGAAACATTCTACAGCTCTCAAATTAAGCTCAAAATGGCAAATAATAGTATTATCAAACTTGGAATATAAACAAGTAGGTTAAAATCCTGGTTGTCTATGACATGCATGTATATATTTACGTCTTGAGATGATCTTGATTCTGCGATGCTAGTCGCGACTGATTCACCATTGACTTCGAGCATGTTCTCAGTGACAAGACTAGTGTAAAATATATAAAGAGAAAGAAAGATTGAATCGAATCTTTACTTTTTAGCATTTCAATAGATCTTAAACATCGAGCTTACTATTCCAAAGCTATAAAATAATTGCTTAGGAGTATTCTCATATGAAGCGTTATGCCCAAGTGGATATAATATTCTCTTGAATTGACTCAAGTATAGGATTTTCTGTAGATGATTAGTTAAAAGCATATTTCAATTGGATGCCCGTTTCTTAAAAAGGTTGTTTGTTGTGGTGCAGACAAGATGAGGCCAGAAGATGTGGGGCTGAGCAGCGAGTTGCAGTTTTTTAAGCCTAAACCTTCAGTCAAAGTGACTCCAAGGGTCACCACCACCACTATATACAAATGCGATAAATTTTCGGTAAGACAGTGTTAAAATATATAATGTAGGAAGGATTAAATACAATATATAAGACCGATATGGAATTGGGCTCTCCAATTTCAACGGCCATCTTTTGATGTGCGGTTCTTGCAAGTTAATATCAACCTTTTCTAATCTATATGCACATGGTTCTTGTTTATTTATATTATTCTGCAACTATTTATATTTCATATTTTAAAGCATATCAGTGATCAGCTTTTCCATTATTGATCTCTAAACAAAATGGATTCTTTGAACTCCAAAGTTGTTGATCTGTTCTCTAAATTACTTTGTGCAGATATGCATTTTCTTTCTTCCTGCAAGTGCTGTTATCCCTCTCCATAACCATCCAGAGATGACAGTTTTTAACAAGCTTCTCTTAGGAAAAATGCACATCAAATCATACGATTGGATTAGTCCTCCCGTTGCAGAGGAACCAGTACAGCCTTCTAACAGTGAGTGTCTCTTGTTTCCTCTTCCTTATGAAAACTGGATGCATTAAACTTGTCTCTGATCCAAAATTGTTGCTTTTTTCAGTTAGATTGGCGAAAATGGTAGCCAACAGTGTCTTTGAAGCTCCTTGCAATACTTCTGTCTTATATCCAACAACCGGTGGCAATATACATCAATTCACTGCTATTACACCTTGTGCATTTCTTGATGTGTTTGGACCTCCCTATTCTAAGGAAGATGGTCGAGACTGTTCGTATTACAAAGATTATCCTTACGATGCCTTTCCAGGTAACATTTTGATTTCCCTCTTTTATTTTGTTACAGACTTGTGATTACATTGGTAAATGAACTAATGCAGCTGCAAGATGTTTGTGTCAGCAGTTTTATAGCAGAAAGGAAAATATAACAAATGATTCTTTTTTTTTTTTTTTTTCTTTTTACCTGCAGATGGAGAAGAAAGAGAGGTGAAAAAAGAGGATGGAGACATTTATGGATGGCTACAGGAGATTGATATGCCGGAAAATTCAAGAATGGATGGAATTGAGTACTTAGGTCCCCAGGTTGTAGAGATAAATTGCTAGCTGTTTGTTAGTCACTTTCTTTTATTTTTTGGGACATAGGTATTTTACCCTTTCAGGGTTTTGAAAGTGTGTTCATAATACAACCTTTTTCTTCCCTCCATTTTGTCTCTCTCAAGTCATACGTGGCTTGTCAAATTATTGCAGAGTTAAAGGGTACGAGTTCCTTGTTCAGCACCTGGTTTATGAATATTCTTGTGTGCACCAACCAACTCAATAGATGGTTAATTAGCCAAGTCAATTTGACGTGAAAAAATAATGAAATGACCTCATTCCTTATCATTATCACCAACCATTGAATTATTGATCTTGAACAGTTAATCCACTTCATACTTGGTTTTATAATTTTTATACTGAAGTTCTTGATTTTAAAATTTTTTAAAGGGTTATCTAAAAACATTATTAAGGATGAAAAACTAATAATTCCATAGTCAAAGTATAAAATTACTAATTTAAAACAGTAAAGACCATAAAAGGAGGATGAATCTGTGGGAATAATCTGCAGTGACGCACTGCTTAGCAGCCAGCAGTATAAAGCCCAACAAAGGACTTTCTACTTGAAAATGCAAAGCCTCGGTCTACTATGGACTCACAAATTAACAAACACTTAAGATGTGGCCCATAAAATGTTAACTACCTAACCTAATCCTTCAACTTCAATCGGCACTTCCTTCCACGAAAAGGAGCACAGAGTAAACAAAGCGTTGGTCGAGACGGTAAGCTGTCTTAATCCTGTAAAATTGATAATATAAATTTTATTTTTATGAAGCACATTTTGTTTGTAAGGCAAAAAAACTTTATGCTTTACAATTCAAAAGAAATTACACTCTTTAATTATAGAAAAAAAAGGTAAATACGAAATAATAAAAAAAAAATACATATTAACAAATTTTGATGTTTGATATTTTTAAACTTATCCATCATAATAGAAAATGTCTGAATATTACATCATATTGTAATTGTAACATTTTTTTTTTTTTAAAATAACCATATGGAGATATCTGTATTCTTTTCTATGAACATTTATTAGGGAGAGTGGGTTGACATATATGTTCTTGCGCGATAGACTGTACCTATCAAAAGTTGTTGGGAGGTATTCAATCCTTCCCTTTAGTTGCATCACCTTAATGAATTCTTCTGTAAAAGACAAATTTCTGACTTGTAAATGCATCTTCAAGCAATGAAAATCAGATTAATTGGGACCATATGCAAGAACATTAATTTGCTCAAACAACATCTTAGTCCTTGTTTGGTTAGAGTTAAGTGGATTAGAGAAATGTACCTTTTTACAAGTTTATGAAGTCCTTAATTTGGTTTCCATTACTAATTCAACTTCTCAGTAAGTAAGTAGTAAATAAGTAACTTCATAAGGGTTAGAAAGCTGCACTTGTATAATTAAGTGTAATGAATTAACCGATTTGTCATATTATTTAAATACATTTTAAATTTGTAATATGGGTATATTTGTTTTTTTAATTTGAAAATAATTACGTCATGTCAATAAGATTAGTTGTTTTAGTAATTATCAATTGTTTTACTTGTGTTTCATCAAAAGGGTGACTTTTTATAATCTGTTCTCTCAAACTCCAAACATTAGTATGAATGTTACTTTATTAAAATACTATAAATCATAGAAATAATGTTTTAATCTAGCCAAAACTCTAAAAATTACGTAAACTGTTGCTGAATATGACTTTATTTTGATTTGATTTACATATCAAACACATATAAATCATATTTCCTATGCACTAACTTAGTTGAAAGTGTACTTTCCGGAAAGTGTATTTTTTTGGAAAGTAAGTTAGGCTATAAAATATATGCTCAAACTCGAATTTAACTCATTTAAAAATAGCCAAACTTATGTTCAGTTCGATAACAAGTCAAATTAAAGTTCAATTTAAAATTTATCAACATGATTTTAATGTAGGTATAATTTATTAAGTTAGCTTGCGAACCGACCTATGAGTTTAGCTTGATAAATCTAGCTTGCAAGTCAATGAGTCGAAATTATTAATTAAACAAGTTTAGTAGCTCGATTTAATCAAAATTCGTTCGAGCTCATTCGATAAACTTATTGAGTCAAGCCTAAACCAGTTCACAAATGATTCAATTCATTTTCTATTTTAAAAGTAAGTTATTTTCGACCAAACGAGGCCTTAATATGTTAATATGTTATCATTATCTCTAAATGTGAAAAATCTATAAAGACAGTTTGAATCGTCAAGGAACACAATTCCAGCTATGAAAGTGAAAGGAGAAAGAAACAAAAGGAGAGAGTTTGTGGGCTAAGGCTAACCATAAACACCAACTTTTCGCAAATTGATGCTTCGATAGTGAAATGATCAGTGGGCCTTTTATTCCTAGAATTCCCGATTGCTACTTGCTTTACCCTTTGCACCGACATTCAAATTTATTGTATTTTATCTCAATCTTTACTGCAAGTTTCCATTCTTTGTTTGCAAAAGCATACCTCCTAGTTCGGCTCGAGGCATTCAGATCCTATTAAGTATACCGTTTAATTTACATGTTCAGTTTGTATTTTTAACTGATTCACTACTCGTAGATCAATAGCATTGCATTTTAAAACAAGGGATAATCATAATTGGATAAATAACTATTTAGAACATAAATTTAATCATAACCATAATTTTTTGTTTTTTATTTAATACATATAATGATTAATTTTTAAAATTTAACTTTGATCAATTACTTAATTTTTTATTAAAAGTAGTATCATTTTTATTTTTTAGAGAGAGTAAATAGTAATTTATTAATAAATTAAGGGACAAAAAATAAAAAAATATGCTATTTAATCTCTAAAATGAAATTTTTGTAAAAAAAATAAATAGTTTAATGAAATTAAATTTTAATAAATGATCAACAGCAAATAAAAAAGATAAAATTATAAGCATGACTAACTTGTAGGAGAAAATGATTATTTACTCATCATAATAAGTTATAAAAATATTCCTAATAAATTGAAATTTTCTAATTTCTAATTAAAAATTGAATAATTATTGGGTGAATGTCTCAACTATCAATAATTTAGGAAGTTGGGATTATTAATGGAAAAGTTGTTCAGTGCTAAGCTGGATGCCATATGGAAAGGGCATTCCAGACATAATATATATATATTTTTTTTTAATTACGAATTTTAACATGCCACGTGCAATTTGCAATGGGCCAAAATTGTTATCTGTTCTCTGTTCATTATTTTATTTTGGGCTTCAGATTAATAAGCATTTGAAAATAATTAAATTATTAACGCGAGGATTAATAGCTATAATCAATTTAAATTTAACTTTAATTCAAATCACATCTCTAAAAATTGTTTTAATCCGAATTTATTATATTTTTTGACTAAAAATAATAATTAATTAATCCATTAATTTTTTAGTTTCGAACGGAATACCATTTTGCAAGATGAGATTTTTCGTATAAAATTAATTAATTTTTTATTTGATATTTATTTAATTAATTTTATGGGAATAATTATTACCACAAGCCTATGATGCAAGGACACGGAAAGAGAAAACGGAAAAACGCAAAAATGGACACAGAAAAATGGTAGTTTTAAAAAATGTAGGAAACGGAAACGTGTGAAAACGCATAAATATAAAAAATATAGAGATTTATTTATAAAATTTAAAAATGTAGGAATAAATATTAAAATAATTTAGGAAGAGTACATTTAAAATTTTTAAAGGACAATCAATTCATAACTTCTGTGCTCAATAAGAAAAATGAAAACAAAATATTCAAATGTAAAAATGGAAAAAGATAATGAAATTCTATTAAATTTAAAGTTTGAACATCGAAATTTAAAAAAAAAAAATTATTTGCCCTTTTCCAAATAAGATTTGCAAACCATCCAAATTTGATTTGGATTTGAAATTTGTTTTTTTTTAATGCAAGAAACGTTTCCAAGGAAGGAAAACAGGTGTCCGATTTTTAATATTTACGGAAATAAACCCGACACGTTTCAAAGCAGTTTTCAGGTATTTCCATTTTTGAAACACGAAAATGTCGAGCTTCTCACATGTTCGTGCATCACAGCTATATGCCAATAAACTGTAGTTTGATCGGTCTTTTTACTAATATGGTAAGCATGATCTCTCAAGTTAGCTACCACAACAATTTTTATTAATTTCGTGAGTTTTTTTATTTTTTTTATTTTGAACATAGATAAATGATGACAAAATGAAAGCAATATGTTTCTTATGGTTTTTTAACCATCCAGAATGGGCAACTCATTAGCTTATTAATTTAGATTTGAGCCGAATATATAATTAACGATTACAAATATTATTTAATTATATTTAAGTACCTTTTTTAGAAAATATAATAATTTTTATTTTTTTTTATTTTTATTAGTATGACTAATTTATTATTTATTGAAAAAGAAAAAGTAAGATCTTTATTAGAAATTAAAGAAGAAACCAACAATTTATGGTGGGAGCGAGCTGCAGGATGCAACAATGTTAATAATTGAACTTTGTTTTCTGAAACTCCAAAATAAATAATACTAAATAATTGTCTAAAGACGAAATCTTTAAATTTCCACAGAATAAATATAAAAAAAAAAAGAGCAATTCAACTGTAAGTCGCAGATAGAGAGAGAAAGAAAGGCGCCAAAAGCAACAGACTTAACATATGTAGCCAATTAGTGGGTCCATGATTGAACGTGACAGGTCCATAGAAAGCCAATGCTCACCAGACCCAGAAAGTGAAAGCTTACATACAGCACTTACTGTTTGTGCCTCAACACACCCCATTACCATATGCATATGCATATACACTCATTTTTACCCACAAAGTACCAAGATTTAAAAATCATACGTTGTCTCTGTTTCCAGAGAGAGTCTGAAAGGGAATAAAGGCTTCTCTTCTGCAACAAGAATCTTTTTCTTTTTCTTTTCCATGGCTTTCTCTTCTTTAGACCTCTAAAAGAAGAAGCCTATGAAATTAACAGACATAATTATATATACAATTATTTAACTATTAAGTGTTTGCTTTTGTTCTTGAGAGAAAAAGATAAAAGGAGTGAGTGGTCCATTTGTTTTTATTTCCAGGTCAATTATTTGTGATTTATTGACTATAACAAGTTTCTTTGAACCCGTGTCTCTAAATTGTCTTTGCCTATACAAGGAAACTGTTATGTGTCAGTAGTGCCTGGATGCTACTAGTTGATATGTTTCTTAATGTACGGTTGTCGAGGTTTCTTTGTTTTGCTGAAGCAGATGGAGGTAATGTGATGTAACATTTGGGGTTCTCTCTTCTTCTGCTTTTCTTTGTGGAGTTGAAATTAGTTCCTTTATTGCGTTTTGACTATAGTAAAAGTGTAAAATGCAAGTAAACATGCAAAATCTGAAGTGGGTTTTGAAGCATTTTTGAAGATTTTGTCTTCTTTTGCGGAGGGTTGCTTTGTGGCTGGAGAAGAAGCATCGGTGGGTATATCTTTATTTGGAAGTCATAATCATCCATTAGGAAGTTCTGATTGAATTTTGTTACAAGACTAGAACAAAAACTTGTGGGTTTGGATTTTCTGTCTTATATTCTTGTTGATTTTGAGAGGAAAAGAATAAGCAGTCTTTCAAGACCACTTGCCGGTTTCATTCGATTATGAGCTCAAAAGTGAAGCTGACTTTCCTACCCACTCGATAGAGGTAACCATTTTTATTTCTCATTGAACATGAAATATGATGTTTTCAATTGTAATAAGATGAGTAGTAGAAAGCATGATATAGATATGTTAAGTGTGATCAACTTGATAAAAGCCCTAATATTAGCTGATTCTAATAAGCAGCAATGTAAATTTGTACATCTCTATACAATTGTTTATGGTAATATTTACTTCTTGGATATCATTTTTGTCTGACATTCAGTTAATGAAGTTGGTCCTTCACAATTTGTGAATCCTTTGGCCTTATTTTGAATTCCATTTCTTCTATATTTGACATTGCATTAATAGTTGAATTTCTAAGTTTTAATGCACTTTTATTACGATGGCATAAAAATAGTTATGCATTGGCATAAATTATTTACTTGGCTGCTGCTTTTTATGGGAATTTTTCCTCTAATGCTTGTTTCCTAGTCCTATGCTTTGCAGTTGTACTGGTTCTGCTACTTATGTACATAAAATCAATGGCGAAGGCGTTCCAGTATCCTTCAGTCCTAGTTTTCATCATCTTCTTCTTCTTAATCAGTTGTTCGGAGCAACTACAAACCTCTCAGGGTGGGACCCTTCTAAGAATTCAGCGGCTTTTATACTACCCACATATTCTAAATGGTTGGAATAGCACCACTGATTTCTGCAATACAGATCCAAATTTATCTGTAACTGTGGTTTGCTATGAGGAAAGCATAACACAGCTGCACATCATTGGCAACAGAGGAACTCCTATGTTGCCTAGGAACTTTTCAATTGATTCATTTGTGACAACACTTGTCGGTCTTCCAGACTTGAAAGTCCTAACGTTGGCTTCTCTAGGTTTATGGGGTCCATTTCCTGGTAAAATTGCCCGTTTGTCATCACTAGAGATAATGAATGTGAGTTCAAATTTCTTCTATGATTCCATCCCTGAAGATCTTTCATCACTATCTAACCTCCAAACGCTCATACTTGATGACAATATGTTTTCTGGTGAGTTGCCACATTGGCTGGGTTCATTTCCAGTTCTGGCTGTTTTGAGTTTGAGGAAAAATATGTTCAATGGATCCTTGCCAAATTCATTTAGTAATTTGGAGAATCTTAGAGTTCTTGCACTCTCACAAAACTACTTGTATGGAGAAGTGCCTGATCTTAGCAGTTTGACAAACCTTCAGGTGCTTGACTTGGATGATAATGCTTTTGGACCACAGTTTCCTCAGCTTGGAAACAAGTTGGTTACTCTTGTACTGAGCAGGAACAAGTTCAGAGATGGTCTTCCGGCTGAGATAAGCTCTTATTATCAACTTCAACAGCTAGATCTTTCAAAAAATAAATTTGTAGGGCCATTTCCATCATCCTTGCTATCATTGCCTTCCATAACTTATTTGAACATTGCAGACAATAAGTTCACCGGAATGCTTTTTGAAAATCAATCTTGTAATTCTAACCTTGAATTTGTGGATTTGTCCTCAAATCTTATAACTGGAAACTTGCCCAACTGCCTTCATTCAGTTTCTAAGGAAAAGGTCTTCTATTCTGGGAACTGTCTAGCAACTAGGGATCAAAATCAACATCCACTTTCTTTTTGTCGCAATGAAGCATTAGCAGTAGGAATTTTGCCTCAGAGGAAGAAAAGGACACAAGGTTCTAAAATTATTGCATTGAGTGTGATTGGGGGAGTTATTGGAGGGATTGCTCTTGTTGGCTTGATTTTCTTGGTTGTTAGAAAGCTAAATGCCAGAAAGACAATCAAGAGACCTTCAACAAGACTAATTTCAGAGAATGCATCAGCTGGATACCCCTCAAAAATGCTCTCAGATGCAAGTCAGATATTCATCTCTCTCTGTGCTTTATGTTCATGTTCATGAATGTAGTCAAATGTGATTAATAAATGAAATAACTGATAATTCAAGTGATTGGAAAGAGCAAAAAATCTGATAGCATCTTTTTTGGCTAAATCTGAAGGGTATATATCTCAAACAATGAAGCTGGGTACACTTGGCATTCCAGCTTACCGTACCTTTTCATTGGAGGAGCTTGAGGAAGCTACAAACAACTTTGACACATCTGCTTTCATGGGCGAAGGTTCTCAAGGCCAGGTATGCCGATATGGGGTAATATAGGCCTCAAATTAGATAGTACTATGAACCATGAATTGGCTTTCTTAATCAAAAGTTTGTTTAACATTTGTTTCATGCTTTCAGATGTATAGGGGTCGACTTAAGAATGGTTGCTCTGTTGCTATTAGATGCATAAAAATGAAAAGAAGCTACAGCACCCAAAACTTTATGCACAACATAGAGCTGATTTCAAAACTTAGACATCGACATTTGGTCAGCGCTCTAGGACACTGCTTTGAATGCTACTTGGATGATTCAAGTGTCAGCAGAATATTTCTTGTGTTTGAATATGTACCAAATGGCACACTAAGGGGCTGGATCTCAAGTAATCTATGAAGCGTGTCAATAGAAAAATACCCTTTGCATATCTGTTTTTAAAATCTTAGCATCTTTCATCTTTCTGGCAGAGGGACGAGCCAGACAAAAACTTAATTGGGCTCAACGAATAGCTGCTGCAATAGGAGTAGCAAAGGGAATCCAATTTTTGCATACAGGGATAGTCCCGGGCGTATATTGTAATAATCTGAAGATAACTGATGTTTTGCTGGATCAGAACCTTGTTGCAAAAATTAGTAGCTATAATCTGCCCTTGTTAGCAGAAAACACAGGAAAGGTAATTTTTTCTCTTTCTGAATGCTATCTGTTCTTTTCTCTTGGACCAAGACTTGAATTTGGTATTTAGCTCGAGTGATCTTGCAGGTTGTCCATGGAGTTTCTTCTAGTGTATCCAAAGATCGTAGTGCTGGTGCAAGGTTAGCACTAACTTGTAACTTTCCGGAAATTCTTAGTCCAGAGTCTAAGTAAATGGTAGTTCAATGGTGCTTCTAAATGGACATCACTAAAGTTTATTTTTAAGGTGAAAATTTACATGTTCTAGCCATAAAATCTTCAAAACAGCTAATCAATACTCCAAAATTGTTTCCAACATGATTTTTTAGACAAATAATTTCAACCTTAATACCGAACCTACCCTAAAAGGCCTGCAAGACATTGAACATAAAGTTTCAATTACCAAGCAATTTAAACAACTTGAGTTGCTAATGTCCTGAGATCTTCTTCGAACACCATATTTTGACAGGACAAATCAAGAAGAGAAGATGGATGTATATGATTTTGGAGTAATATTACTTGAAAGCATCGTGGGGAGGCCACTGAACTCAGGGAATGAAGTGGATATTCTAAAAGAACAGGTAAAGAGCAGTACTGATTTCTTATTATATATATTGTTAAAATGAAATCCTCTTCCCTGCTTTAGTCAATTAAAATCCCATATTATTGCATAAAATCTGCAGTTACAAGTGAGCATCACTAGTGATGATGTTGCTCGAAGGAGCATGGTTGATCCAGATATTGGCAAGGGCTGTTCGGATCAATCATTGAAGACGATGGTAGAGGTTTGTATAAGGTGCCTACTTAAGAACCCAGAAGATAGACCCTCAATCGAGGATGTGCTGTGGAACTTGCAGTTTGCTGCACAAGTTCAGGACGGATGGCGGGGAGACTCCAGCGAAGGATCTCCAATCTCACCTTCGCATCCTGCAGGGCTACAGCTCACCCTTCAGTCGCAGTAATATGGAGGTTATTTTGTTTCTATCTCTCTCATTATGGAATCTATGTAATAGACAAATTTTCAACATTAACTTAAGAAAATCTCATTTTCTTGTCAGTGACAAAACAAGAAATCCTGCTAGAAAGTTCCATATCAGTGTTTCCCATCTTGCATTCAATTTACATAACAAAAACATTAATATATTTCTTATATTGCAGGGAAATGATAATAAAGGGGAAGAGGAAGCAAGACTAGTGAAAATGACAACTTTTATACAGCTTTTCGACTAGGCAGCCTATACATTCTTCTTAGATTGGGCAGAGGGAAGCATCAATAAAACGGTTTCCCTGCCCTCTTCTTCTCTCTTTACCTTAGTGACAACCAAGGTAGTAATTATCTTGACAGGCAAATCTTTTATGTATACCAATTTTCCAAGGAAAGAAAATGGCAAGTTGTCCTCCAAATACCTATGATAATTAGGTTGCACGTCATGTATCTGAAAGTTGTTTATATTTAAGCCAAAGTGTTCCAATAGCTCTCATAACTCAAATTAGCGCTACAAGGAATCCGATGGTGCTTTCTATTTTATTTTATCTTCAGTAGAGAATGAGAAAGAGAATCTTGTTATCACTGTAATTATTTCCTTCAGACCTTTAAGCAATTAGCTAGCAGAGGAAGCCAGAAAGCTCCCACTTTGCTACAATCACAAATATTTCAGGAATGGATAATTCGAGGGCATACGCAAACGCATTAATTGACAAAAGAAATGCTAGAACACATCTTGTAGTAATAATTGAATGTAGTTGCAGCAACTGCATAAAAGAAATCATCCCTAATTCCCTCTCTGGAAGCAAGCGAGGGCAATGCAACTTGCACTACTACAAATAAGATTTTTATACAAATAGACGAGTCTTCCATTCAAGGCGATGAAAGAAGAATCAGTACAGAATATGGATCCATCAGCAAGAAATTTAAATGGAGCTGTCTAAAAGGCAGAAATCAAATGGCTCAAAAGAAAATCTTCCAACAACAATGTACTCTAAAGAATATTACAAAGTCAACTACCCAGAATTTGCGAGAAACAGAATCCAAGTCTTTTTTTAAGGTGAATCCAAGTCTGGGGCTGCTGCTGCTTTCATTGGGTTTTCAGTCAGCAGTCCAGCTCTGTTCTACTATTTCCCGCACTCTTCGGTTGTACTCCCGCTTATTTTCACTGAACATGCGAGCAGCTTCAGAGTTTGCAGGCGAGTTTGGGTTTGGATCACAAAGCAAGGACTGGACAAGAACATACCATAAGTATTGCTTATTTGTAGATGTAAATCACTTGAATACATGCAAACAAAACTATTAAAAGTTGCAATGAAACTAAAATCTGCATACAATCCCATGGATTCTATCCTGACAAATGTGATATCTTGAAACATATACAAGAAAGCAATTGCATCCAAGCTTGACACAAGGTCCACTATCGGCTATTAGTCTCTTGAGCGCAAAACTGATAATTATTAATGATACACTTTACATCCAAGCCTAAATTTTACAAGTCCAGAAGCACACACATCAATCACTTCTAACTATGTTGATATCAACCATAATTTATATTATGGCATCTAAAAGCAACCTATAACTACTACATTCCATACAAACAATTTCTACCCAACAAAAAATCCATTAAGGGCTGTAAACAAGTCGAGCTTTAGTGAGCTCGAGCTGGAGTTCGGCTTGATAAGGATATGCTTGAGCTCGAGCTTGAAATATACCAAACGAAAAAACGATGTTGTTTTAATGTAGGTTTAATTAATGTTAGCTTATTGAGCTAGCTAGTGAGCCGGCTCATGAACTCAGCTCGATAAAGTCAGCTAGCGAGCTAATGAGCTCAGCTCAAGCTCGGTTGGATGAGCTTATCAAACGAGCCAAAGCGAGCTTCTATCAAGCAGAGCCTCGACCAGCTCAGGAGTATCTCTACCCATTTACAGCCCTTATTAATATTTATGACTCCTGTAGGATGGCCTAAAAACTCGGCCCTTCTTTATACATATTTCCAGTCTAACAAAAGTTTAGGGCTTTAGAAAAATCCTCGGTGTATGTCATCATGCTCATCCACAAACCATGTGAATATAACTCATTTGATATCAAATCAAGTTTCCAACCCATCCCATTTTAAAAAAGAGAAAATATTAAATCCTGGAAGTTAGTAATAGTAATATTAAAGTCATTAACAAATTTGTGAAATTCACGAGGAGAAAAGATCTAAATACAACCCTACTTTCAGCATTTTTGCATCAAGCATGTGTTTTCAGGAACCAAGGTATATATTCTCTATCTTAAGCCTATATAAATAATCTTGTATTTATCTTAAGTTTTTCAATTAATATTAACTTCAAAACCATCACTGTCTCAAAACGTGACCACATAAAATTGACTGGAATTTGGATGCATCTCAACAAGTTATTAGCATGAAAAAAACTATTATTTCCTATGAAATATAAATATAAGAAACAAGTAGCAGAAAGTTGAACCTGGATAGAAGTAAGTATAGCAGCAACGTCATATATTGGACTCCATTGATTTTGTAAAATATCTAAACAAATGCTTCCATCTGCATATACTGATAACATCCGTGCAAACAGCGTCAGAGATTTAAGGAGATTCATCCACAAAGAAAAAATAGACAAACTGCTTAAAAAAAGCCAAATGCCAGTTTTTTCTATATAGAAAAAATTCCAATTCAAAAGAGAAAAACAATACGGAAGCACTCATAATTTGTTGAAGACAATCAAATACGTGAGCATGAAATCAACATACTATTTGGATGAAACATCCTTGAGACAAAACGGACTGTTGGAGGTTTGTTGGGATAATCCTCTGTGAATTGCAGTGTCAATTTAAACGTACCTGGAAAAAAAATCATGAATAGGTACATTAGATGGTGAAAACCGAAAAGTTTAGTAACAGAATAACAAAGCTATATATACACAGAAACACGGGTATATACTATTAAGCATATGAAAACAAAAACCCACTTGCAACGAAAACCAAACAAACCCTAGAAGTCAAGGAATCAAATAAAATGAATAAATCCACAGGATCAGCCAAACAGCTTAATCATCTGTAAATACATAATAGGCATAGGCATATATAGAATTTATCAGCTCAATTATTAAAAAAAAAAAAATCTTTGGAATTAATTCAAAACAACAATCCTTCAAGAGACATAAATAACGATTTAAAATAGGAAAACAAAGAATTAGAATTACCCACCTCCATCCCAAGGAGTATCATCAGGCCTAAAATAGAAACCAAAACAAATAAATAAACAAAAGCATGTAAATTTCTAAAATAAATAAATAAAGAAGATGAAACAATAAGAGAGAGAGAGAGAGAGAGAGAGAGAGAGAGAAGTAGAAGGTACCCAAAAATGACAGCGTTCCAGAGCATGATATTGTTCTCTTGAGGAGCGCCACTGATGCCGGCAGGTGGATCTTGCTGAAGCCTCTTGAAATCCCTCATCAGCCTCTTCCTAGCTGGAGTTGTCATCTTCCTTTTTTGGTTTCTTTCTGTTTCTCTCTTTCTGCTTTCGTGAAATTTAAGGGATCTGAAGAAATCTAAGAAAGATCCATCTCAGAAACAGAAAGATACATCGCAGAAACACAGAGAGAGGTTTTTGCCTTTATTTTGCGTGTTCCAGAAATTACCCTACTTAAGCTTTTCAAACCTCGTCCAGTTATCCAATCAGAAATTCAGAATAATAATAATAATAATACAAAAGTTTTTTTTTTTTTTTTTTACCAAAATACATAAATTCAATTCTTTTTTTAAATAAAAATTTTGAAGAGACCAATTACTCCCTAAAATTTAAGAAATTTGATAATATTATATATTTCTCTATACTAACAACAATAATTTTAGGATTTCAATTGTTATATGAATATTGATTTGATATGTGATTTTAGAATAATAATTTTATATCTTTTAATTATTCAATAAATATGTCATCGATAAATACAGTAATTCAAATATTATTATTTAAAAGTATGATATTGTAAATTAAACATATAGTGTATCAAAATAAAAAGTGAGAATAGAACAAATTTTTCATGAAAAGTATAATGGTAAATTTATATAATTCACCAAAAGTTTCTAAAAAATTACTTTAGTTTTCTATAAGCATGGAGGATAATTAGTTACATATTATCCCCATTTTTTCTCCATATGCGAAAAAGTAATTTTTTTTTTTTTTTTATATGATGAAAAGGTTGAATTTTAAAGGAAATAAAATATTTAAAAATATATAATTACATGAATAGCTCCAATTATTGAATACATATAAATATAATATTTTTTATATGAGTTTAATCTTGGGCTTGTTGTTAGGCCCTCTTCTGTGGGCTTTCATTGAGGAAATTGTAGGCTGGACATGTTGTTTTTATAAAACTTTGTGATCTTATTTATGTGAAAATATTAAATATTCAAATTATAAATTGTTCATTCATGTTAGGCTGGTTGATTAATTTATTAATTAGTTAATAGTAATTTAATTTAATTTATCTATTACAAGGTTGACCTTAAATAAAAATGAAAATTATATCGAAATAAGTGCAATTATTATTGATATATTTATATTAAGATAAATATAAATGAACATTATTTTTTTTAATCTAAAATATATAAGGTGTTTTTGGGTCGTAATTTATGCATTTCAATTTTTATATTTAGAAATTACTTGCTGAATCCTAATCAATGAAATGAGGAGAAAAAAAAAATCTAGAATAAAATGTATAAAAGTATAAAAATACCTGTATAGTATTATATGGTAAAAGTCTATATTACGGGCAAGAGTTCAAATGAAAAGTACTAACTAATACTGAGCTTATAATACATATAAATAGATTGTAATTAATAGAAGTTATTGGAAGGTAATTAAGATTTGTTGATAGTAAGTAACTCCTAAGAATTATCTCCGGTGAAGTATTTCATCGGGGAAAATGACCGGAATTCGACTCTCTTCTTCATCTTCTTCGTCTTCATGGGGTTGGTGCGAAAGCTGAAGAGGCTCCAATAAGCTATGAGAAGATGGAGCTGTGTCAGCTGTGACAAGGTCAAAGTTGGAAGGGAAACTGCTGACGTTGATAAAGTTAGTAGAAGCTGAGGAGTTGTTAGAGTAGGCTGGTTGAAGCATAACAACCTGTTGATCGTGTTGGTGGTGGTGTTGCTGCTGCTGCTGCTGCTGCTGGTGGTGGTGGTGGTGTGAGTTTTGAAGAACATTTGCCATTGCAAACCTACTGTTTATTAGTTGAGTTTGAACCATTGCAAGCTCAGCTTGCAATGACGCCACCTGCATGCAAATAAGTATATGTTATAAACAATGAGTAAGCAAAAATCAAAAATGAAAATAAGCATTTATCGATATAGCCCGATGTTAATTAAGCGATGTATAAATTTGACATACAGCAATAGTCGAATAACATATTTTCACTATTAAAAAAATGAAGAAAAATAAAGTATAGTTGGAATTAATTGAAATAGTTCTTAATTTATTGTGCCTTTATTTTTTTTTTATTATCCAAAATTTTTAATGGGTAAGTCTTTATTAACCTATTAGTTATTTGTATTTGTTGAAGCAGTGCTCTTTTCAAACAACAATAATTTTCAGAGTCTTTAATTGATGATATAGAAGCCTTCATTGTGTTGCAATAGCGTAATAGAATAATGTGGATTGGAGTTACGCTCAAGAGTAACTGACTCCTAAGAAGTAATATATCTCACTCTGGTGCAAGTATCTTCATCGGGGAAAATGACCGGTAATTCGACTCTCTTGCTTCATCTTCTTCGTCTTCATGGGGTTGGTGCGAAAGGTGAAGAGCTCCACATAAGCTATGAGAAGATTGGAGCTGGTGTGTCTATGTCTGTTTGACTAAGGATCAAGTTTCCTGGCAAGAGCGAAACTGCTGCATTCTCGATAAATGTTTAGTAGTGCAAGACTGTAGTGGATTTATGTTAGTAGATAGAGTCCTTTATGCAGCCATAACGATCTTGTTTTCGTCACCGCCTTCGGTGGTTCGCCGGTGTTAGCTGCTGCTGATGTGCTCCTACTTGCTTCCAAGTACAATGTGTAGGTGTGCGTGTGAGTTTTGAAGGAAACATTTGCCATTGCAAACCTACTGTTTATTATGTTGAGTTTGAAAACCATTTGCAAGGCCTCAGCTTGCCTCAATGACGCACACCGCATGCAAATAATTCTAGTATATGTTATGAAACAACAATAGCTCACGTATAGCAAAGATCATAAAATATTTCGAAAATATAGCAATTTATACACGAACTAATAGCCCGAGTAGTTAATTAAGCGATAATGCTATAAGATGATATTGCAAACATACAGCAATATGTAACCTGTTTAGATAAGCATATTCATTCTCTCTCAAAAAAGAACTGAGAGAAAAATAAAGTATAGTTTGGAATTAATGGATCGATAACTAGTTTCTTAATTTATTGTGTAGCGCTTATATTCTTTTTTTTTATTTACTCAAAATTTTTATATGGGTATTTTCGTCGTTTCATAATATTATTTAAGTTTTTTTTTGAATTTGTTGATATGCATGTCTCTCTGTCTCCATACTAACACATAGAATTTTCGAGTCTTTAATTGATTGAATAATTTTATCTCTAATAATATATATAATATATTATATATATATATTATATATATATCATTCATATTTCATTGCAATCTTTATAAATCAGAATGAAAATAGTTTGAGAATAAACATCACACTTCAAGGCAATGTACCTTTAGACTTTAAAAAATATATAATCATTTTATGAATCTTAAAATGAGATTAATTTGGTACCTAGACTTTAAAAAAATGAATAAATCCTATGTATAAAGTGCAAATATATAAAGTAGTACTCCTGTTGCCTAATCTTTAATTAATTAGAAAGTTGGTAGAAAGGATAACATCAAGAAAAAGAAACAAGAAATTTGTATAGCAATCATAATCACAAACATTTGTTTAGAAACAAGAAATTTGCTGTATATAGCTACAAAAATTCTGTTTTCAAAAGTTTCAGCTTCAAGAAGAAAAACAAATAATTAAGTACATAAAGAACCAGGAATTGATTAATGAACCTGTTGTTGCAAAGCAAGAATGGTGGACACACAACCATAAACCGGATCAGAGAGTCTTGCTTGAGCCTCGTAAGATATTGTAACAACCGCTTCATGTCTCCGGTTAACCGGAATATGCAACAACAACTTCGATACGTTACTAGCACCAAACACCTTATGCACCGCGGCAAACCGGGCTGCACCCTGGTCTGAACCAAAGTGGGGTGCAAATATGCACCCACTAATGCATTTCCTCCTCAAGAACTTGCATGCACCGCATGGTGCTGCAGCTGCTACTACCGGTGCCGGTTGTTCACCGATCGACGACTGATGAGATTCCACCGGCATGGATGATGCACGCTTACCGATGCCCTTCCTCCGTGTATCTGTCAACGTGGCATCACATTGTGGCTCAGCCATATAAAATATATATGTATATGAGGAGACCTAGGGTTTTAAGGGAAGATGGAAGAAGGAGAAGAAAAGAGAATTAACAAAAGAGAGAAGTGTTGGGTTTGGTGCTATATATGTGAAACAAAATGGAGGGGGCACACGTTACTCTCGTGATAGGGTTGCCAAGGTGAATGTATAAACTTAAGCTTCTCCTGCCGTTTTCTTTATTCTATTTTTTTCCTCAACCCCCTACTGCTGAGAAGGTTTTATCTGGATATCACTCTGTCCGAGTATAGAGACACGTGTATTCAACTAAATAAACTCTTATTTCTTAGATTATTAGTAATATTTATAGTTTAATATGGGAGTAATGTTGGTTGTAGAGGTTGGTAAAGAGGAAACTTGAGGAGTCTTGTGGGGAGGGTGTGAGGAGCATGTGCAAATGGAGAGTTGGAAGTAGTTTATTGTAACGTTTAAAAGAATTTTTATAGATGAGTTTAATGAAAGGATGTAATAAAATAAAGGTGAATAATGTTGGTGCGTGTTTTTAACTTGAAGAAGGTTGTCTTCATATGAAGGCACAAGATTTGTGCTGCCCGTAGCGTGTGGGATTACAAGGGCCAGACGTGCATTGGTGTAATATGTACCATGAGAGGAAACAGAGCTCCTTGTGTGTGATTTTTAATCTTGTCATATAAAGGATGTTACTTCTGTTTCATTTTTCTTGTCATTTCTTTTTCTGTTCTCTCTCTATCTCCCGTTTTAAAATAGTGTCATGGGCAGTTGTAGTAACTAGCTGTTTGAATAATTGTTTAACTTAAAAATCGATGGGTATGATTGTTTAAAAAAAAAAAAAAAAAAAAAAAAAAAAAAAAAAAAAAAAAAAAAAAAAAAACATTACTGTTTAAGGTTTCATCAAAAATCTCCATCAATCTCTAAAAACTATTAAAAAACATAGATTGCTACAATTAAAAGTTGCCAAACAAAACTTTTCGTAGGCAGTAGGTTTTGTGAAGAATGATTTAGAAACCGCAAATGCTTGATGAAACGAAAAAAAGCTGTTAACCATTGAATTGATATTTTATCAGAAAGTTTCCATACAATGACTAAAACCTTGTACATCCACTGCATGCCAATTTCTATATATACATATACTCCACAGGCAGCAACTAAGAGATGCTCCTTATCATAACATTTCCAATTGCAAAATTGAGGTTTAGATTTGACTGAAAGATTATAGTACAGCAGAAAATTACACTGCCAGTATAATTTAATAAATAGCAACTCATCACATCAATTGGGGGAATGTTACATTCTCTGTAAAAGTGGCTACTAAAACTATAGACCTGTGCCTACATCATGTTGTTTTCTGGCATTAAGTATGTTCTGAAGGTAAAAAACCAAAACAGCAAGGGCTGCCACAAAAACATTGCAAGCCATTAGACCTGACTCTAATTTCCCCGTAGCTAAAAGTCAGCTCTTCTCCTTCTTTTATGTCTTTAGAAGCAAAGAAACAAAGGCGAGGCAATAAACCTCCAAAACTTCTCACTATTACAGTTGACAGATTTCCACAGCCACAAGAATGGTTGATGAATCTTGCAACATTTCCTATTCTTGTAGCATCAATGTTCACCCTCAAACAAGCCTTTCCAGATGGAAGATGCTCTCTCACAACTAAAAGCGCAGAAGAAAATCGGCCACCAGATGTGAGTTTATCATAAATTTCTTGCCGGCTTCTGGCTTCCTGGGTTGTCAAGAGTTCGCCTGCTCAAAAAACCAAGTTCAAATCTTAGGCAACAGCTCTGTCCTATATTACTCAGGGACAGAGGAGCGAGATGCCATGTTGACAGGAAAAGATATGCAACAAAAGGAAAAGATAACAAAGAACCATGAGAAAGAAATAACAAATGTAACAAACTGAGATATGCAACATAAGTTCTTAAAATTGTTGTTGGATGCTTCAGCTATTTAATGAAGTATGGAAGTTTCAGCTTGAAAAAGGCCATTGTTGATGTAAACTATAAGACCCAGTTTGGTATAAATAAATTTCATAATATTTTAAGGAATGCTTTTCGAATTTCATGGTTGATATGAAAGAAAACATTCATTTTACTCCTTGAATTCAATTTATGGAATTTGATAAAATTAAACCAAAGTCTATCATTTATAAATTAACTTGAAGTCAAATTCATTCACACCAAACAAGGATAAATGGGGCATGAACTTAACAAGAAGGCATATAAATGAGAATTGACAGAAGCCCAGGTGATTGCAGTTCAAAAACCACTGCAAATGTTCAGTATGTCCTGCATCTAAGTACTTTTAAATGATGAACTTTGCTTCAATTAGGAATTTAATCTACTCAAGCAGCAGTTCAACACTCTTCCTCCTGTTCTGTCTCTCTGTTTATACATGGTTTATTAATTAATTCAGTGAATTTCTTTTCCAAAAAGGCAAGAACTCCCAATAAGTATCAGGCCTAGCAATACATAAGTCATATGATTCTACTACTTAGCTTTACTTAAATACATTACCAATCAAAAGCATGACATTTTCTTCATTAGAGCTAAAAAACATATCAAATCAATGGGTGATTGAAAATATATACCAGCATACTCACAGACAAACTGGCCTTGACGAATCACCTGATCAGCATACAAGCCCCAACCTTTCCTCTCGTCTCTCGCAATCTTCAACTTAACCGAAATCCCTCTCTGAGTCAACCGATTCCCGCATTGAATCCCGCACGCACAACTCGGTCCGCACTCGCGCATTATTCCCATCTCCTGATCCTCCAATCCTAAAGTTTCACACCCAGACACACTTCCCTGGTCGCACCCATCACAATTGCAATCGCAACTACTTGGGCAACGTGAAGCGGCCACCGGGGAGGCGAAACGTGAAGAGCCCCAAGGTTGGCGGTGGAGGGGAGACTGTGAAGTAATGATTTGAGATTGGGTATAGAGAAAAAAGGCATATGGACGGTCATCGATTAGGTTGTGAAATGGGATAGGATGGCTCTCGTAGGATCTGGAAGCGTCAAAGGATCTTTGGAGAGTGATAGTTTTGGCGATTTGAGATAGGATTTTGCAGGTCAAGGAGATGCTGGCTAGCTCTTGTGGGATTAACCATGGGAGGATTAGCTCTGCGCATTGGATAAGTCTGTTATGCTTATTTGGGTTTTCTTCTTCGCTGGTGTTCTTTTTCTTCACTTGTTCTGTCATTTTTAAAGATTTGATTTTTTAGCAAAAACCGGGTCTTATCAGAAAGACAAAACAACAAGTGACATGTCGTTTGCAAATTGCAGCCTTTTTCAAGAATAAATGACAAGCGTTTGAATAGTCTAGTGAGTGTCGTGTTGAACGAGATTTAGCAAATTTCCGTCATCTCCAACAGTTCAATCACTTAAGCTTTTGCCTTTATTTTGATAACCGGTTACCTTTACCTCTACCTTTTCCTTTCTCTTAACCAAACTGAAATCAAAATGAACAAAAATTCCTCTCTGATTTTGGAACTGAAATCAAAATGTCTGTGGCTCTCAAGATTACATGAAAAATGGTTAATTTATAACAAAAATGATTAGTTAATATTACATAAGCAATACAATACGCTCTTGCTATAAACTCGACTATCAATAATATGTCAAAACTGGCTTTATTCTATGTACCATTTATCATCTATACATCAAAATGTGGTTACAAGACCTATGCCTAGCTCCTCAGCAAGCTCATCCCCTACCGGAAGGAGAGTCAACACAACTAGGAAAATAGCTGTGATAACAACTGCTTTCCTCCATGTTCCGACCTCTGTCACGTCATTTAAGCATGGTTTCTCTGGAGCCCTCTAAACAAACATTATCAGAAAGAATTGTGAGAAAGGATTTTTGAGATTGTGAGTTATGATACTTCATAATATCTATATAAGTTTTGTTTTGTTTATTTTTGTTTTTGCGTACCTGACATATCAAGACGTAGAGTCCCCATGGAAGTGATAACGGTCCCCCAAGCTGATACAAAGAGAATAGAAGAGATTTTAATAGCAGAAAAATATATCAGTGAGTATTAAAGAGGCCATAATGTAGTACTCTTGCGTATTCAAGAAGAAAGACCAAACTGCAATATAACATTGCCAAGAAGGTTTCATAATAGTGATATAATAGAGATTAGGCATACCACTCCCAAACCGAGCAATGTGTAAGTCGTCAAGCCTAGCCCAAATAGTGTATTTTTCCCAAAAGCACCCTGTAAAAGGAACAAAGCAGATGACATAGAAATTGAACTGACATGGAAATCAAAGAAACAAAGGAGATAACAGACTTATATCATGCCTAGATCAGGAAAGAAAGAGTATTACCTGTACAGCTCTTCCACCATCAAGGCAACCCACTGGAAGCATATTGAAAGCTGTTGTAGTTAAGCCACACCTACACAATAATTTATCTGCTAAACATACTTGAAAGTATAATATAAGAAAGTAAAGAAAGTTTCAATAATGGTAATTTTACCAGCCTGCAATCACTAGAGGATGGATAGAAACTGTTGCAGCATGCATTGCTCTGTGCATTTGCAACAGCAATTTGTAAGTGAAATTTCTATAGACCAGATATGCTAGACAAATACAAAAGGAAATCGGCATTTATGAATCCATGAATTTCTTCTTGGTTTGTATCCTGATGTTTCTTTTAATTAATGAAAAGTTATTGATGCACAAGAAAGACATACGCATAACCAAGAGTGGCTCTGCTGATGAGTCCAAGAAGCAAGGAGCCTTGAAACAGCATGCTAGGGACCTGCACTAAGTCTCCTGCAGCAGTTGGATTTGATGAGAGCAGCAGGCCAACAGCAAACATCGAGAAAGAGAGTGCAGCGCCGGCAAATGGACCAGCAAGTGAAATGTCAACTTTTGTGCTCCGATCAGGAAGAATAGATTTGAACTACAGATTCAAAATTGCTTATCAGCAATATATTAAATCATCTTCCTTATTCTTGTACCAGTACAAATAATTGTACACATTAGTTCCATATCTGAAGTTTCCCATAAATAATTGACCTGGGTGATGGCACCAAAGCTGCCAAGGGTGATGTTAGGAATGAAGAAAGGAATGCTTAGCTTTATTTTCTTTGGGAAAGCAGCAAGAAAGTGCCCAAGTTCCTGCATATAACCCAACATCATCACTTACAACGAACTGAAGCCATATATTAAAGCAAAAAAGACCAAGTGATTGAGTTTGAAAGATAGATAGGAAGAAGATTGATCTATAAATTGGTTGGCATAAATGCTAAAGATTAAAGAAGTACAATGACATGAGATCTCACAACATTCTGGCTCAAAACATGTGCATGTCATCTGGATATTAAAAAAATGAGGAAACGATTTCATACAGGTTTGATACAAACCCCATCAGCTTTAGCACAACTCAAGACATCTTAACCATTCTAAGGAAAAAAAAAAAGGAGATTCACTTACATGAAATAACAGAATTCCCAATATGCCATAAGCTAAGGGCAAAGCTGACTCCACAAATGGGAATAGTAGTTCCATATCTGGTGGTTCAACGGCATTTGGATCTGTAAAGTACTTCACTACCTCTGGAGGAAGACGATTGATCTGCTAGGACACATAAAAATTAGTGAAAGATATATGCATAACCAAAGAACGCATTTGATTGTATTACATTACATTTTATTGCAGCTCACCAAATGTAGCATAAGTACTGATAACCTATCCAGGGCATCCATAATGACACTAAAATTTGAACATGTGCAAGCATGTAGATTTGATACAATGATACAGAAAACGTACTAGCAATTAGCTCACCTGAGATGCAATTCCTAATTCCACGGATGAGCCAATGGTTAATAGGAATAGCAAAAGAGCAATCACATATTGCCAAAGGGTTGTTGGCCCCGGTTCTGATACCTCTTTCCGTAGCAAACCAAAGCTAACACGTGGCCCTCCACGGGGGTCTGGTCCATCTGAATTGGGTTCCTCCACCATAAAAAGGTTGTATTTATCACCTGTGACCTCAACCAGCTGATTCTGGAGCTTGGCAAAAACATCTTCTCTATTTCCCCTTAAATTACCAAGGAAAAGAATGCCTTCACCAAAGTCTCCAAATGGCTCTTCTTTTGTTACCCAGAAGGTTGAATAACCAAAAAGCTTGTCCTTTATTAGCTTTACATCAGTTGGATCAACCTTCTCAGGTCCAAGAAGCTCCATCAATTTGAAAGAGTCAACTTGGAAATTGTTGTAAGCTGGTCCAACTGGAGATACAGATGGCGGCTGAAGTAATAAAACACCAATAATCAAAAGTTACCATATGCTATATTGTACGAATGTTTTCATTTACATATACTTGTCAATTCCCATTTCAGTAATCATCTTATTACACCTAAAACAGACTCTGCATTGGGGCAAACTTACTAGACTTTTAGGTTTTCTTTAAAATGGAGGGGCAACAAAAATAGAGGACATACTGATGGAAGCTTATCTAAATTTGACTGTTCAAAAATATTGGCATTGCCACTGACCAAATTACCGAACGTGGTGTTGTAGAAAAGCATTTCCAAGTTAGTGAAATGAATACAAAATTTGTTCACATAATCTAAGTGAAAATGCTTCTAGTTTTGTTTAAATGTGAGCAGACTGTATCCAAAAACTGAATAGAATTTGGATTTCACTATACATAAACACAAATATATAAATTATTGATTTCGAATAAGCGAATATACGCAACTTGAGTTTCAGGCTAATTCTCTTGCAATTCCTAAGCGCTAATGCAAGAAAATTAAAAAATAAAAGAAACGAAAAGAAAAAAAAATTAAAAAAATAGAATAAAGAAGAAGGAAAGAATTGTACCGTTGAAGAAACAGAAGTAGTTGTCTTATCGGACCCAAAGTCACTGCCGCCGCCGTTCTTCTCTTCCGACGACGCCGTTTTGACATTGGAATCTTTAATATCATTCTCACTGTTATTATTCTTATTGTTATCTAAATCGCTATGACTATCATTATTAGTGCTAAAACACCTAATTGTACTGAAATTTGCAAACGAAATTTCCCTCTTTGAAATTCCTCTGCACAAGAAGCATGAAATGGCTTTGTTCTTTTCCTTCTCCTTGAGGTAAAAAGAAGGAAATCTCTCCCGGGGAACTGAACGGAGTCTCAAATTCAGGGTGCTAAAACTACAGCTTGTGAGAGTTCCCATGCAATAGAAAAGAAAAGTCTGGCAAATGAAAGTGAAAAACCTAAAAACAATTGTATAAACGGTGGAATTGAAAGAAATGCAGTGACGAGCTCCTGTGGGTGTGCGAGAAGTATATCTGGTTTGCCTTGCAGAAATTTTTAAAAATATCTTTTTCTTTTTGCCATTTTTATTTTTGTTTTCGATAATGAATTTCTTTTTTCTTTTTTGTTTTTGGTTTTGGTTTTCCACCGTGGAAAAAGAAAGTGAGAAATGGATTTTTGAGCTGCACGTAAGTAGTTATGCTTTTGTATTTGGGCCACTGGTCCCGTTAAGAACACCCTTCGCTTGGAGTAAAATATTCTATACCGTTATTCAATTAAAATTGCATTTAATTACCTTACGAAATTCTCAAACACATATTCAATTCAAGAACTTACTCGATTGTCATGGATTGAACAATATTTTTTGGTGGACTAACCTAAGGCAAATATGATTTAACTCTAATTCAATAATTCTAATTTAATGGGCTAGAAATAGCTGTGATTAATATTAGTGTCAGGCTTGTTGCTTGATCAGCGTGCGTTAAGTCAATATCGGGAAAGCGTCCAGCCCCAAAAGAAAAATGAACTTATTAAATTATACCTATTATAACCCTTTTATTTAACAATATTAAACCTTTCAACTTCTATATCAATAAAAAAATAAACCTAAATTGATTGAAGGTGAATGATAAATACAATAATAACATAACGTGTGAAAAAAAATTACCATTATATATAGGCTTAACTTAACAAAAACAAAAACGTAAAAGAAAATTCGGTCAATCTAACCCAGCTTAAAATTTTAACACTAACATGAAGTGCGACATATTTCGACTTGTTATCTAATATCAGATAACACTAAAATATGTACATTAAGAATGCAACAAATAAATTTCATATAAATTTATAGAATTCAATAAATCATCACTCAACTTGTAAGCAACCTCGAAAAATTGCATTTGGAATTCGATATGGTGTCCTTTTCATACAAAACACACTGTTAATGTTGTTTTGTCTGTCATGTGGAACCCTTATTTTCATGAATCATGAGCTTCATAACAGTTGATGCTCAATATCTTAAAATGTGGTCTAGATTTTGAGGCTATTGAAGTTTAATCTTAAATAAGCCTATCTGCAATTTAGCACTGAAAGAATGACAAGGAAGCAATAATATCAATATCCTCTTCAAGGCAAAAATTAAATCTGACAAAAATCATCTCATTTACCGCTAGGAGCCCTTGCCCTCTTCTGGTGCCGCCTTAGAACCTATAGCCGAATCCATTTTCTTTTCATCCACAGTTGAATCGGATTTATTTGTTGTTTTTTCCTCATCTGATTTCTTTCTGGCCTCCTCTTCAGCCTTCTCTGCCTGCAAAATTGGCTCATAATAATTGGCATGAGCCTCCATACACTTTTTCAAGGCCCCAGTCACCTCAAAGCACTTCTCCACTATATCCTCGTTGTTGTTCTCGGCCTCTTCAATGCAATTCTCCCATGCTATAAAGGCATCTTTGCACCCACCCCCTTTCATGAATAAACAAAATCCACATTCTCCCACCTCTTCTTCTTCTCCCTGATTTTCATCTCCACTTTCTTGACTGGGTTTCTTTGATTCATCTAATCTTTGTTCAGTTTCAGGACCTGAAAAAGGACATAGAATGTTTTAATGAATATGGCAGCAAGTTAATTTTATGAGTGAAGGTCAGATTTGTTGTTTGAAGAGAACTCACCTCCCATGGTTGCTAAACTAACAGCTAAAATATATCTTGAGGCTGGTAAAAGCTGGACAAATTTGCAATCTCCAAACTGCAGGGGAAAAAATAAGGTTAAGAGATGACATACATCAAACGATATTGTGGTTAGCAAAAGTAGTTTGTACATCAGTTTCCACACTGCTTAGCAAAAGCCTAGAAAATAAGCTCCTCTGTTTCTCAAGTGCTTTTACAATGTATTCAAATGAAAGCAAACATTAACCGAAAGTAACTGAAGTCAGTAAGATGAAAATCAAACAAAGAAGCAAGAAAATCTGTTCTTGGTCTCATTAGATGCTAGATGTCCCACAAAACGTAACAGAAAGTTAAGTGACAAATTGACAGTCTTTACCGTGATAATATACTATTTGGGTTAAGTGTAAGAAAATTTCCACCTAAATTCACCCTAAACCTAAGTTCTGCGCATCTTTAGTAAGACATTCCCTATCAGCTATCAAGTTAAACATCAGCAGGTCCAAAATCTAATAAATCTTTCAATTACAGACATGGGTTGCATAAAACTCTTCATGGAACAGCAAAAGCACACATATTAGCGCATGCAAATGTGGTACGAGATATGGAGACAACAAAAAACAGAAAACAAAGCCTATTCACAAAAGAAAAGACACACACATATACAGACTATGTATTTCTCAAGAAAGTGAACTTATTTAATGTAGAGAGAATGAAGCCTCATCTTTAATGATTTGAGAAAGCTATGTATGTTAATTCATAGAAAGAGAGAGAGAGAGAGAGAGAGAGAGAGAGAAGAGAGAGAAACAGAGACTATTCTTATCTAGGGTCTAATTTTGTTGAGAAGATGAGATCCAAGGAGGGTGGGGGCAGAATCCATTGAATCTAAGTTGATTCAGTCATTTACAGGGAATGGCTAAAAAAAAATATGAGAAAAGCAACATAAAGGGGGAACAGTCCTATTATCTTGCTTCCAAAGAAGTGACAAGTAAACCTATGTTTTCTCTGCACAAAAATGGTAATGATAACGACATTTCATTGTTGGTAGCACAATTAAGGTTTTGGTTTAATATGTCAGAAACTTAAATTAACTATTGGGTTGAAAATTTGGTAATTTTGTTGTTTGAAAAAAAAAGTTCTGAGATCCAAACGCTTAATTGTGTGTGAAAAAACAGTTTCTGAAAAGCAAAACCCAGTCCACCATGCATTTAGGCTAAATCAGGTTTCCAACATTAACAAACACTAAATGCGTTTATAATTGGACCCAAGCATGCAATTGTTGACCCCAAAATATTTTGAATACTATAATCCAGTTTTGTTGCTCAAATGACCTTGCTATTTTCAAGAATTCTTTAGACCCAAGAGAGCATGAAGGAGGTCCGCATATTTGATGGGGCCATACTGAAACTTTAGCCATGATAGGTTCACCTACAAAATAGGATTAAGAGAAAAAAATGTAAAAGGAAGCCAATTAACTTTCTATCATAAATGAAAGTGCATTAGATTTATAACATGTAGTCTATAAATAAAGCTAGGATTACAGTAACTACTTCGTTCACATATGGCCAAAAGGCATTATTCTCCACCATCCACCAAATTTCAACACCTATGCTATGACAATCCTATGAACTTTAAGCAATTCTTCCATTTATTGCAATCCTGCTTGATCACGTCTAAGTTGATCTTTAATCAAAATCCTAAAACTTCACACCTCTATCTCCACCTTCATTATTCAGGCTTTTAATCCATTTCTCTCATTTGTAGTTGGTATGCATCCTTGAATTTTTACATCTAAATCAATAAAAAGTTAAACAAATTCTTAAGCCCACATGTGCAATGAGTTGTTTGAAAACAGATCATTATTGTTTCGAACATATTGATGATCAAAACAAGTTATCTTTCAGAGGCTATGACTTTTGGATCTATTCCTTTGTGTCATGAACTAAACTGAAAAAGATGAAAATTGGTAAGCACATCAATAGTATTTACCAGTTACTTGTTGTTCATAGTAGTTGTATCTGTTCTATTGCCATCCTGGCATATACTAGGAAGGAGCTATAAAGAAACACACAAAGTAATTGCGCAGCCAGTTGCACACCCACAGCCACATGCAAGACAATTATTAAACCAGCCACGAATACAGAAAATCGCAAACTCAGACAACTTAGTAAACCAAGTATTTCAAACTTAAATTTCATCATTAAACGGCGTCCTGCTAATATAACATTCACATTAGTGTCAGTCATGGCTTAGTTCAGCAGTGGAAAAAAGCATCTTTTAACAACTCAGTTAGTAACTCGTCCAACTTGCATCAGAACACATTTTCATCTTATAAACTGGCGGTGAAAAAGAATGACATAACATAGTTCAGTACCAAAAAAAAAAAAAAAAAAAAAAGACATAACATAGTTCAGTACCCAAAAAAAAAAAAAAAAAAAAAAAATGCTCCAAAAAAAAAAAAAAAAAAAAAATGCTCCAACACAGAAAATCAATCAAAAACAGAGACGGTGAACAGAAAAACTCGATTAAATCTCACGGGCATTCAAGTAAAAAGTATAAGCATCAAAATTCCAGCAATAAATCCAACATTACTCACTTAAAAAATATAAAACTAAAAAATTACACTAACATTCCAAGAGAACCACTTTCTGGAAATTTCAGAAACCATTGCATTATTGAGGATCCTTAAACCCTAACTAATATTCAAGGTTTTTCATTTTTCTGGGAGCCCCTTTTTATTCGTGTAATCCGGTCAAAACATGTTATTAGTAGCTGAATTTAAGCGAGTTTCACTGATGATCTCTATAGAAACAAACAAAACTGATCAAGCTGAGATAGATAGAGAGATACCTTTGGCTGCGCTGAGAAGGAAAAGCGAAGCTGTAGCTGCAGAGAGATTCGACAGAGAACAATAAGCAGAGACATCGTTTGTTTTTCTTTTACTCACAGCTTATGAGGGTACTCAAACGACATGCCGTCAGAGACGGTCGTTCGTGTCGTTCGAGTATTCTCAATTTCTTGTTCAAACAAATTTCTAATTCTGGTATCTGACTTTACGTGTTAATTTAAACGACGTCGGAAAACTAATAAACGACTTTACGCGTTAATTTCTTGTTCAAATCATATTTCTAATTCTGGTATCTGACTTTATGCAATATAAAATAACAACTTTATGATTTTATAATATTAAATAAATAGGAAAATTAATAACACAAAATTAAAAAATACAATTTATTGGTGTGATGATATGAAAAAAAAAACTTTAAAAAATGTCATAAAATTAAAAACTTTTAACATAAAATTGCATAATTTAAAATCAAACACGAAATTAATGAATAAACATTAATTAATCATCCATAAATAAAATAAATCAATTTGTTTTATTTTTTTTCCGTATTGTGATTACAATTAAAATAAAAAAAAGGAAATAAAATATTTTTTTTTCTTTTATAAGTGTAATAAAATTTATCTCTGTCACTCTTCAATATAATAGCAAGCTAATACTTTTTATACGTTGCTTTATAATCATCCCGAGAGATTTTATGCAATGCTAGAAATAGCATGACATCAATGCTAACCTTGAAAGATTAAAACATGCTTAGAGCATGCAAATTGAAACTCTGAAAATATATTCAAGTAAATTATAAAGATTTCTATACAAATTCAGAAAATCTGTCGCAAAGATGGTATAATCGCCTTAAAGAAATGACTATAGTAGAAAACATTGAAAACAAAATATATATATATATATATATTAGAATAATCCAATACTCCCTGACTTAGTTAAAAAGATCAAATTACTTCCGGAGATCTACTTGTTAATTTGTTAATACTATTATTTAAGAGAAATAATATTGCATTTCTTGTAAAATATACACCTTAATGATCATCTGTGCATTGCTAATTACTTGATATATATTTTTATAATGCTATGCTACTATATAATATAAATTCTTGATTAGTAGTTGACATCAAATAATAATGAGGGTGTGGATCTTTTTGCAGTATATACGGCGATAATTAAGCCACTTAAATAGGAAAATTAATATTCCACAATCGGATTATTTATTATTTATTATTTGAGTTTGTTATTTAATTATTCTAGTTTTTAGTTCAATTAGTAAAACAGTACTAATAATATTTTACGGTCCTCAGCTATTTAGGATTCTTCATGTTAACCTTCACAATTGTTTATATATTATTTATAAAAAGACATTATATATAAAGTCAACGCATGCGAATTTATCATATATAAATTTTTATTATGTAATAATACTATATTCCACTATAATATGGCACGATTGTAAAATTACGTTTATAAAATAAACTAACTTATGATAATTATTAATTAACAAGCGCCATTACGCGGGGTTACATGTTCTGATATTCTAACTTTCTGACATTACCAAGTCCACGCAATTTGAACAAAAAAAACTGTGTGAGCAGAGCGCGCCTTACTTGCTTGTCCAATTCAGTCTCTCCATTTCCTGAAACTACAAAGCAAAACTGAATACAGAACAGCGGGAGAGAGACTTAGGGAGAGCGGGTATCAGTAATGGGCTCCTCGTCTCCTCCTCCTCCTCCTCCTCCTCATTGTCTTAATGGGCTCCTCGTCTCCTCCTCCTCCTCCTCCTCCTCATTGTCTTCTTATAACTCTCACGCTGTTGTTCTTGACTCTCTCACGTGCCCTTCCGGCTACCGCTCTGAAAGGTGTTTTTTTCTCTATTTTCAGATTTTGGTCTTGCGTTCTGCTTCCGTTACTCTCGTTCTTTCTTGTGTGGTTAAACTGCACGTTTATGATTTTTTTTCTTTAGTTGGGCTGCAGAGAAATTTTGGGAAGCAAAAGAAAATAAATCAAAGTACATGTACTTGTCGGGTTGGTTTGTTTTAATGGGTATCAAATGGGCAGTTAGTTCTTCGATCTGATCTGCTGTGTTGGTAGAATGGAGGCATTAATTAAAATCTGTTTCATTTTAGTAAAAAAATGGTAGGTATTAGTTTTCTTTATTTAAAGTAATTCGTTAGCCAAGAGCTCTTTTTTTCAGTTTGTAGGTTCCAAGTCAGGCTTGTTTGAGCATCTTGATTATGAATGTTGAGCCATATGACTATCAGTTATGGACCCGTATGGTTCGCAGTTAATGTTTGCTACTGTAGTTGCAGTAACGGGTGCTTTTTGCATTTGCTGCTCTTTTTGGAAGGATTGGACGTGAATTTATTAATAATTTCTGGTGTGCGAGGCTCTCAACTGGGAAACAAATTTTCTTGTGTTTATTTGTCTATATTCTTCTGATGTTCCGTTTAACTATAGCAACTTTTTGATTTATTTTTCTTGTTTTGTGTTGTTATAGAAAATGAGTTAAAAGCTCAAGATCTCTTTTTATAGTCATATTGATCTGTATTCTTGTTGAATTATATGAATGACATTGTTTAGTTGAATTGGGTTATATTCTGCCCAATATGAAGAATTTGATTCTTGTATCTTTTGGTCATGTTTTGTACTTCTTTTTGTGGCTATAGGTGTCGACCTTGGAAATCCAACTATAGCTGTCAATCCATCCTTACTGATTGGACGCTTGCCTATCAGTAGTAATTCAAAAGATGCTTTATACTGTGAACGAGTAAAAGTAAGTGGCCACTCAAGATTAGAGCTTGGGAGTTATCCTAGTTCCTTTCGAGTTACTTTGGTTCCAGCTACTGTAATCCCGGAGAGATTGCATGGCAAAATTCAGGTTTGTTTTCACCGGTAAGTGAAATTTCTCGCTGCTCTCTCTCTCTCTCGCAATTTGGTAAACTTCGTATTTTGAAATCAAAGTTTTTTTTCACTCTGTAAATGTTTGCAGGAATGCCTCCCTTGGATTATGTCATTGTGAAAAGGATGAATGGAAAGCTGTTCAAAAGGGACTGTGGAGCTCTGTCATGTCACCCTATGAGGAAAGATATGTTGATGTGAAGTTCACTGGTGAAATTTCTGGTTCTGTCACAATCGCTGTTCAAGAAGGTTTGGCGCCCCCTTCTCCTCCTCATTCAATTTCTCACATGTTTTGTACTTATATTTTCTTGATTGGTATTCATTTGGAATGTATGGGCAGATTCGCAGCAATGGCGCCTCTTGTGTCTAGCAGTGGGGTTTCTTTTATTACTGCTGGCACCAATTCTCAGCTGCTGGGTTCCTTTCTATTATAGCACCTCGATGACTATTGGTGTTTTGGTTGTTGTTATAATCATACTTTTCCAGGTATTTAAGTTTGGTAATGCTGTTTTTGCATCTTCTCCTTCAATTTGACTTTGCATAAACACTGGTTTGACCAAAATACTAAATAAGTTTTACCTTACCTTGCATATTGTTTTTTTGATTTAATAAAACAAAACCATCTTCTGAGTATCAAAATTTTTCTTTTAAAGATTTTTTTTTTTCCTTTAGCATATTGTATAAGACGCTATGACTGAGTTACTATTTACCAGTGTACAATTTGCTTATAAGCCCAGTTTTTATTTATTTTTCTGAGTTGAAAATTTGAGAATTATCATGGCCTTTATCATGAGTTGTGTTTGGCTAAGTTGATTAAAAAGTAGTATCCTTAGAGGCTAGAGCTTATAATGAACTAATGAAGAACCTCAATATTTTGTTGGATTTGAGTTATGATTTAGGAACTAACGTTGTTGGTTGGAAAAAATAAGAATTGGTTCTAATTTTAGTACGTGTCTTGGTTTACTGAATGGAAAAAATGCGAAGTTCCGGCATTATCTTTTTCCCTGTAATTTAAGGGGTATGGAAATCAAAGAGCTTCACTTGGTATATTTGATGCTGAAATTGACTGATACCAATTATGTATGAGTAAACAGTTGTACATGCTTGTGATTTTTATCTGGATTTTGATCCTGCTTTTATTCTTGCTTTGTAGCTTTCCATTAAATATATAGAATTGTTACTATTTTTTTACTTGGTGCAATCTTTTAGGGAATGAAATTATTGCCAACTGGAAGGAAAAATATCTTCTATCTTTCCATATATGGATCAGTGGTGAGTTTTCTTTTACTTTAGCTTTATATGTCATTTAATCTGCAACGCATTAAGGCTGACTATCCAATTTATGGTTGCAGCTTGGAGTTAGCACTTTTGTTTTACATCACATTTCGATGCTGGTAAATTCCATTCTCATCAACTTTGGGCTGAGTAAAGGGATGCACAATCCAGTAAGTTGTTGCCTTAAATAGATTTGACCTAGTATTTGGGTGTTTACGTACATCAATATTTCCATATCAGCTGAAAAAAAAAGAAAAAAAAGAAAAATCTTACATGTAATTCCATATAGATAGTTCATGAATAAAGGCAAATCTGAATACTAAAATACTTTTCTTTCTTTATTTTTTCTTGATTTCATTAAGTTTTTTCATTAGTTTTCTGTCTAACAGATACGCGACCATGGAACATTCTGTTGTTTCCATGTTTTGGCAGGTGTATGTCTCTGTATTGGTCGGGATCGTTCTTGCAGGAGCTGCTTTAGGGTACTGGATTGTGAGGAAATTTGTGATATCAAAAGATGGAAATGTAGATGTTGGTGTAGCCCAGTTTGTGAAATGGTCGATGCGCATCATTGCAACTATTTTTATTTTGCAGGTGTGCTACTGCATTCATTTTGATTATTTTGCTTCACATTATACTTGCGATGGTGTTTATGTTGCTTGAATGCCCCAAAAAATGAATAATGAAAATGTTATACATTTGCTTAGCATTTTATAGTTGTGCACCAAGCTTCATGGATTCATTTAAAAAATAAATGATGCTATTTCAGAAGCACTTCTTTTGACTATGCATGAGTAGCTTGAGACCAGGAATTACTGCGAAGTTAGAAATAATATAAATACTCCTTTATTTATTTAATTTATTTTAAGGCTTGAACATAGACCTGCAATTTTGGGGATCTGGTCCAACCAACCTGAGCTTCAACAGTTGTGGAAAGGCTTTCCTTAAATGTTATTTATAGTTAATGTGGTTATTCATTTACTCTATACTTTTCTTTTAAAGTGCTCAAGTTAGCCTGGCCATTGAAATTGGATTGGATGGATGAGATTAGATATTGGTTTCTGTCGTTTTAAGTACAAATTGTGTCATTTGCTAGGTTGTACTTTGTGTTAAATTTTACTCGCCATACCCTGCCTAAGACGTCTTGTGCAACTAGTTTGGACCCATTCCCTTCTGATAAGAATGCCATGTGTATTTTCCTATGAATTCACAGCTGAGCCTGCCAACCTGCTTCTCACAGCAGACGATGTAGCACAAGCTTTTGTCCATGCAAAATATAATATATAGCTTTCTTCTTTTGATCATGGTTGCTTTCTTCATTATATAAGCTCATTTATGTGCTATACACGCATAAATGAAATTTGATTCTGATGATAAAGAGTCCTCATAAGTTTGATAATTAGTATGTTATAGTTACTTCAGGGCCAAAATTCAATAGTTCAATCATTTTCTTTCGGTGTTTCACTGTATTGTTTTATCACTCGCTTTAAAAACAATTCACCTATGGTTTTGTGTTTCTTTCTCAGAGCACTGTTGATGCTCCATTCGCAATGGCTGCGTTGCTTTCTTCATATGCTATCTGCTTTCTTATCAATGCAACGAGTCGGCGTCATCAAGTGTAAGTTCCCATAAATCCTCCTTTATAGGGTTTCTTTTTGATGGGTTTAACAATGGATCAACGTCTCTTTGTTTGGTAAAGACTTGCAATGGCGAATCAAACAGTTTGCGCACTATTCGAGGCTAGACTCAATAAAAAAGCTCATCTCATTCATATGGTTCCTCTCCGCCGCTCTCTGGTTCTCTCTTTCTTCTTCCTGAATCCACGGACAAATAATAATGGTCGTTTTATACAAAAAAAAAAAAAAAACTCTCCTTTCTTCTTCCTGAATCACGGACAAATAAATTAATGGGTCGTTTATACAAAAAAAAAAAAAAATTCATATATAATGAAAAAAAAAAAAAAAAAATGTCATATAATAATGAAAGATTATAGATTACTGATCTTTAAAAATGCATTTTTTTAAAAGTTATTTTAATAAAATCACAGTTTGGAAAGCGTTAAGAGGACTAGTTTTAGTTTCTTGAATAATGATTTGCTAAGTTTTACATATTAAGAGTTCCTTAAGCCTGAATGATGTTAGAGAGTTAGTGTAGCAAAAGGATAGAAGATAGTCTGAACACATATTGCTTCGTGTTTGAAAGTTTTGTAGCTGTTATAATTATAATAAAAAAAAATAAAAGGAATGAAAATTATTTTGTTACTAATACCTTATTAATACTTAAATTTATATTATTAAAAATTTACACTTTTTTGGTTCTATTATTAAGGATATTTATATTATTAAAATTTTACACTTTTTTATTCTATTATTAACCGACGTCTTAGATCTAATGTTGCCATTAGATGGATAAAGAGACAAATAAACACAGGGGCTCATGTATATTCTTGCTAGAGCCTCCTAAATTTATGGTGGTTTCAAGGAGTGGGATAGTCCCCTCGATCAAGAGTTATTGCCTTTTTATTCTAATTAGCGAATTGGTTTTCCCTTTAAAAAAAACAATTTTACACTTTTGTTGTGGTGCTCTATGTCTTTGCTTGCTTGGGGGTTTACGAATAGCAATGGGTAGTGTAGTGGACTAAAGAACATGAAGAGGAGAATATTACATTTGTCAATATATAAGAAGACAGTTTGAAAGCTGATTATTTATCATCTTTATGAATTGAAACCAGATAGTAAACAGGGTTTATTTTGTCCAACTTTTTCAAATTTTGGAGGTTGATACATGGTTTATTTTTTACTTTTCAAATCACATGATCTTTATGTGTATTATTATTTTTTTTTTTGTTGTTGGTTGCCATTTCAATTGTCAGCAGTGGGCTGATGATGCAGTTTGTCAATGTTCCCTTCATTTAAAATGTTACAAGGCATAAATTTTGATAATATCGATATCTATATTACTTGTTTTTATTTTTAACAGGATGTCAAAGTCACCTATTGAACAATTGCCTTCCAACAATCTTCTTTTTACTCGATATTCATCTGCAAATGATGCGGAGCAACTTGTGCTTCAATATATGGAGGACTTGAATCGCTGCAAATTGAAGAAAAGGGCGTATGGCCGTGTCACTTCCAGCACGCCCGTGCTAGATTCTAAGAATCTAGGACACGCCTGTGTCAGGTCAAGCACGCCCATGCCAGCCTTTGAAAGTCCAGGGAACGAGACATGCTCAAGTCTAAGGAACACAGGCACGCCCGTGCCCCAATCAGTCTACCCGTGCTAGCCCCTAAGAATCCAAGCACGCCTGTGCCAACGAGTCCAGTTATGATTCGAGTTCCGGCACGTCCGTGTCATGCCAAGCACGCCCCGTGCTATCCTCTGGGAGTCCAAGCACGCCCGTGTCGCTGTCCTTACTAGGGTTTTGTTTAATTACGATTTTTAGTGATATTTTTAGGGTCTAAATGTTTTAGTCTAAACCTATAAATAGGTTATTTTGTATTATGAGAAGACTGAATATCTTTGATTATTATTCATATCAATAAACTTCTTTGAGAGTTTATTTCACTATTTTATTCGTTAGATCAAACGTTATTGATCGAAACTCCTAACGGAGTATAATCGTTATTGATCGGAAACTCCTAACGGAAAGTATAATCGTTATGCCCATTCGCATAACCTCTTCTGCGTCAGCAAAATCCAGTTAACCTATAAATAGGTTATTTTGTATTATGAGAAGACACTTAATATCTTTGATTATTATTCATATCAATAAACTTCTTTGAGAGTTTATTTCACTATTTTATTCGTTAGATCAAACGTTATTGATCGAAACTCCTAACGGAGTATAATCGTTATTCCCATTCGCATAACCTTTCTGCGTCAGCAAATCCAGTTATGGATGATACTATAATAATTGTTAATAAAGAAAATATGGACAAAGATAAATATACTACTTTGACAACTGATGGGGAACCAAAAAATTCATTTGTTTCAAAGAAGCATAAGCAGACTTCTAAATTTTGGTCCGAGTTTAAAGAAGTTACACTTTCTGATGGAACTATTAAGATAGAATGCCTTCATTGTAAGACTAAACTTAAAGTTAATCAAACTAGTTCCACAAGGCACCTTCTTAGACACATGAACAATTGTATAGTGAGGAAAGGGAAAATGAATGGACAACAATAACTTAGTGTTGCCACAACTTTAGTTGAGATGGACAGTGTGACTTCTGTTTGGAATTTCAAATATGACCAAGCGAAGATAAGAGAATACTCACACATATAGTTCTTATTCATGAGTTGCCATTTGCCTTTGCTGAGTATGATATGTTTAACCTACTTATGAAAACTGCAACTCCATATCATGAAAAGATCAGTTGTGCAACTGTAAAAGAAGATTGTTTCTCCACTTATGAAATTGAGAAAAAAAGAATTAAGGATTTGCTAAAGGATGTTGACAAAGTCAATGTTACTACATATTTATGGAAGTCGGTGCAACATATCTCATATATGGTTGTTACTTGTCACTTTGTTGATTCAAATTGGCAATTGCAAAAGCAAATATTGAACCTTATTGACATTCCACCACGTCATACAGGAGTTGTTATTTGTGATGCACTACACAAATGTATAGTGGAATGGGAAATTGAGGATAAGGTATGGACTATTACTGTTGATAGTGCCGCTTATAATGATGTTGCTATTAGATTGTTGAAAGATAACCTTCTTTACAAGAATTCTCTTGCACTTAATGGTAAATTATTTCATGTGAGATGTTGTGCGCATATATTAAATTTACTAGTACAAAATGGGTTATCTGAGATAGATGATATAGTTCAAAATGTGCGTGAAAGTGTAAAGCATATTGTAAAAACTGAGAGCCGTTGTTTGATTTTTAGTAAAATTGCAAAGCAATTCAAATTGCCTTCAAAGAAGCTTATTTTGGATTGTGGCATAAGATGGGATGCAACATATTTCATGCTATCTGCTGCATTGGAATATAAGGATATTTTCACTCGATATGCTAAAGGAGACCCGAGTTACATTTACTTATCTAGTGCGGAAGATTGGAGAAAAGTTAAAGAAGTTTGCTCTTTTCTTCAAGAATTCAATGAGGTAATCAATATCATTTCAGATACTGAATATCCAACTTCAAACTTGTTTCTTCCTGAACTTTATAATATTAAGAAATTATTCAATGAAACTCATGTAAATGGAAATATTTACATGAAAGTCATGGTTAACAAGATGAATGATAAATTTGATAAGTATTGGGGTGATTGTAATTTGTTGATATCTATAGCGACTGTCTAGGATCCAAGAGTTAAAATGAAAGTGATTGAGTAGATTTTTGCAGAGATATATTCTGAGTATGATACTATAGAGCATAAGGTTACAGTTTGAGAGACTTTAAATATGCTTTACAATGAGTATGTTGAAGCATATAGAAAAAAGAATATTGAGACTGATCAAGTTACTGGTAATGAAAATCAAAGAGAATGATATGATTCCAATGGTAGAAAAGTGAAGGTGAGTAGGAGAGCAAAGAGGTTTTATAGTCAAATAAGAACTATTGATACTGTTGTAGACCAGGTGAAGTCTGAATTAGATATGTATTTGGAAGGAGTTCATATTTGTGAAGATGATGAAACATTTAATGCATTAGAATGGTGGAAGGTGAACAAAATGAAATTCGGAATTTTATCAAAAGTGGCGCGTGACATACTTTCAATACCCATCACAATTACAATCAGTAAATCTACTTTTAATGCTAAAGGCGAAGTTGTTGATCTATATAGATCATCTTTGACAGTAAATACTGTTCAGGTTTTAACTTGTGGGTCTGATTGGTTGCGATCCTTATACGGGATAAAGCAAAAAAAAGAGTAAGCACGCTAACTATTATATTTCAGTCTTCAATATACATTATTAGTGCCATAACATGAATTAGTAAATTTTAATTGTGTGTTATTGATGTAGGACAAGGAGGATATTCAAAAGATTATACTACCATAGTAATATGGTTTAGAAATCCATCTTCCAGGTATAATCTTAATCCATCCAAGACTAATGTAGTTTAATTTTATGCATCAAACAAATAATATGTGATAATTATGAATTAGATTAAAATATATTTAGTAGAAAAAAAAATGTAGTACATTTAAAGTATATTAAACAAAAAAATGTTGTTGTTTGATTGATGTGAAATCTTCATTTATCTATAATTCACTTAGGTATAAAACTCAAAAAGTAGATTTTAGCAGAAAAAAAAAAAAGAATGTTTCCTCATTAATAATTGTAACTATTATTATTTTCATTTTAAGAAGTACATTGTTATTTGTTAATTTATTTTTATTTTTATTTTTTTTGTAGAAGGAAAATGCAACTATGTTCTTGGCTTTTTATTTTATTTTATTTTATTTTATTTTTTTTATGGAGGGGCAACGTAGATATGATGGTTTAAGTGTTTAAATAGTATTTTAAGATTTTATAGAAATTACAACTATTTAATTTTATTTGATATGTACTTTTGTAATGAGTTATTTTGCATAGAATTAATTATATATTTTTAAAGCTTGATTAAGACTATTTATGTTTGACGTACAAAATTATTGTATTATTCAGCATTTAAAAACATTTACTGAAATTTTTGATTAGAAATAACATTGACTGAAATTGCATGGAAATTTCTCTTTTGAACAATTTCTTATTATGGTATCTGATTTTACGTGTTAATTTAGACGATGTCGTTTATGGAAATAATCAAAGAGAGGCGGTAGTTTGGAATACAATGCTTAGCGAAAACGCAAATAGAAGACAAAACGCAGCGTATTATGTCTATATAACTTTCTGACATTACCCAGCCCAAGCAATATGAATAAAAACCGAGTAATTAGAGCGCGCTTTCTTGGCTGTCCAATTCAGTCTCTTCGTTGGATCGAAAAAAAAAAAAAAACAAAGAAAATTCAGTCTATTCATTTCCTTAACCCACAGAGCAAAACTGAAGGGCAGCTGGAGAGAGACATAGAGAGAGCAGTACCAGTAATGGGCTCCTCGTCTCCTCCTCCTCCTCTTCCTCTTCTTCGTCTTCTTCTAACTCTCGCGCTCTTGTTCGTGAATCTCTCACGTGCCGTTCATGCCATGGCTCTGAAGGGTATTTTTCTCTATTTTCAATTATTGGTCTGGCATTCTGCTTCCCTTGCTCTCTCCCTTTCTTGTGTGGTTAAATTGCATGTTTGATTCTTTTTTCTTTTCATTTGAGCTGAGGAGAAATCTTGGGAAAGGAAAAGAAAATAAATCAAAGTACATATAATTGTCGGGTGGGTTTGTTTTAATGGGTATCCAGAAGGGCAGTTAGTGTTTGATTCCAGCGATCTGCTCTGCCGTGTTGGTAGAAGGGAGTGTATTAAAATCTGTTTCATTTTAGTAAAAACAAAAAAAAAAAAAGGTGTGTTTTAGTTTTCCTTTATTTAAATTATTTAGTTAGCCAAGAGCTTTTTTTTTCCCCTAAAAGTTTGTAGGTTCCAATTCAGGCTTGTTTGAGCACCTTGATTAGGGCTGTTGAGCCATATGACGATCAGTGCTGGACCCTCATGGGTCGCAGTTAATCTTTGCTATTGTAGTTGCAGTATTGTTTCTAAACAGGTGCTTTTTGCATTTGTTCCTCTTTTTGGAAGGATTGGATGTGAATTTATCGATAATTTGCGGCGTACGAGGTTCTAAACCGGGAAAAAATAAAAATTTTTTGTGTGTTATTTGTCAATATTCTTCTGATGTTCCGTTTAACTATAGAAACTTTTTGATAATTTTTTTTCTGTGTTGTTGTAGAAGATGCGTTAGGAACCCAAGGTCTCTTTCTGTAGTTATATTGATCTGTATTCTTCTAGAATTATATGAATGGCATTATTTAGTTGAAACGGGTTATATTCTATTCTAATTCGAACCCCTCCCAAAAAAAAGGAGAGTTTCACAACTAACACTTCTTTTTGTGGCTATAGGTGTCGACCTTGAAAATCCAGCAATAGTTGTCAGTCCATCTTTACTTATTGGACGCTTGCCTATCCTTAGTAATCCAAAAGATGCTTTATACTGTGAACGAGTAAAAGTGAGTGGTCACTCGAGATTAGAGCTTGGGAGTTATGCTAGTTCCTTTCGAGTTACATTGGTTCCAGCTGCTGTAATCCCAGAGAGATTGCATGGAAAAATTCAAGTTTGTTTTCATCCGTAAGTGAAATTTCTCGCTTCTCTCTCTCTCTCTCTCAATTTGGTAAACTTCCTATATTGAAATCAAAAGTTTTGTCTCACTATGTAAATGTTTGCAGGAATGCGTCCCTTGGATTATGTCATTGTGAAAAGGAGGAATGGAAAGCTGTTCAAAAGGGTCTCTGGAGCTCTGTCATGTCTCCCTATGAGGAAAGATATGTTGATGTGAAGTTCATTGGTGAAATTTCTGGTTCTGTCACAATCGCTGTTCAAGAAGGTTTGGTGCCCCCTTCTTCTCCTCCGTATGTGCTGCATTCAATTTCTCACTTTGTATTATACTTACATTTCCTTGATTGATATTGATTTTGAAATGCATGCGCAGATTTGCAGCAATGGCGCCTCTTGTGTCTGGCAGTGGGGTTTCTTTTATTACTTTTGGCACCTATTGTCAGCTGCTGGGTTCCTTTCTATTATAGCACCTCGATGGCTATTGGTGTTTTCCTTGTTGTTATAATCATACTTTTCCAGGTATTTAAGTTTTGTTATGCTGTTTTTGCATCCTCTCCTTCACTTTGACTTTTCATAAACACTGTCATCTTCTGAGTATCAAACTTTTTCTTTAGAGATTTTTTTTCCTTGAGCATATTGTATAAGATGCTACGGTTGAGTTATTGCTTACCAGTGTACCACTTGCTTATAAACCTAGTTTTTATTTCTTGTTCTGAGTTGAAGATTTGAGAATCATCATCGCCTTTCTCATAGGTTGTGTTTGGCTAAGTTGATGAATGTAGTATCCTTAGAGGCTAGAGCTTATAATGATCTAATGAAGAATGTCAATATTTTGTTGGATTTGAGTTATGATTTAGGAACTAATGTTGTTGGTTGGAAAAATGAGAATTAGTTCCATTTTTAGTATGTATCTTCGTTCCTGAATGGGAAAAATGGAAGTTCCTGCATTATTGTTTTCGCTGAGATTTAAGGGGTATGGAGATCAAAGGAATTCACTTGGTATATTTGATGCTGAAATTGACTGATACCAATTTTGTATATGTCTAAAGTCAACAGTTGTATATGCCTGCAGTTTTATCTGGATTTTGATCCTTCTATTCTTGCTTTGTAGTCTTCCATTGAGTATATAGACTTGTTACTATTTTTCCTTTGGTGCAATCTTGTAGGGAATGAAATTATTGCCAACTGGAAGGAAAAATATCTTCTATCTTTCCATATATGGATCAGTGGTGAGTTTTCTTTTACTTTAGCTTTATATTTCATTTAATCTGCAACGCATTAAAGCTGATTATCCAATTTATGGTTGCAGCTTGGAGCTGGCACTTTTGTTTTACATCACATTTCCATGCTGGTAAATTCCATTCTCATCAACTTTGGGCTAAGTGAAGAGATGCACAATCCAGTAAGTTGTTATTGCCTTAATAGATCTTACCTAGTATTTGGGGGTTTAAGTACATCAATGTTTTCATATCAAATTAAAAAAGAAAAATTTAAAACATCTTGCATGTAATTCCATATAGCTAGTTCATCAATAAAGGCAAATCTGAATGCCAAAAGACTTTGCTTTCTCTATTTCATTTTAATTTTTATTTTTTCCTGATCTCATTAAGTTTTTTCACAAATTTCATTATTTTGTCTCTCTTTCTTTGATAATGCATGTGTAAAATAATAGTCTGATGTTTCCATGTTTTGGCAGGTCTATGTATTTGTATTGGTTGGGATTGTTCTTGCAGGAGCTGCTTTAGGGTACTGGATTGTGAGAAAATTTGTGATAGCAAAAGATGGAAATGTAGATGTTGGTGTAGCCCAGTTTGTGAAATGGGCAATGCGCACCATTGCAACTACTTTTATATTGCAGGTGTGGTACTGCATTCATTTTGCTTATTTTGCTTCATATTATACTTTTGATGGTTTCTATGTTGCTTGAATGTCCCAAAAATGAATAATGAAAATGTTATAAAATTGCTTTAGCATTTTATAGCTCTGCACCAAGCTTGATGGGTTCAAGGGATGGGCAGCAAAGAAATAATACAACTACTCCTTTAGTTTGCATGAAATTTTTCTTTTGGGCTTAAGTTTAACTCAAATATGTGATGTTATTTGTTTAATTTATTTCAAGGCTTGATCATAGACCTGCAACTTGGGGGATCTGGTCCAACCAACCTGAGCTTCAATAGTTGTGGGAAGGCTTTCCTTATGTTTGCCTATAGAGAATAGTTGTAACTTGATGAATTATACTGTGAAAGATAGCCAGTGATCAATGATCATTTGCTTCTCTACAGTGTTGTGTGAAAAAACAATTAGAAGCTGTGGTTTAGTTTGTATAATGAGGCCCTGTTGTTCGTTAGGTTGAAGCTTGAAGTAGTTTTCGGCTTTTACATTCTTAGTTATTTATAGTAATGTAATGTGGTTATTCATTTACTCTACACTTTTCTTTTAAAGTTCTCAACTTAGCTTGGCCATTGAATTTGGATTGGATAGATCAGAGTTAGATCTTGGTTTCTGTCGTTTTAAGTACAAATTGTTTTATTTGTAAGGTTGTATGTTGTGTTGAATTCTACTCACCAAACCTTGCGTTAGAGCAGGTCTTATGCAACTAGTTTGACCCATTCCCTTCTGATAATAATGCCATGTATATTTTCCTGTGAATTCACAGATGAGCCTGCCAACTGCTTCTCATAGCAGTCAATGTAGCACAAGCTTTTGTCCATGGAGAATGTAATTTGTAGCATCAGATGGCAACCGCGCACCTTTTCTTTCCTATTTTTGACATGCACCTATGTCTGACCATGGTTGCTTTCTTCATTACATAAGCTCATTTATGTGCTATACAACTGAAATTTGATTCTGATGACAAAGAGTCCTCATAAGTTTGATAACTAGTCTGTTATAGTTACTTCGGGGCCAAAATTCATTAGTTTAATCATTTTCTTTGTGTTTCTTTCTCAGAGCACTCTTGATACTCCTTTAGCAATGGCTGCGTTGCTTTCTTCATATACGATCTGCTTTCTTTTGAATGCAATGAGCCAGCATAATCCAGTGTAAGTTCCCATAAATTCCACTTTATACATTTTCTTTTTGGAAAAAGGAGCTTCCTGCTGGAGCATTTGTAATTAAATAGTTTCTAGGCTCATTCCATTGGTGGGATGTAAACCAGATAATGCCTATGTCCAACAAAATCAATTATTTAGTTGGACTCTAGATTGGGATGGCTGAGGTTTGATGGGTTTAACATTGGATAATGTCCCTCCTTTGGTAGAGACTTGGGATGGATATTGAAAATGGTGAAACAATGGGGTTTTTGCTTCAGATGGTATCAAATAGTAGATACTAGGTCCAGTTGTAAATAATAATGACAAGATCCTCTGAAATTTCAAATTTTCATTTTATGTAATGGTAATTTAATCAACCATGTTCATGCAATTTCATGAAGGCATCAATCATATTCTCGGGGTGGCAATCTTTGGCTCCAACGGGGAAGACAGGCAACAGCAGTGCACAATCGTGCTGAATTCCTTAGCAGGTCAGCAAAAATAAGCCCAGGAGGGAATAAGTTGAGCCCTCCAAAGAGCTCATCTGCTTGGTCCAACTCTCCTATTAAAGGTATTACTTTAACTTCTGACTTCTTTTTTGGAGCTGATATTGATTAGCTCTTTCCTTGCTTGCACTTGTGTACTAGCCCTTATCTTTCGACATATTTGTTCCATTATGTGAAAAGGTAAAGTAATTCTTTTCTGTCTCAGAGACAATTGTACTGATATGCCAAAAGCGCAATGTCATATTCTTTGCTCACTATCCTGTAAGATTTGCTAAGGTATCCAGCACTTGGTAGAAAATCTGATTCATTGAGGGAAATATACTACAATATCTGAGACCTCTGTTTGAAGCTAGTCCCTGTGATCTCCTGTTTTGCACCAATGCCCCAAAAAAACTATAAAAAATCTGACAGATACAGTATATTGGTTGCAGTTGGACCCCTTACGAATTTTTCCTTCTATCAATACTGTTCTGTTGTGTCGCCCCGTTTACGGTTTATCTTATATGGACCCTTCAGTTTGTATGACTTGCTTTTATTGGCTTTAACAGGTTTAATATCACCACATACTGGTTCGGTGACAAGAGGTCAGCAGAATTACTTTTCAACCTTCCACAAGACACCAAAGCGAAAGAAGTTCACAAAGAAAGAATGGGAGGATTTCACGAGGGAATCGACCCAGCAAGCTGTAGCAGAATGGGCAGCTTCACCAGAAGTTACTAATTGGCTCATTGAGAATGCTGACCGAATTCAACTCCTTCCTAGTGATTGCAGTTCAGAAGAGACGGTGAGAAGTGAATCGGACTCCACAAACGAAACTGTTGGCAGTAGTGGCAAACGATTTAGCTTGTTTAATTGGTAGCTTGTTGATAAATAGCAATCAGGGATCTAACTCTTTTAGGTTGTGGTAGTCTAGGTATTAGCAACGATTAGGAATGTTAGCCTCATTTGTAGCTCGGGACTACGACTATCGAGCAGCAGCGAGCGCGCAGCAATTTTTGAAAATCAGTTGTTCTTCTTCAGTCCAGAACTAGCCAATGTGATTTTTTCTCCCCAAATGTTGAATTACAGTTATTACACAGGGTGGTAATGTCTGTGTTTAATATAATGTACATCTGATATGCAATCTCTAATCCATTTTCGTCACTTCATATCTATTTTCAATGTAAGTATTAATTATCTAATTCTTGAGTAGAAATATTATCTAATTCACTGAATATTATTTTCCAAAAGTCATTTGTGTGTATGTAACATTAATGGACTTAATTAATACTACTTACATCTCATAATTCTTGTACCATTTTCTTTTTTCCATTAGTACCATATTATTTTATTTCCTTTCCTAAAAGTGAATAATAGTTAAGTTTATTATTTTATTTTTATTTAATACGTTTCTTTCTCATCAAACATATTAGTCAAACTATACTAAATTGCCATTAATTAAATCTTAATCTTAATATAAATAAAATTAAAATGTCAAAACTTAATCTTTGTGCTAATTAGATAATGGTCTAATTGATCTTTTCATTTGAATAAAGAGCGAAAGAATTACTCGTCTCGTATAGTTTTTCATCTATAAAAATCTCCAATCAATTAAAAAAATTTTTGATTTTTGTCATCCCTCGATTGCAACATAAATGGTCTCATTTGTCACACAAATATTTCAAATTATAGTATAAGTTTCTGTCCGAAGATGGACCCACCATCACCAAAAAATAAAAAAAAAAAGGTCCCACACCACTGCGTTACATTCCAAAATCCACTTTCGGATTTTCTTCCGCCTATTCCTCTCTCCGCCTCCAAAACGCGAGAAGAAAACATTCCAAATCTTCCCCCCTAAAAGATTAACTTTCCTTTCTTTCATTTCCCTCCGCCAAGTCCACGCCCATGCCCCCGGCCACGTCTCCGCCATGCACCCCAACCACCTCCCTCTCCATAACCGAAACCGTAAACGGGTCACACCGATTCACCATCCAAGGCTATTCCTTGGCCAAAGGCATAGGAGTTGGTAAACACATCGCCAGCGAGAATTTCACTGTCGGTGGTTACCAGTGGGCCATTTACTTCTATCCGGACGGCAAAAACCCAGAAGATAATTCCTCCTATGTCTCTGTTTTTATAGCTCTTGCCAGCGAGGGTACCGATGTTCGCGCCTTGTTCGAGCTCACCCTCATCGATCAAAGTGGCGAAGGTAAGCATAAAGTCCACAGCCACTTTGATCGCTCTCTTGAGAGTGGCCCCTACACCCTTAAGTATCGCGGCAGCATGTGGTATTCTTCGATTTTCTCTCTTTGGATTATTGGCTCTTGATTGGTTACCAGTTTAACTTTTGATTTTTTTTCCCTTCAATTTAGGGGTTACAAGCGTTTCTTTAGACGGGCAGTGCTTGAAACGTCGCATTTCCTAAAGGATGATTGCTTGAAAATTCACTGTACTGTTGGGGTTGTGATTTCTGCTATAGACTGTTCGAGATTGCACTCTATAAATGTCCCTGAATCGGACATTGGATCCCATTTTGGTGCTTTGCTGGAGAACGAGGAATGTTCTGACATTACTTTTAATGTGCATGGTGAAAAGTTTCATGCCCACAAATTGGTATTGGCTGCTCGTTCTCCTGTATTTGAGAATGAATTTTTTGATTTATTGGAGGAAGATAATCGTGAAATTGTTGTTTCAGACATGGAACCTAAGGTTTTCAAGGTATCAGTTTGCTTTCCTTCTGTTTTGGTTTTCATTTACTTGGAATGCAGCATCATTCAGCTATAAAGCATGTAGTTGTCCTTGATAATTCATATCCATGATGGGTATATGCTCATAATTAGAGAATCTATTTGTAATGATTAAAATTTTTGGAAGTTAAACACAGATAGTTGTCCTTTCGTTTGTTCATATATAACACTTTATTCAAGTTAAGTTAGGTGGCAAAGTCTCAATGCTATATTTATGGTGAAGTTATTCCATTCAAGTAACTAAAACTAAATAAGAATGCATAATAATTCAAAATATATTGTAAAAGGAGAAATATTGATTACTCATTTATAATGTGGATAATTTAGTAAATTTTCTTCAGCACAAATATGTGTAACTTAATATCATATGAGTATGGAGAAATTTATGTTCTTCGATGGACCTGAGAAAATATTCCTTTGATTCATATTTTACACAGAAAAGCAAAGTTATATGTTTATTACAGAACATTGAAAGTAAGCCATGAAAGGTAGAAGGCTACTTGTTATGGTATATGAAGATTTCAAATTTGGGAGTGAGGTTAAGTCAAGTAGTTGAGAGTGTTATATATTGCAATTACAAGGCCAACTGCACTAAAGATCTTTGTTCTCTTGTTTCCTTTTATTCTCTTGCATGTGTATTACTAAGGCTTTGCTGCACTTCATATACAAAGATACTCTTGTTGAAGATGAGGAGCTTTCTATGTCAAGTTCGTCTTGCATATCATCTGTATCCGATACTTTGGTTTCAAAGTTGTTGGCTGCAGCAGACAAGTATGACTTGCCTCGACTCAGATTAATGTGCGAGTCTGTACTTTGCAAGGATATATCTGTGAATTCTGTTGCAAAGATTCTTGCCCTGGCTGACCGTTATCATGCTATGGATTTGAAATCTGTTTGCCTAAAATTTACTGCAGAAAATCTTGTAGGTATGTTCTTATTTGATGTTCCATTTTCAGGATCTATTTTATATACAAAAATTTGGACATTGCTGTCTACTTGTCTGCAAAGTACAAAATCAATGTTGTGCCCTAGTCAATTATACATTTTTATTTATGCAAATTTACATCGATTGATATTGTATTCACTTGCATTTGATATAACTGCAGTAAACTTCTTGGTGTAGTTTCAGTTGGTTCCTCCTTTTGCATTAAACGGAGCAATATTATGTGCTTCTGGCACTGGATTTCCTCTTAATATGTTTTTTTCTGGGGGTTAATGGTTGATGCCTTGCAGAGTCATTTGTCCCGTCCTTATGCCCTATATTGCAGCTATCTTTGGTTTTGGGATCTACTGATTTAGAATATTCCATTGGGGACATTGCCTCTCCATTTTTTTAGTCTTACCTTTTGTTCTTGTTTTCTTTGCTTATCTATATCTGGGAAAATGTTTCTTTTGGTTTTCCATATCAATATTTCTGACTTGGCATTATTTTCTGGAACTCAATATAAATATAGACGCACAAATGCAGATTTGCATGTAAATTATGTATGCTTAAGTATATACGTGAAGAGTCTGGAGAGGTAGAGGGTGGTTATAATTTAACACTTGTGAAACCCTTAAATACATGCCAACTTAACCCTTGATTAACTCGCCTGATTGTTACAGAGAGAGTCGTGAATAAGAATCAGCACCAAACAAAGCCAACTTCATTTATTTTAACTTTTAGGCTAGTATAAACTTGACCAGTTTGAGTTTTAGGGGTAATGTTAGTTTCTAACAAACTTCCATTTAATTAAGTAGCATGTCATACATTCTGAAAGCATTTTATAGATCTTGCAATAACAAGTGATATATGTGCTTGGAACTTGAGTTTATTGATCATAATAAATTATTGTAAGGAGGATTGAATAACTATCACCTCTTTTGTATGGGCATTTAAACATTGAAAACTTCAAGATTTATCTCCCTTTGTCAACTCAATAGCTCTTTTCCCTCATCTATATGCAAGCAAGGAAAAAGAAAGGAAAAATGTTCAATTCTTTCTTCCCTATTCCGAGTCTTAAAATTCTATCCTTTTGTACCTTTCATATTACTAAATGGAGCAAATGCTTTGGGCCACCAGTTGGTTTAGTTTAATGGCTGGATTTTTGGGGTTCAAAAGAATGGTACTGTTCATGTTTGCGCTATAACAATATTGTGCTGTATTGTCTCGTTCTACCGTGCGTTCCTATAAAATAAAGAAGCATCTCAAAATCAATATTAAAACAAGAATTTAACCATGCAATAATCTTGTCGATCTAATAATTATAATTTGTTCGAAACAAATGATTGCCAAACAACTAAACAGACCAAAAGTATATTATATTTTGCACAAAGCTTTTGTAGCACCTATGACTGAGCAAATCAAGTATTTTTATGCCAAAATAATATAATTTTGAAGCTAAAACTACAATTTAAAGGGTAGATCTAAATTTATTGGTGAAAGGGACATGGTTGTGGCTTTTGGTCTTAATAACAATTGCGCCAACGTATTTGTGTATCCGCCTGCGTCCGTTGCAGTCCTATATTGCCAACCCTGTATCTGCGCCTTAAAATCTCATTACATGATGGCCGCTATGGGGAGTATTGGCCATTCTACAATCTGACAACTGGATTGCTAGTTTATGTATCAACAATTGATAATCTGATATGCTATCTTTGGATCCTATCTAACATGGAAAAATACATAATTGATTTTGGTAAAAGTTTATTGTTGTTATTATTATTGTTATTGTTATTGTTATTGTTGTTGTTGTTGTTGTTGTTGTTGTTGTTGTTGTTGTTGTTGTTGTTGTTGTTGTTGTTATTATTATAATGAACATTTTGGAGTAACATTAGTTGAAAAGTAAACATCTTTTGGAAATGTTAGGAAGTGCTTCTATATAGACTTCCCTCCACTGAGGGAGTGCACGCCATTTTGATCACTATAGACACTTAATCCAATTCATATTCTTATTATGGTGTTAAACCATTTCAAAGCGATACCTCCATAAATGACTTACCATACCTGTACAACGTGTTATATCGTGAATTTATATACATCATAGTGTGCTCTTTACCGCTATTCTCGACAAGTAGAGGAGATGTTTTTTTTTTTTTTTTACTGAGATCAGATGAGATAAAGGCTAACTCACAGCGGGTCTTATTCTCGGTAAAATTAATTGTGTAATTTATAGGATAATTAAATACTGTTAATTGCTAAATCACATAATACATATAAAAGCGCCCCCTAAACCTTATATACCTACTCTTTCCCAAATTTTTATTTACTTTTAAGGCCTTTAATTGCTAGAAACAGTTGTTTCAAACGGTTTGTGTTCCAATACGTTCATAACAATAGTCAAAAATGGTAGCAAATAAAGACTTTGTGTTTAAGACTTTTCCAGCTATAATATGGTATTGTTTAAGGATATTAAAAAGCGGATTACAGGTGAACATAGCCGCTAAATCCTTTATGCCTCTCATATATATTCCTTTTATCATTAACCCACAAACTATTAATATGAGTATTCCAATTTTATTCACTTTCGTTAGTTAATTTTAATTATAGTAATTTATCGAATAAATTAGTCACCCATGTTGGATCTTCCTAACTTCTTTAATACACCCCATTCTCTTCCCTTGAACTCAATTAAAAGCACATTTAGTTTCTTTTTAATTAAAAAAAGAACCAAAAATAATTTAATAATTGAGACAAATCTAAGATGTTTATTTCCTATAAATGATTTGTGGCACGATTTTGTATTATAAATTGTATTATTGGATAGATTATTTATTGTATTCACTTGAAATGATCCTGCCCATGAAGAGAGGTTAAATAAATGGCCCATAATTAATAAATTTTGAAGTCTCCAAAGTAAATAGATAACGATAAAACTAGAAAAATATGTCCAGTGGCATAGCGGTCCTCATTATTATACAACCACCAAATAAACCCGTAATCAGAAAATTACTTTTAATAATATGAAAACAAATGGATTTACGTTCTTCCAGAATCCTTTATGACGAGTATTTAAGCTCTATTGGATTCGGCCTCCGATGTCCTTCTCCTCATAACAAATATAAAAATTTTCTACCAATGTTTAGTAAATGATAGAGCTTTACTCTTATCAAATCCCAAACCAGCATTCCTAAAAGATTGTTTCCAAATCGACCTTAATTACATCTGAAAACTCAAAATTAGACCTCATTATTGCTTTATTTGCCTCCTCCATCTTTGGTTCATAAATTACATGCTACAATTAAACCCTATTTGACCATCAAGGTCCACCATATAGAAAAAGGATGAATAAACCAATTAGCATAAATCACATCATACGTTCTACTCACCAAATTCTTTCCTTCCCCCTAATTTTCCATCCCAATTGGAAGTCTTTGTATAATATAATTCCTATCTCCGCCAGGGAGCTTCTAATGTATGAGAGTAAAACACCCAAAAATGGTCTGGTCTTCATTAATTGGCATACTGCACATCGTGCTAAGCCACTGCAAATTCATCGATCATTTATTTTCGGCGCCGTATGTCATTTAACCAAGAATTCGCTGATCCTGTGCCTTTCTTACGTCTCTTTAATGATATCTACGGTTGTTAAGTTGGAGTAATTCTTTGGGGAGAAGGCGTTTAGAAAGAGAATGGAAGTGTATTATTTTTACAAGGAAAAGAATTGGGTGTCGGTTAATATATTCCAAAGGGCCTTATTGAGCTCTTCAAATGCAACTTGCAATTTGATGTATTTTGTACCAACAAGAAAGGTGGCATGCACAATGCTTTAAGGTAAGACCTGATACAGAGTTCATGAAATGGAGAATGAGAGCCAGAAACCAGTATGAAATTTGAGCTGCCTTTGTTTATATGCTGGAACTGTCAGAGTTTTATTTTGTGGTGGAGTCTTTGGTTAGCAGGCTGAAATCATACGTGTGCCTATTTCTTGAGACTCTGTTGGGAAGAAATCAAGATGCACTCACTATTAGTGGTCCCTAGCCAGTGAGGTAAGCTCTTATTAATAATTTCCATCCCTAAAATTACTTAGCATGCTCAACATAATAATTAATAAATCATTAGTAAATAAGGTAAAAATTAAAATCTAATCTTTTTCTGCTAAGGTACTCTTAGTCGTTGTCTCTTACTCTCGTAGGTGACTAACCATCCTTGAGGAATGAGATTTCTCTCAAGAGTTAAATACAACAATAGTACACGACACTATTCAATTCAAAGTTATACCTAGTGGATTCATAAATACGCAAGACGCTAGAATTTTACGGTATTTATACCACCATATTTTAAGGCCCAAAAATTATATGGTCTTCACAATTCTTGGTTATAGATCATGATATGATCGTATAGACACTCTCTCAAGAATTGGGTGCATATACACTCCTTAATACATGTTCATCATTGCCCTCCGTATTATTAACCTAAGCAAGAATGAATGCTAGAAAATTGGGCCGCCCGACTCAAGAGATCCGAAATAAAGATATCCCCAAGACTTAGTAATACATTTGCGCAAGTGGACAATAGGTTATCTTATATCCGTTCCGTCTAAATATAACATAATACATTAAAGAAACAAATTGTTTGTGCTTGGCACACCACAGCAAGATCATACACATTATAAGATTCACTGCTAGCCTATACAAAAGTTAAATGTAATGGAATAGAAAAGCAAAATCCCAAAAGAGATATTGGCTTTTTCGAACTGGCTCGTTTAAAAATAAGGAACGCTTTTCATTAAAGACTAATAATAAATAATGATTATTGAAAGGCTTTAGAGAGAAATAACCAATTACCATATTTATATTGAGAAGCGAGTTTTTCGCGACTTCTTACACAATTTATACTTTCGGAGAATTGGAGAGGATAAGGGAGACAAAATTGCAGGAGTTGGCAATTGTTGGGAGGAGAGTTAGATAACCTGGTACTGAGTTTGAGAAAAGAAACATGAAGGTCTAAGATTTATTTACTTCACACTACTAGAGTTCTATTGAGCGACAGGTTTTTGAAGAACGATATGAGAATGCTATGAGATGAGTACATAGGGAGAAAGTATAAAAGTGGCCGTTCTTAGTTTCAGGTTTGCTTGCTCACACTTACTGAAGCAATGCCTCTGGTCTAAGGGCCGGATGGGCATTGCCACACGCGAATATCCCACTTTAACTAGTTGGCAAGTCACTTATACGCAACCCCTGTTCGCGGAAAATCCTTGTACTATAGCTCGCACTCCCGGTGCTGTAAATCCAATTAAGTGCTGTCCTGGTGCAGCCATCAATAGTACTGACACTGCCCGCGATATGATGTGGTTACGCTTTGACTTCTTACATTGAGGTAATAATGGTGAAAGGTCATACATCTTAAATATCTTTGACAAAAGTCCTGCAGCCAAGAGAAAAACTACTGGCTAATTATATATATATATAAATGTTTTTATTAAAGATGAAATACTAAATTAGCTGAGAATAGAATTAAAATACATGTTCTATAGGAAAATATGCATTAAGTTTTACTTTTTGCGGATCCACACCTCTAAATCCTAACATATTTGATGAGTGATTGAAAAATACATAAATTGATTTTGGGTAAAAGTTTAATTTGTTTGTTATATTAATTTGGTTAATTGTTTAATTTTTTTGTGTTGGTTGTTTGGTTGTTTGTTGTTGTTTTGTTATGTTGTTTTGTTTTTTGTTTGTTTGTTTGGTTGTTTGGTTTGTTTATTTTTATTTTATTCTTAATTTTATTATTATTAATTATTATTATTATTATTATTAATGAATTACCGGACAATTTTAAAAGGCGAAGGTTGGCCATCAATTGAAGGACAAGCCAAAGGGAGTGTTTGGCTTAAAAAATGGCTTTTCCCACACTGCCAAGGTTCTAGTAAATAGGATAAGGAAAAATGAAAAGATGTGAAGTTTGAATACCATAGCCGGCCCCCTCTTGTTAACGCTTTAGGTTTGTGAATCCGGTGAAAATTTGAATATTGCTTATTTTGGTAAGAAAAGTGGGTCCCTAATGTAGCTGAATTAAAGAATTATTTTTGTGGTTTTTGAATGAACCCCAAAATATTAATTGGATTTGAGCATTGGGAGGGCTTTCGCTCTTCCTTAACCCGAAATGGCTTGGGGGAAGAAAGGAAAGGTTCCCTTTTTTTTAGGGGTACTCCCAGGAACAAGAAATCCCAGTGGAGAACGAGGGCTGGGGGCCTGTAGCTTTCAATTAGGTTGGGGAAGTTGTGTAAGGCAAGGTTTTTTGAGATTAGGAACATTTCAAAATTTTTGAAATGAAAAGGGTTCCAATTTTCCTTTGGTTTTTAAAAAAAAAAACTTGGGAAAAATTTTGGATGTTTGTTTCAATCTCTACCTTTTAGTTCAATTGAAAATTTTTTGAACAGTTTCCCGATTCACAGAATCCCTTGAATGAGGCAACCATGGTATTTTAAAACATTATAACCTGGTTTGCCAACAGGCCTAGGAATATTCCTATATTTAGAATGTGGTATGTCCTTATAGGTGCCCTTTCATTTAACTGGACTAAGTGGTGTGGTTGGCTTGGTGTAAATTTTTTCTTTGAACCTTTCTTTTATATGGACAGAAATATGAATCCTGAAAAGCCAAAGCAAATATGCCGATCTTTGTTGTGGCCAATGCATTTTATATATTCCTTTGTAATTAAAATTTTGAATGAGGTCCCCCAATTTCATGGTTTAAAACTTGATTGGATGTGGGTTCATCTCTCATACCTTTAGTTCAATTGGATTTTTGGAAACAGTTCGATTCACAAGGAATCCCTGGAAGTGAAGCAACATGGTAATTTTAACATTAATACTTTGGTTTTTTTGACAAGCTAGGAATAATATCTATAATTTAAGAATGTGTATGTCCTAATAGGTGCCCTTTTTCCATTTAACTGACCCTAAGTGGGTGGTGGTGCTTGTGGTAAATTTTTTTCTTTTGAACCTTTCCTTTTATATGGGAAAAAATTTTGAATGAGGTCCAATTTCCATTTGGTTAAAACTGATTGATGTGTTTCATCTCATACCTTTAGTTCAATTGATTTTGACAGTTCGATTCACAGGAATCCTGAATGAGCAACATGGTATTTAACATTATACTGGTTTGACAGCCTAGGAATATATCTATATTTAAGAATGTGTAATGTCCTATAGGTGCCTTTTCATTTAACTGACTAGTGTGTGGTGCTTGTGTATTTTTCTTTGACCTTTCTTTTATATGGGAACAGAAATATGATCTGAAACCAAAAGCATATGCCGATCTTTGTTGTGCCAATGCATTTATATATTCCTTTGTAATAATATTTTCTAGTAATTCAAGCTAACAGGGAAGTTATCATTGTAACCTAAGGATTTATGTTCTTTTCTGAAGAGTGCATTCTGGATTTTAAGAACATAGATGGCGTGTCTCCCTCAGTTCTTGCTGCTCATGAAGCATAATTAAATGCCCTTATTTTCATTGCTGAAATTTGTTGCATTTACTCTGTGATTGATTCACAAATATTAAATGCCAGCTATACGAGACAATTTTCCGTGTCATTTACCCATGATGTGTCTGTTGAAATTTTAATTATTTCAAGCAGCTCCTCCCCCTCCCACTTTTCCACTGTTACTCACTGTTTTCTTGTTTTTCTGATTGTCTCATGCCATGTAGCTGTCATGCGCTCGGACGGTTTTGAGTATCTCAAAGAGAACTGTCCACTGCTGCAGTCAGAACTCCTAAAGACAGTAGCAGGATGTGAAGAAGATTGCAGTGGAGGGGGAAAGAGCCGAAGTGTATGGGGACAGTTTTCGGACGGGGATGACACAAATGACAGGAGTGTTCGGCAACAGCAATGGGAAAGTGGAGTAGAAAGAAGCCGAAGCTTGTGGGTCCAACTCGATGATGGCGATGCTAGGAGTCCTGGGCAAGCAGACTAAAAATGGTAATAATTTAACTCTGTTTCTGAAACATTGGTGGGGAAAAAGAAGGGGAGAGGAGAAGATAGCGGGGGATAAACAAGGAATGGTATGCCCTTATTACCTCATTGACTTTGTTTTACTTTTCTTTTTCCCATATGTATTGGATTTTATGGCTTTGATGCAAAAGTCACAGGTAAGTAGCCTAACGTGTTCTTGTAGAATGTAGCAAGTCATTGGAAAAATTTGTAACTTGTCCAGAGAAAGGGAAAAAGGAAAAGAACTTGTAATTTGTCCACAAAACAGAAGAAAAATTTGTGTTATTTTTATAAGAAAAGAAAGGAGAGATAGGTCCAGCTATTTGTAACTTGTAATCGAAGCTGAGTCATTTGTTTCTCGCATATTATTTTATTTTGCTTACTAATCATGTCAAGTCATATTCCTTTCACTCCATTTCCATTTTCCTTCGATGGGTCCAAAATCTTTAGTTTGTGATAGTGCTCTGGATAAGCTTCTGACGTGTAGTTTGGTCAAAATTTCATGTTATTGTTAAGTGCAGAGTTGGTAATTACCTATAGATTGGACTGTCTATTTTGCAAAAAATGATTTATATTAAAAAATATTTTTCAAGATAACGGGCATTGTGTTATTTAGTTGTAATATTCAAAATTAACTAAAGAATTCAAAATTAAATTTTATAATTTATATGGCCATATAAAATGTTTAGATTTATAAAAAATTTTCTGTTAGTATTTTGGAAATTGAATTACAAAATACTTGTTTATTACTGTCTTCAAGTCTGAATAGGTTTCGTATAATTTCCCACTTAAGATGGAAAATACCAAAAGTTGAACTGAGCCAAACTATTTTCTTTTTGTTTTTGGTTTTGGTTTGAATCCATAATTTTGGTTTTGGGATTGAATATTTCAAAACATTTATTTTGTGAGTAACATCGAATCGTTTGACCGAACTGATACTTATCCAATCAAAATCAAACCGATCAATTTGATGTGGTTATCAAATTTATTTTGGTTTGGATCAATTTTAAATAAACTCTATTTTTGGATTTCCACACCCTATTGAAGATTAATATATTGTATACACTTTGTTCTCAACTAATTAAAAATTATAATTTTAGCTTATAATTACAACGACATTACTAGATCTGAAAAAACACCAAGGGCTAAAATGTTGAAAATGTGATCAATTATTAGGCTAAACGAAAAAAATTTCAGAAATTTGACATTTTTTTATTTTGGTCAATTTTTTAAATTACTTCAACTGATATGAAAGATTTTTTTTTAAAACAATTTTACCGTCTAGAATTTACTGCTATGTACAATTTTGTCGGCTACAATTATTGAAACGACTAAAATAATTGGTGAAAAATGTAAAATTAAATTATAATTGATTAATTTGAACTTTTGAAGAATTAACTTCAATTTAATTTAAAGTATTGAGAATAAAGGGTAACTTGTTAGTAAATTTTATGGATTAAGATTTTTTTTTTTTTTTGAAGAAAAGGATTAAAATTATTAAATAAGAAAGTGCAGATGGCAATACTCTTGTATACTAGTTTTATTAACAAATTTGAGGATTAAAAGTATTAACTTTTAAATACTAAGGATTAAAGTGAACAATGCCAATGAAGCCTTGGCCGTTATAACAGGTTTCGACTATGCCTCTCCTCTCTCCTCTCCAATCTACCCTTGAATGGATGAGAATCTCGAGAACATTTACTAATTAAATCAGATCTACCTGCCTATTTAAAGCTGCAAGCTTCGTGCTCAAACAAGCCTATAAACTATAAGCTTCAAGTGAAACTTGGAATTTTTTTAATAAAGAAAGCCGTGTAAGACAGGATTCCGCCAGCGCAAGCTTTGAACATTGCTCATATTTTGGGGATAATTCAGTTTCGTTAAAAAATCTATTAACAGTCTTTGCTAAAAAAAAAAAAAGAAAACAAAAACCAAACAAAAACCCATGTCTGTAATATCTGTAGTTATGCCGGAAAGTCCTTATTTTTTCGGATTTTTTTATTTATTTTCGGAGAACTTTTGAACAATTTTCCGTACTTGGGAGAATTTTTTTTGAGGTAGTTCTTTGGGAGATTGAGAATGTGGGTTTGTGCCTGATTGATCACGAACCAACTCCCTTGAGTTTCTTTTTTCCCTCTCCCTGCAAAGGTTCTTTAGAGAGCCTTAGACATAAGGGAGAAGAGGGAAAAAAAAAAAAAAAAAAAAAAATTTTTATTTTTCCGGAGAAACTTTTGAACATATTTTCGCGTACTTTGGGAGAAATTTTTTTTGGGTAGTTTCTTTGGGAGATTGAGAAAATTGTTTTGGGTTTTGGGTTGCCCTGGATTTGATCACGAACCAACCTCTCCTTGAGTTTTTTTTTTTCCCTCTCCCCTGCAAAGGTTTCCTTTTAGAGAGCCCTTAGAATAAGGGAGAAGAGGGGAAAAAAAAAAAAAAAAAAAGAAAGGGCAAGTCAAAGCCAAAAGCGGTAACTGGCCTTTTGGGTTAATGGAAAAAAAAAAAAAAAAAAAAAAGAAAGGCAAGTCAAAGCCAAAGCGGTACTGCTTTGGTTAATGGGCGTGGTTGTTGATATGAGAGGCAATGGCGTTACTAAGGGTTCCTGGGGTTTCAGTAATTTTATAAGGAGAAAGAATGTTGATTCAGTTTTGGATAGGAGAAAGGGTGGCCAACAGTTGGCTAAGAAACTCTCTGCTGTTGACCTCGTTGCTATTGGTAATTGACTAAATACCTAAAACTTTGAATGTTAATTTGGAACTGCTTTATTTTTTCCCCTTTTTTCTGTTAGTTTTGATCATTTCTTGAGTTTGTCTACATGTTCTTCCTTTTCTTTTGTGCATTCGTTGCTGTTGGTTACCGGCTGTATGTATAGTTTTGGCTTTCAAGCTACAGATTTATCTTTTATTTTCCCCCTTATTTGAATAGACGATAGATTTTATGTGCTTTGTTGGGTTTTGTCGTGTTGCAGTTTATGTGAATTCGTGCTGTTTGGAATTTATACTTTAGTTATTTGATTTAGATTTACGGGTATTTCGCTATTTCATTTCAAATCCAAATATGTGTTCAACTATGCAAGGAAAAGGGTTCCGTTTGCTTATGGTGGTTCCATTTCGTAATCAGGAGTAGGAGCAACAATTGGAGCTGGAGTATATATTCTTGTTGGAACTGTTGCCAGAGAGCAAACAGGACCAGCTCTTACCATTTCATTCCTTATTGCTGGAATAGCAGCTGCTCTCTCAGCATTTTGTTATGCAGAGCTTGCATGTCGCTGCCCATCAGCCGGAAGCGCCTATCATTACACATACATCTGCATAGGAGAAGGGTAAAGTAGAACCGCTTCAATAGTTATTAGATGGATTTATTTCTTCCTGTAAATGGATAAATCAAAACCTATCATCAATAAACTCAGAGAAAATAAAGATCAACTAGATGACCAAATTGTATTTATGTGTTTTGGTATCCTTTGTTGATGACTCCATCGTTGTTGTCTCTTGCAGTGCTGCATGGTTGGTCGGTTGGGCATTGATTCTCGAATATACAATTGGAGGTTCAGCTATTGCTCGCGGCCTAACCCCAAATCTGGTGAAGTAGATCTTCCTAAGAATCAACTTGCCTCTGTAAATGTTTTAATGGATATGATAGATATTATGTTCTTTTCTTTCTTATTAAATCATTATCCATTTATTCGTTTCATGAAATTTATTTTAAATCTTAACTACCCACACATATGCATATGGGTGGCTTCTAGTCTTATACTCTTATTGTCTGTGTTTATTTTTATGTAAAGTCTGTTTCATCTCATCTATACTCGTCATTTATATTCTGATCACTTATCTTTTTTGTTATTATCAGGCCCTATTCTTTGGAGGTGAGGACAAGCTGCCTTCCTACTTTGCCCGCCACACCATTCCTGGGCTTGGTATTGTTGTGGACCCATCTGCAGCGGTTTTGGTTCTTCTTGTCACTGTACTCTTGTGCATGGGGATCAAGGAGGTATTTTTAATCTTTCCTTTTTAAACTATTTGCAGCATTATTCATTTATGTTCATGCTCTGATTACATTGGTTCTTCATCTCACAGAGTTCTTTGGCCCAAGCCATTGTGACAACAGTTAATGTATGTGGGATGCTTTTTATCATAACAGTTGGAGGATATTTGGCTTTCAAGACTGGATGGATTGGATATGAACTTCCTGGCGGGTAACCATTGTGTGATTTTGTTGTTTTGGCTCACTGTGTATAGCACTAGCGGTCTAGTTCACTCACTATTTTCTAATTTTATAGGTATTTCCCCCTTGGTTTAGCAACTTCCCTGGCGGGTAAAACCATTAGTGTGATATTTGTTGTTTTGGCTCACTGTGTATACACTTAGCGGTCTGTTCACATCCCAACTATGTTTTTTCTCTAGGATTTTAAATAGGTATTTCCCCTTGGTTTAAAAAATTGGCAATGCTTGCTGGATTCTGGTGTTAGCTGATGTTCTTTTTCATTCGCGTGGTTTCTGATGTTGTCTGCCTGTAGCACTGCTGAAGAGGTAATTATGCATTTGGCGCGATTGAATCAGTCATAGTTAAAGTGGGAAAAAGAAATATAGAAACAGAGAATGATATTTTTTATGTTTGCGAAAAATTTTTAGGCTGAGTGGCTCTATAGCTTTAAAGCTTACTGAAACTTTAACCATATTTTGTTAATCATCATTGTCATAGGGTGAAAATTCCATTATCCTCAGCGTGATATTGCCGCTAGGTATAACGGGATTGCTTAGTTATATTCTATATGTTTGCGTTTTGTCATGCTGGTGTCTAGTTTGTTGTTTTGTTGGCTTGGTCCATACTTTGCAAACTGGATAATAGACATCTATCTCTTTTCAGCATTTGCTCTCTCATGGGATGAATTGGCAGTGTAAAATTTATGGAATAGTTTCCTTTTAATTAGCTTTTTATTTAGTCTTTATTTCTAAATTTGGGAGTATCTGCCTTATTGTTGTTTGCTACTTAACATTTTTTAACTTCTCTACATTGCAGGTACATTATAACACTTGGGCTGTATTTGCTCTTGTTCAAGCTTAATGGGATTCACTTCTTCCTCAGCAGCAAGTAATGCTTGTTTCTACTCTTTATCAGGATGACTGTCTAATTTTCTATTGACTGTGAGATATAGATGCTTAAAAAGTTCAATCACCAAGGATACTCCGATGCCACCCCACCAGAATCCAACCACCTTTTAATTTTTTACCTTTATTTCACTCTCATTCTTTCAAACTATAGCACAGAAATTTGTTGAGTTGGCTTGGTGCCATACTTTGCACTGGATATAGACACTCCTATCTCTTCAGCATTTGCTTCTCATGGGATGCAATTGGCAGTGTAAGATGGATATTTCCTTTTAATTAGCTTATTTAGTCTTTATTCTAAATTTGGGAGTATCTCCTTATTGTTGTTTGCTACTACATTTTTAACTTCTCTAATTGCAGGTACATTATAACAACTGGGGCTGTATTTGCTCTTTGTTCAAGCTTAATGGGTTCACTTCTTCCTCAGGCAAGTAATGCTTGTTTCTACTTCTATTCAGGATGACTGTTATTCTCTTGACTGTGAGATACGTGCTTAAAAAAGTTCAATCACCAAGGATACTCGATGCCACCTCCACCACTTTAATTTTTCACTTTTCCCTCTCTTCTTTCAAACTATAACAGAAATTTGTTGACTTAAAGCTCTAGGAATGTGGTGTTAGTAGATAAGATGGTTCTCAAGATTTTGTCTTTTGCCAATTGTTAAACTAGAGTAAGCAAGTTTTACCAGTGATTTTTACTTGCATTTTCTTCAGCCCCGGATGTTTATGGCAATGGCAAGGGATGGATTGTTGCCATCATTTTTCTCAGAGATTAGTGAACGCACCCAAGTTCCAGTGAAGAGTACATTGGTAATTGGTTTTCTTGCTGCAGCCCTCGCATTTTTTATGGATGTCTCACAGTTAGCAGGCATGGTAGGCAAAGTATTCAACCTATCACCTTCTATATGAACATGATCTCTTAGGTGTTAAAATGTTAAGACAGATTTTCCTATTTTCCCTTTCGATACAGGTTAGTGTAGGTACCCTTCTTGCATTCACTTCAGTTGCAGTTTCTGTCTTAATACTCAGATATGTTACTCCAAATGAGGTGCCTCTTCCATCTTCACTTCATGAGTCTTTTGGTTCATTGTCTATGCAAAATGGTGATATTCAGGGAGTTGCCAGTCAAAACTTTAAGGATTATGTCAATTATTGTGACAGTAGTCAACATTTGATTGACAATGGAGGGAGATCAATTGCACACCCACTTCTTCAGAAACAAATAATTCAAGGTAAGGTACCACTTAGGTGTCTTGGGGACTGGATCTTGACATGTTCCTACTCTTTCCACTATGTCTGCATCCTTGTGTTGAATCATATGATTTGAGAACCCTGTTAACTCCATAAAACATGTTAATGCATTGCAATGATATAAATACATCCATTTTGTGAGAAACACATATGCACAAACTAATGAAAAATGGACTAGATTTAAGAAAAAAGAAGAAAGTTAAACGAATGATAATATATGATAGTTAAAAGAGAGGAAAAAAAAAAAAGTCAACATTTTGGTACAATAATTTGTCATCTCTTTTCGTGATGCAATGCCAGTTTTGTCTTATATGGCAGTTCCCCTTCGTGAAGAATAAGCACTCCCTTATTTCTTTTACTTTGAGAATCAAAGCCACAGTTTGTTGTTTGTCCTCAGCTTTGTTTTACTTCTAGTTCATGGATACCTGCAGATATTTAGTGTACTCTGAAACCCTTTACAAACAGATATCTGTCTTTTGACTTCATGTTAACTATACAGATGAACAGAGTCAACAAAAGAGGCGGAAAATTGCAGCTTGGAGTATAACAGCTGTATGCGTAGGGGTTCTTGTCTTTACATCTGCAGCCTCGTTTAAACTTCCCAGGTTAGTCATGTGTTGCAAATCCTTGCCCTTTTATGATTTCTCTTTTCTTTTGTCCAGAACTCACTACATACAGCATAGCCTGCATACAATTCTACAAAATCTACTGTAAAGATTAACAGGGAGATTATGTTTTGATAACATTCCTCCCGGAAAATTTCCCTACTTCGTCCATTCTGCTTTGATTCTTCGAATAATATCCTCATCAAACTCTTCCTTCTTTTTTATCATGGATCAATGCTATAAATGACTGCAGTGAGACATCATTACTCCATTCAATCTAACAAAACTTTCTTCTTTATTTTTGGCATTAGTAAAGCTGTAATGGAGTGCATGTCATTTTAATTTTGCTTAGAAAAAAAAATTTGATTTTAGGATGCATTTTCATAGCTCTAAAATTTCTTGCAGTTCTATGGTTTGCTACAAATAACAGAAGTTCTTGCTCCCAACATTCAAAGAAAGATGAAATCATCCTTCTAATACAATATACTTTAGAATTGGGATATGCATGTGGCATGAAAATTTTAAAAAGAAGAGGAAAAGAACAATGACGTAAATTATTAGTTTGCTAAGTTCCTACCTTTCATGAGGATTGTATCCTTAGCTCAGCCTGCAGTTGTGCTTAACGCAAAGCTGTGGCATTTGAGTACTTAAAATTTATAAAGCAACGAGCATGGGAATATCATATTCGTTATTATATATCAAATGTGGAAATGTAATATTAAACATTTTTTAAAAAAGTTTTCCATGTTTCCTTTGGCATGCAGTTAGTCAAAAACGTGCTTTTTCGTACTCTACAATTAATTTTTTTCTCTATGGTTCTTAACTTTCTATTGTTGATTCTACTAGCCTTCTGCGCTTCACATTTTGCACAGTGGGGGGAGGTCTTCTATTGTGCAGTTTGATTGTTCTAGCTTGTATATCCCAGGATAACTCAAGACACAAATTTGGACACACAGGAGGTATGTCCTAACTTCAAATTATTGTGATGCATATTGAACAGAAACAGATTGTTCAAGGCTAGGAACCACATTAGAGGGTCCGTTTAATAGTTCTTATGATCATGATGGCCACTTTGAAGCTCTGATAGCCCCATTTTTGAAACTAAATGTTGGTTTAATAAGTTGAATTTTTCAAGTGGCTGGAGTTAGTTGAAGTGAAAAATTTAATCATTGATTTGAGTATTGTAATTTGTAAGAGATCAGATTAGTTAACCTAACCAACACATTCAGAAAATTTTGTGAAAGTTCAAAACCAGAAGCAGTATTAGTTTGAGGCCTCGAGACTTCAAGGGAAAAGGAACATATAATTTGTATTTGGTCTTCAAATTGTAAAACATATTTCGTATTAGAATTCTTGTGCTTGTCTTGCAAATATCTTGTATAGCTTTTCAATTAGTATTTTTCTCAAAAGCTTTTCATATGCATACCTCATCTAACAGATTAAATTCTTGACTGCCTTCCAGGTTTCGTCTGCCCGTTTGTTCCGTATTTACCTGTTGCTTGCATTCTTATCAACACCTACTTGTTAGTTAATCTAGGGTGAGTATGCTTATTCTTAGTAAATGAACTGTGCTTAGTTTCACAAAATTTTCACTATCATATTTAAGGTCTAATAGCTGGTCTTTACATGAAACACATAGGGCTGGCACATGGATCCGTGTTTCTATATGGCTACTAGCAGGAGAATTAATTTATTTATTTTATGGTCGGACACACAGTTCTCTGATGAGCGCTGTTTATGTTCCTACTGCTTATGCTGATGAGATATATCGCATCTCATCAGGTCATCTGGTGTAGACTTCATTTAAGGAAACATCTCAAACAACTCGCTTCCATTTCGCAAGAAGCACTTCCGGTTGCATCTTTGCTGTAATTCCTTATGACACATAATCCATTGATCAATGATTGCAAATCGATGTCATGTGTTGGTGTAGTATTGCGAGTAGGGTGAAATTGAAGCCATTGTAATTTCTAATGGTGACTTGTATATAGCTAGCTTATATCTCAATATCTTAATTGTATTAATAGCAGCAAGAATAATTGTCTATTCCCATTTTCCTGTAGTGAGATTCTTGTAAATATTAAAATTCTATTTTTTTTATACCTTGTTTCTTTTTTAGTTTTTGCTAAGTTGTCTTTATGTAACAAATGCAGATGGTAAATCCAAGACTCATATCTATAGCTTTTACTTTTAAAGCTGTTCTCTTGATATTATTGTCATTTTCTTGAATGCTTCTTTAGAATTCCAGGTTTCAAGTTGCCTACTAGTCAAATGAAAATGACACTTAGCAAATAACTTTATTGATTCTATTCATTGACATGTGCAGAAGGGGAACCCAAAAGTTGCCTTCAATATGCTCATTTTGGGGATTAGAGCTCCAATGTAATTTTGTGACTGTCTGTTGCTATCAACGTTAGCGTGAATGAACAGTTTTTTGTTTTTTCTTTGAACCTTATCTGTGACTAAGCAATTATATACCAGTAAATTCAATTTTTAACTTTATGATTATAATTTCAAAAGGCCAAAAATCTCGAAAAATTATTGTAAATTTTAAGTTTACAAACAATGGGAGTCTGGCAGCAATACATTACCGATAAATTGTTTCACAAAATTTTGATAGAATTTGATTCAAGTATAATTAACTTCATATATTTAAGAATATAGCTAAATGAATTTTCAGTTATATTAAAAATGAAGTTTGAATTTAAAAGAAAATTCCATCAAATTTTACGGAAATCATTTATACTAATTACAAACAAGTTGTACGTATTAATTTTTTTTCCCTCCATAACAAAGGAGCTAAATTTTAGATTCATACCTTAATTAGTATAGTAATTTTTTTTTTTTTTTTAAAAGTCAGAATTTAAACCTGTAATTTCTTATTAGGTAATAACTAGTATAATTATAATTCAATCCTATTTTCTAAAATATATATTATCTCTTCGTTCTTAAAGATAGTTCTTTGGCAGATTGTACATCTGGGTTTTATGCCTAACTGATCACAAACCAACTCCCTTTAGTTATTTATTTTAATTTTTCCTTATAAAAAGGTTGAAACTTTGAAGTGACTTGGAGATAAGGGAGAAGAAAGGGGGGAAGAATAGAAAGAAAGACAACTCAAAGACAAAGTGGTGCTGCTTTGGTTGATTGGCTTGGTTGTTGATATGCAAGACAATGGTGTTGCAAAGGGCTCGTCGGGTTTCAGTAGTTTTATAAGGAGAAAGCATGTTGATTCAGTTCTGGTTAGGAGAGAAGGTGGCCAACAGTTGGCTAAGAAACTCTCTGTTATTGACCTCGTTGCTATTGGTAATTAACTAAATACTTGAAATTTGGAATGTTAATCTGGAACAGGGGTTTTTATTTTTATGCTAGTTTTGATCATTGCTTCAGTTTGTCTAAATGTTCTTCCTTTTCGTTTGTGCATGCATTGCTGTTGGTTTCTGGATTTTATATGTTTTTTTGGCCTCGAGCTAGAGATTAATCTATTTTTCTTTTTGTCCTTGTTTGAAATACATAATAGATTCTTATATGCCGATTGCTGGATTTTGCCATGTTGCGATTTCTATGAATTTATGTTTTTCCTGCTATTTGCAATTTTTACTTTAGTAATTTGATTTATATTGACCGGTATGTCTCTATTTCATTTCAAATCCAAATATATGTTCAACATGCAAGGAAAAGGTTCCTGTTTACTAATGGTTGTTCCATTCCGTAATCAGGGGTAGGAGCAACGATTGGAGCTGGAGTATATATTCTTGTTGGAACTGTTGCTAGAGAGCAAACAGGCCCAGCTCTTACCATTTCGTTCCTTATTGCTGGAATAGCAGCTGCTCTCTCAGCATTTTGTTATGCAGAACTTGCATGTCGGTGCCCATCAGCTGGAAGTGCCTATCATTACACATACATCTGCATAGGAGAAGGGTAGAATAGAACTATTTAAATGGTTATTGGAACGGATTTATTTCTTCCTGTAAATGGATAAATAGAAACCTATAATCAATAAACTCGGAGAAAACAAAGTTCAACTAGATGACCAAATAGTATTTATGCGTTTTGATATCACTTTGGTGGTGACTCGATTGTTGTTGTCTCTTGCAGTGCTGCATGGTTGGTCGGTTGGGCATTGATTCTAGAATATACGATTGGAGGTTCAGCTATTGCTCGAGGGCTAACCCCAAACCTGGTGAAGTAGACCTTCTTAAGCATCTATTTTCCTCTGTAAATGTTTTAATCGATATGATACATTCCATATTATTAAAGCACTGTTTATCAATTCATTTTGTGGAATTTATTTAAAATCTTGATTACCCACATACCTGCATTCAGGTGACTTCTGTTCTTATTCTTTGTGTTTATTTTTGAATGAAGTATATTTCATCTCATCTACTCTCAGCATTTATATTCTGGATCACTTATTTTTGTTTGTTATTTTCAGGCCCTATTCTTTGGAGGTGAAGATAAGTTGCCTTCTTACTTGGCCCGCCACACCATCCCCGGGCTTGGTATTGTTGTGGATCCATCTGCAGCTATTTTGGTTCTTCTTGTCACTGTAATCTTGTGCATGGGGATCAAGGAGGTGGTTTAAACTTTCCTTTTCAACCTATTTGCAGCATTATTAATTTATGTTGATGCTCCAATTGCTTTGGTTCTTCATCTCACAGAGTTCTTTGGCCCAAGCCATTGTTACAACAGTGAATATATGTGGTATGCTTTTTATCATAACAGTTGGAGGATATTTGGCTTTCAAGACTGGATGGATTGGATATGAACTTCCTAGCGGGTAACCATTGTGTGATTTTGTTGTTTTAGCTCACCTTTATATTGCACCTCCGGTCTGTTCACTATTTTTTAATTTTATAGGTATTTCCCCCTTGGTTTAAATGGGATGCTTGCTGGATCTGGTATAGTGTTCTTTTCATTCATTGGCTTTGATGTTGTTGCTAGCACAGCTGAAGAGGTAATTATGCTTTTGGGTGATGGATCAGTAGCCATAATAAGTGAAAAAAAGAAATAAGAAAGAGAGAATGATGTTTGTATAACTTTGGGCTGCTGCTTTTTTGCTTATGAAACTTACCATCATTGTTTTAATCATTATCACAGGTGAAATTTCCTCAGCGAGATTTGCCGCTAGGTATAGGGATTGCTTTGTCTATATGTTGCATTTTGTACATGCTCGTGTCAGTTGTTATTGTTGGCTTGGTGCCATACTTTGCACTGGATCCAGACACTCCTATCTCTTCAGCGTTTGCTTCCCATGGGATGCAATGGGCAGTGTAAGATGGATATTTCCTTTTGATTTGCATATCTAATCCATCTTTTCTATTTGAGAGTATTTCCTCATTGTTGTTTGCTACTGCATTTTCGACTTCTCTAATTGCAGGTACGTTATCACAACTGGGGCTGTAACTGCTCTTTGTGCAAGTTTAATGGGTTCACTTCTTCCACAGGCATGTAATGCTTGTTTCTAAGTTTATCAGAATGATTGCTACTCTTAATTGTGAGATACGTGCATAAAATTCCATAAACAAGGGCCCTTAACTCCTCTCGCACTTCGCTTCTTTTCACTTTTTTCTCTTTTCTTCCAAACTCTAGCAAAAATTTTTTATTTAAAGCTCTCAGTATTTTTTTTTTTTCCAGTTAATAAGATGGTTGTACTTGAGAATTTGTGTTTTACCCATTGTGAAACTAAAGTAAAAAAAATGCTTTACCAATGATTTTTACTTTTCATTTTCTTCAGCCTCGGATGTTTATGGCAATGGCTAGGGATGGATTGTTACCATCTTTCTTCTCAGACATTAGTGAACGCACCCAAGTTCCAGTGAAGAGTACATTGGCAATTGGGATTCTTGCTGCAGCCCTCTCTTTTTTTATGGATGTCTCACAGTTAGCAGGCATGGTAAGTTAAGTACTCAAACTTATCAACTTCTATGGGCTTATTTTCACCTGTTATCCCTGAAATATAGCCCTATGACATTGCCGTACCAAGAATTCAATTTGTCACATAAAAATTCTTGAACCCCTATTTGTGATGGGAACTACAGTTCAGGGACAACAGGTGAAGATAAGCCCCTTCTATGTGAACATGATATCTTCGGTATTAGAATATGCCAAGACAGATTTTCCTATTTTCCCTTTTGTTATAGGTTAGCGTGGGTACCCTTCTTGCATTCACTGCCGTTGCAGTTTCAGTGTTAATACTTAGATATGTTCCACCAGATGAGGTGCCTCTTCCATCTTCACTTCATGAGTCTTTTGGTACATTGTCTACGCAAAGTGGTGATATTCAGGAGGTAGCCATTCTGAACTTTAAGGATTATGTCAATCATTCTGACAATAGTCAACATTTGATTGACAATGGAGGGAGATCAATTGCACGCCCTCTTCTTCAGAAACAAATAACTCAAGGTACCACTTAGATGTCTTGGACACTGGATCATGACATGTTCCCCTAATTCTTTCCCCTACATCTGTACCCTTGTGTTGAAACATAAGATTAGAGAGATTTGTTAACTTCATAAAACTTGTTAATGCATAAAGTACACTGATATAAATATGTCCACTTTGTGAGACAGGGATATGGACAAACTAATGCAAAATGGATTAGACTTAAGAACAGAGAAGAAAGTTAAATGAATGATAATATATATTAGTTACAGAGAAAAAGAAGTCAGAAATTGTTATAACAAATTGTCATCTCTTTTCATGATGCAATACCAGTAATATGGTGGGTTCCCTTCGTGAAGAATAAACACTTACCTTTTTCTTTTACTTTGAGAATCAAAGATAGTTTGTTTTTTGGTGTTAGCTTTGTCATACTTCTTTCTGATGGATTTCTGTAAATATTTAGAGTACTCTGAATACTTTTATGGGAGTTACAAGCTGATATCTGTCTTGATTTCATTTAACCATACAGATGAACAGAGTGAACAAAAGAGACGGAGAATCGCAGCTTGGAGTATAACGGCTGTTTGCATAGGGGTCCTTGTATTTACATCTGCAGCCTCATTTGAACTTCCTAGGTTAGTCATATGTTGCAAATCCTTGCCTTTTTATGCTTAACTGATTGTCAAATCCTTTTTCTCCTTTCTACTTTGTTTAGACCTTTCATTCAGTGAGTTGTTATGTTACCGAATATTTTTAACTGCACAATATCCTTAATTGATCTCAAAGACATGCTTTTTCTTATTCTGCAGTTAATTTGTTTCTTTGTGGTTCTTTTCTACTAGACTTCTGCGCTTCACATTTTGCACAGTGGGGGGAGGTCTTCTATTGTGCAGTTTGATTGTTCTAACTTGTATATCCCAGGATAACGCGAGGGACAGCTTTGGACACTCAGGAGGTATGTCCAAACTTCAAATTAATGTGATGCATATTGAACAGACAACAGATTGTTCAAGGCTAGGAACCACATCAGTGGGTCCATCTAATAGTTCTTTAATCATGATGGCCACTTTTGAAGCTCTAATAGCACCAGTTTCCAGACTAAATGTTGGTTCAATAAGTTGAATTTTTCAAGTGGCTGGAGTTTGTTGAAGTAAAAATTTAATCATTGATTTGACCTGTGTAAGAGATCAAATTAGTTGAAAATTTCGTGAAAGTTGAAAACCAGCAGCAGTATTGATTTGAGGCCTTGAGCCTTGGAGGAAAAAGTAAAATAGAATTTGCATTTGGTTCTATTGTAAAAGATATTTCATATTAGAATTCTTGTTCGTGTCTTGCAAAATATCTTGTATATCTTTTCGTATACACATGTCATCTAAAAGATTATTTCCACTTCCTTCCAGGTTTTATCTGCCCATTTGTTCCATATTTACCTGTTGCTTGCATTCTTGTCAACACGTACTTGTTAGTTAATCTAGGGTGAGTATAATTATTCTTAGTACATGAACTGTGCTTTAATTTCACAAAATTTTCGCGATCCATTTTTAAGGTCTAATCACTGTCTTATACATGATGAAACACACAGGGGCGGCACATGGATCCGTGTTTCTGTATGGCTACTTGCAGGAGAATTAGTTTATTTATTTTATGGTCGGGGACACAGTTCACTGATGAACGCGGTTTATGTTCCTACTGCTTATGCTGATGAGATACATCGCTCCTCATCCAGCCATCTGGTGTAGACTTTATTTAAGGAAACATCACAAACAACTTGCTTCCATTTTACAAGAAGCACTCTCAGTTGCATCTTTGCTGTCATTTCTTATTACACATGCTCAATTGGTCGACGATTATCGATATCATGTCTTGAAGGTGTAGTATTGGTGGAATTGGAGCCATTTGAATTTCTAATAGTAACTTGTAAATATATAGCTTACACCTCAATAATTTTTGTATTAATAGCAGAACATTATGAAAATGAAATAGTAGCTAGAATAATTGTATGTACATAACAATGAAACTGTTAAATCTATGATTCATCTCTAATCTATAGCTTTTACTTTGAAAGCTATTCTCTTGATATTGTTGTCGTTTTCTCGAATGCTTCTTTAGCATTTTCTAGTCTTCAAGTTGCCTAGTTTTCAAGAAAATGACTCCTACAAGTAACTTTTTTGTCATGTGCAGAAGTGGAACCCAAATGTTGCCTGTAAACAGCTTCAACTGGACATAGTTGTGTGGTTGCCTGCTGAAATGAACATTACTATAAATAGACATTTTTTTTACTCTCAACCCTTTTGAGCCTCTGTCTAAGGAATCATATATCAGTAAATTCAATTTTCAACTCCATCAGGTATAACTAATTTTAGAATTCTCTTTTCTTCTCAATTTGAAATGGGGAAAGTTCAAACTGACCTTAGAAAAATTGAATTCAAATGATTTGAAATTGAAATGTCAAGTGTTCTAATTCTTGAAGCAAGCTTTCAAAACAAAGGGCAAAGTTGCATTCCAAGAAAGGAGCCCTGGGTCACTTTGTCTTTCCATCAATTAAAGAAATTTATGCTATTGCCATTATCATCATAATTGGTAAAGACAAAAAAATTAAAATGGGTTCGCCATCAAATAATTAAAGCTGCCCACATTTTCAAGCCTGCATCAGCAATGGACAATCCTGGATTCCATTAATGAATCTATCTTTTGATTATTTTATGACTAAATAAGCATTTAGTGTCCCAGTTGTGTCATAATTACGATTTGAAAATTTTTTTTATTTGATAAATAAACTGATTAATTTTTGAAGTTTAAACTATTTAATATTTCCGGTTAAAATATTATTTTTCAAATTAAAAGTCTATAATATTTAGTTATTTAGTTCTTCATGTTTAGTATTGGATGCAAAAACAATATTTTTGGGACAAAAAGACAAATACACAAATTAGTAGGACAAAATTGTAATTACAACTGAGTCTAAAGAATTAAATAATTATTTACCCTTATTTTACTGGCTGTTTTTTAAGTGCATGGGCCTCAATTCTAAACTTGTACGCATCTCTCATGATAATAATAATAATTAATAAGTGAATGGCCATCACTTCACTTGACCAATTTGGATGGCTATTAAATTTTTTAGATTTTTAATAATGCAAGTCGATTTCAATAGATCCATAGGGTTTGGAGTGCCAATCTAATAATTTCCCTAATTTAAAAATAGAAAAAAAAAAAAAATAGTCGAAGCAAGTCGGGACTCAGCAACCATCAATATCATAGCCTTGGTTAATGTTTCTTTTTTCCAGAATTATTATTTATTTCAAAATTAATAATATAATTATTATATCTCACATAAATAAGAGTAAAATAAAAAATATATATTTATAATCATTGAAAATATTAAAAATAATTTATAATTTATGACAAAATAATTACACCTAAATAATTTATATTTTGAAAGAAAGGTGTAATTTTTAGTTCAATGAACTGAAATTGTCCTGTCAGGAGGTAATAAATTTTTAATACTCTACTAGGTACAAATGATTAAAGAAAAGAATCCAAATTTAATTATATTTGCATTGAGTAAATAATAATTTTTGCAGACTAAAAAACAAACTGCTACCTATAAAAATAGAAATATGGTAATTCCTATTGGCCAATGGAAAGGCAGATTAGTGATGTCTATTATAGTAATTCTGAGTAATTACAGCAAGGATTTGTTTGTTGTGTTTAGTTTTCAGATTCAATGCATTGTTTGCTTTCTCCTCAAAAATGGCAACTTGCATTTCCTCAGTTGACAGTTGCATTGCATCACCGACCATTTTCTCAGTTGACAATCCCTAGGTCCTTTCACAGCCCCATACCATACATTAATAGCCTAATTAAAATAACTCAAGATTTTTTCATTTTTATATACTGCTAACATTTTATAAATATTATTTTATTTTTTAAAATATAAAAAAATTGAATGAACTATAAAAAAATTATTGATTATTTTGGGTATTTAAGTTTGAACAGAACCAACGTACTGCCAAGCAATATGTTTTTTTCTAATTTAATTTTGTAATTGTTTATTTAAATGGAAAGCTGTTTTGTAAAAATTAAGGTGGGGCCCGACAGAATCCATAGGAAGGGTATCCTCTCAAAAACATTAAATTATTGTTGTAATGTAATTATTGTCAAGGACGACACAGGTTCGGGCAGCAGTGGGCAACGGGCAGCTTTGTATTTTTCATTCTATAAGGAAGCATCGTTTGCTTGTCTTCCCTTCCATTGAATCTTTCTTTATTATCAATACAGAGAATAATTTTCTCTGTTAAAAGAAATCTGCCCGCTTTTGATCATTAAACTCAAACCCAGGGAAAGATTTGGATTTTCAAGCTTCAATCTTTCGGGAATGCGGGCAGATTTGGTCTAGATTCTGTACTTGTATATACTTTTAGAACATTTATTTGTTTTGTTTATCATCATTTGTAAATTAGAAATTACTCAGTTTGAAAATTTGTTGAATTGTGGTATAAAGTTTATATTTGATTTTGAAGCGAAGGAAAAAAGTTGAGAATTTTGATGGGTTTTCTTGTTGATTCGCAAAAGGAAGGTGGATTTGGTGTATTGGGAGGTTGTTTTAGGAGTTTAGTGAGGAGAAAACAAGTTGATTCTGCACATGTTAAAGCTAATGGTCACCATCAGTTAGCCAAGGAGCTGTCTGTTCCTCACCTTATTGCAATTGGTATGTCATGGGTTTTCTGTTTCATGTGCCTTTTTATTTTCTGTTCCATTTTTCTTTTCTTTTCTTTCTTTCTTTTTTGGGATTTTGGGTCTCCACGAAATGATATTGACTTTGGTTCACTTAATTCGATTTTGGTTCCGGGAAAAGTAAACATATTTTAATTGCATATTCAGTACACAGTTTTTGGATATCAGTTCATTCTCGGTGACTCTAGTTCCAAAGCTGTAGGTTTGTATTACTTTTCTAATTTAGATAACTACTATTATCAATATATTCCCATGTTTTTTTTCTTCCTTGATTTTACGACTGAAGCTAAAAGTTTAAAGTTCCAATTACAATCTAATGTATTTCCTTCTGTTTGATGTATGCCTATAACTTTTTATTTAAGAATTACCATTAAAATCTTGCTTTTCTTCATAGGTGTTGGTTCAACAATAGGAGCTGGAGTTTATATTCTTGTTGGAACTGTCGCTAGAGAGCATTCTGGTCCTGCTCTTACAATTTCCTTTCTGATAGCTGGAATTGCTGCTGCTCTCTCTGCCTTTTGCTATGCAGAGCTTGCGAGCCGATGTCCATCTGCCGGCAGTGCTTATCACTATTCTTATATATGTGTTGGAGAAGGGTAAATAATTGCTGTTTCTTGCCCAAAGTATTTGAAACTCCATGGAATATTGCATCTGATTTAGCTATTTTCTCTAATTACATTATCACTTCATTTAAAAGACACAAATAAGCGGTTTTTTTGTACTCTTTGTTTTTCCTTCTAATTTGTTAAATGATATGAACTTGCGATGTCCTTGTTCAGTTATTTTGGCAATATCTATGTGCAGTGTTGCGTGGTTGATTGGCTGGGCTCTAATATTGGAATACACAATTGGTGGATCAGCTGTTGCTCGTGGCATATCCCCAAATCTGGTTCAGTGAATTCCTTCACCCTGAACTTTTCTTTCTTTTTAATTTTGTCTTCTAATTTGGAACACAATTTTCTTAAATGAGTTATTTTAAGCTGGATACACTTGCATTTTTCCAATTCTATGCATTGCCATTTTCATGACCAATGAGTAGTCACATCCTTTTCGTAATTTATATTTTTTAATGGAATAAAACTAGTTGGATTGCTAGTGCTATTATTTCCTTTGGTTTTATTTTTTTGAACTTTTCTTGTAGTTTTTTTCTTATTTCTGCTGTTATATGCGTGTAGGCATTCTTCTTTGGAGGCCAGGATAGTTTGCCCAGTTTTCTAGCACGTCAGCATATTCCTGGCCTTGATATTACAGTTGATCCTTGTGCTGCAATTCTAGTATTTATTGTTACTGGATTCTTGTGTTTGGGAATCAAGGAGGTACCTTCCCTTCATCTTTATCACTCATCCTTTTCACTCGTGCAATTCTTTTTGGGTAAAGTATTTTTTTTTTTTGTGTGTTTTCACATGCATTAACTCCTTCAGTAAAATCTCATGCAGAGTACTGTGGTACAAGGTACAGTCACCGTTGTGAATGTCTGTGCGATGCTTTTTGTCATAATAGCTGGCAGTTACCTGGGCTTCAAGACTGGATGGGCAGGATATGAGCTTCCTACTGGGTAATAGGCATCCTATGTTGTAAATCCACTTTAATAATTATTCATAAATGTGTTGCTAATCTGTAACTATTTAATTGATAGGTATTTTGCTTTTGGAGTAGATGGGATGCTTGCAGGGTCTGCAACAGTCTTTTTCGCGTACATTGGTTTTGATTCAGTTGCTAGCACTGCTGAGGAGGTGTGCTATTTTCTTCTTCTTCTTTTCCTTTTCTTGTTGTTTTCCATTATTTATCACATAATTATCTGATATATAAACTCTTGACTTTTGGGGTATTAAAATTCACGTTTTATTGTAATTCCTTTGACAGGTAAAGAATCCACAGCGAGATTTACCGTTGGGCATAGGGCTTGCACTATCTATTTGTTGTACTTTATACATGCTGGTCTCAGTTGTTATTGTCGGACTGGTACCTTATTATGCAATGAATCCTGATACTCCCATCTCTTCTGCATTTGCTACACATGGCATGCAATGGGCTGCGTAAGTTTGCAATTATGCTCACACTTGAGGATGTGTCGTGTTTTTTTTTTTCTTAAAGGGTTATTTATGTAAGCTGAGCCTTTTGCTTAGAAGTTATTTTGTTACTTTTGATTTCAGGTACATAATAACTGCCGGAGCTGTTATGGCTCTCTGTTCAACATTGATGGGCTCGCTTCTTCCTCAGGTAATGAAGTGGAATCTTATAGGTTACAATATCTTATTACTGCACTGACTTGCTGATCCTTTGCTACTATTACTTAGAAGATGAATGAATGCCTGTGTTTATTATGATCAACAACCTTGATTGTTTTAAATCACAACTGTATAAGGTTTTTGACCCTGGTTCTATTTACTTACTTTTCTATTAACTGGTTGATCCTTTAAATTGGAAGTCTGCATTTATTGAATCTTTGAACACATTATTTTTAATCAATATTTTTTTTCGGATGGTCCGTTCTGGTAGCATACCTCGCACACCACCTTCCCTTTGTATTCCCCGTGGAGGGATTCAAATCAAATTCCTATGCCACTTATCTCCAAATCACTTCCTATTTAACTGATCTATCTTGGTTTAATTAAAGAAAAATCATTTAAATGTGTTGCATGAGAGTATACATCTATTTCTTTCTATTCTAAAATCTTCTTAGCCATTCCATGTTCTGGAGGACAATTGAGAGCATAAAATGATGATATTTCTAAGGATCTAGATTTTGATTCATCTGTGATTAATTGTTCTTGGTTTAATTGAAGAAAAATCATTTAAATATCTTAACATGAAAGTGTACATCTATTTCTTTCCATTATAAAATCTTCTTAGCCATTCCATGTTTTGGAGGACAATTGAAAGCACAAATGATGATATTTCTCAGATCTAGATTGTGTTTCATGTGTGATTAGCTTTGCTGAAGATGACAAATATCAAGTTAGTGAGGAAAACATGATAGGGAAGATGTGGTAGTACCTGAACAGAAAACTGTGTGCATGACAAACTCAAAACATCCAATGTATTCTAGGCAGATGCTAGAAATTCATTATTTAGTTGAGGAGTTCTTGACATAAATTCATAAAAAATCTTGTGTGATACCTATGAAACCTGTCCTTTGGGTTGGTTTTCGAAGCCAATCTCCTTTTCTCTCATCTCTTTAAAAATAAACCAAAATGAGCCATGTCAATTCTGTGGTTTAGAAAGCTTTTTTTTTTTTTTTTCCTTTTTTTCTGGCTGAGCTGCATACCATTTCTTGAGATTTGTTTTTTCACTTCTGAATGATGAATTCTAAATGGCCCACATCTTCTTGTACTTTTCAGCCTAGGATTTTGATGGCAATGGCTAGAGATGGATTGTTGCCACCATTCTTTTCAGATGTTAATAAGAGTACCCAAGTTCCTGTAAAGAGCACATTGGTGACTGGTCTTGGTGCTGCTACTTTGGCATTTTTTATGAATGTTGACCAGTTGGCAGGCATGGTAAGGGGATAGTTTCTTGTACAATCAGTTTCTCTTCATTTTGCCTAATAATTGAGGATCGCCCTTGTTCCAGTTTCTTAATATTTTAATTTTCTCAGATCCTTTGTCTTCTGAGAATCATGTACCTAAGTAGGAGCATGTATAATGAAATATGATACAAGTTGTTTCCTGCATATTGAATTTTGTGTGTTTTGGAACAGCCTCTAGAATTATATGAAAATGACTGCAGGTACCATATCAATTCTTGCACATATTCTTTAGGGCCCTTGAGATTCAGTATATAATAACTTCTATTGTAAGATAGCACTCCCCATCTGTTGGATTCATTTTGCCCTCTTTTGGACTAAAATGTTGATGTTAGTTTGGTCCACTCGAGTTCCTATATATGAAAAAGCGATGATGCATGCTATGCAGAATTTCAAGTTTTCTTTTTCCACTAATAATTTACTATTATTTAACATAGTATTGATTCAGGCTCTTAATTTTGCAATTCTATGCAGGTCAGCGTGGGCACACTTCTTGCTTTTACCATGGTTGCAATTTCTGTATTGATACTCAGATATGTGCCACCAGATGAGGTGCCATTTCCATCCTCACTTCAGGACACAATTGATTCTGTGTCATTGCGGTACAGTGCAAGTAATGGTGAAAAGCCTGGAGTTGAAGCTGGTACTTCAATCACTTTGCCTTTATTAGGCAAAAATAAGAAGCTAAAGGCAGCTGAATATCCTATAATTGTAAAACAAGAAGCTGAAGACAATTGTAAGTTCCTTGTGGGCTCCATACTTTCAGTTCTAATTTCTGGATACATTGATATATTAGGATCTTTAAATCACTTAAAAACCATATCTTCTGCAGTCCACTTGCCATCAAAGAAAGGAGTGGTTTTGTTTCTGACTTGCTTGATTATCTTTTATGAATGCTTCTGTGCCTGTATCAAACCTGTGGGTAACATGCTTACTCATGAAATGAAAATCTATATATATATGCTTGCCAACCAAAAAATCAATTTAATCCAATTTTGAGAATCAGCTATTGGGAAATTACACGCTTTCTAGGTTTGTGGAAGATAAACATGACTGCAATTTTTATTGCCCCAAATTTAATCTAAGGAAGAAGTTGGATCCTGACGACTATATGCATTCGTGTGTATGCATGTGAAAGGTGTTGCATTTTACTTCCATTGCATCATTTAGATTCTGCTATTTATGATTCTCTTCTATTTGTCAATTGTTTCAGATGTCCTAAAAGAAGGAACCAGAAGAAATATTGCTGGTTGGACCATAGCATTCACATGTATTGGTGCATTTCTTCTTACATATGCAGCTACAGATTTGAACCTACCTGGGTGAGTTCAGCAGGTTTGCTTGTGTTCATGCTCATGTTCATTTAAATAAGTACATTTCAAATGATTTAGCCGAAAGACTGTGCATCTGAAAACCTAGTTGAATTTTCCTTCAAATGTTTTCATGGATTAATCATCCATAGCTACAGTCTAAAACTAGCTGTAGAGTTTTTGCACAGAGAGGGAGAATGACAGTTGGAGATTTGACTTGCTTAAAATCAAAAGTTAGATTAGACCCAGGCTTTGGATTTGAGAGTAATGATCAGAGTTGTGCTCTTATATCAAAATCAGTTAATTATTTCTTTGGATCTTCCATTAGGCTTCTTCGCTTTACGTTATGTGGTGTTGGCGGTGCTCTTCTTCTGTTTGGTCTGATTGTGCTGACTCTTATCGAACAAGATGATGCAAGGCACAGCTTTGGGCATTCTGGAGGTAAATGCCTGTCTGGTACCTGCTATGTGTTTGACTGGGTTTCTGTAGTTTGGAAGTCACAGTATACTTGTTTAAATGTCAAAATAGGTGCATTTTGGTTGTATGTGTAGTATATTTGAAAGTTTAGTTTATAAATGTGAAGTATTGATCCCTCTCTTTTTTTTTGTTTTTTTTCAGGATTTATTTGTCCATTTGTTCCACTCCTTCCAATCATCTGCATTCTCATCAACCTGTACCTGCTTATTAATCTGGGGTAAGTTACAAGTCAGCTGCCGTTTATTATTACCATTCAAAAGAACTTTTAATGGAATATGGTTGCTCCCGTCTGCGTTTCAGTGTTGCTACCTGGACACGGGTTTCAATCTGGCTCCTCATTGGAGTGATCATTTATGCAATCTATGGTCGAGCTCACAGCTCGTTGTTAGATGCGGTGTACGTACCTGCAGCTCATGCTGATGAAATTTATCGCACCTCTGGAGATAGTTTGGCATAGAGATATTAGACATGCCAGTATCCCTTCTCACGTAATTCTTACAGCAGAATCTCGTTGTTGTATTGTATGATGGCATTCCTCTGAAACGCCGTCTCCCCACCATTTCTTTGGCTTCTAAAATGCCCTCCCCTCGCTCACTTGTTTGTATTCTTATAGTTAGCAGTACTGTGGCTGAAATCAGTCTCTCATGTATATAGTATTGTATTAGAGGGGTGACTAAATGTAAATATATTGCCAATTTAAGAATGTATTTTTTTTCTTTCTTTCTGTTTATCAGTTACATGCTTTGCTATCAATTTTCTTATTATTATTCTTTCAATATATTTCAATTTATAACATAAAATACATAAAATATCAATCAGTATACTGGGAATTATACATATTGAATACACATGTTTAGGAAAATGTTTATCAGTATTACATATATCACATAAATGAGTTAATAAATAATATCAGCTTGGGCAGATTATCAAGAGCCAATGTAAAACTTGCTCCAAGTACAAAAATCAAAATGAAGGCTAAAAATATCTTTGCAATGTAAAGAGAACTGATTCTTGGTTTGAGCAGTGTCTTTGGGGGATGCGTGCCATCTGAACTCTGCTGAAGCAAAAAATCCAATTACGGCCATTTCAGTTAAGCATATAAGATTCTAATCTCTATTAAATATTTACAGGAGATATAAACAAAACTTAATAAGCCTTAAAACTTTTTATAGAGGAAGTTATGTCTGCTAATGAATGGACCCAACCAGTATCCACCAAAAAAAAAAAAAAAAAAAAAAAAAAAAAAAAAAAAAAAAAAAAAAAAAAAAAGGGCTAGGGATACAAATTAAGCTTTTCCCAAAGTATAAGAACTTATCAAGATAAAGTTATTATCAAATAGCTATATCATTCTGCTGAACTTCATAGAATATCACCTGAACCAAGCTAATGGCCCTATGTTATTCCTTATTAAAGACTAATAACCTATTTGTTGTAGGTCCCTCCGATATGTGGAACCCACACACTTTTGAAAAAGAAAAAAAATGAAAGAAAACGTGTTTTTTGAAAGAAAGGGAAAAGTCAACAAAAGTTGGCAAAGCAATTCAAAGGTTGGTAACGAAACTCAACAAAAGCAGCATGTTTTTAGGCGGTGAATGCGCAGCTCATTCGCTAACCTCTCCTGTAAA